AATTTATTGAAATTTCATTTTTATGGGGTGGTCATAGAAATATTGCCTTCTTCCTGTATTGTCTCTGTTATCTTTTAGATATAAATTAAAGTCTACGAATAATAAAAGTTGTAGTGCTTGTGCTGCAGCAACATTGAACATTTTGATGTAGTATCTGGACAAAAGGCATTAATTTTATTACATCATTAATTATTTGTTTACTTCTTTCTGTAAGGAATTATTCTATCAAATGTTGATGCTACATAATCTTTCCGTACATAATCAGGTATATTGTTTTTAATTTTACAAATAGAGAGCAAAGGTTTAGGAGATAATATTTTTTGTTTGTTCTTTCATTAATCACGATATAAATACGAATATAAACAAACTTTATCATAAATTATTTATCATATCAGTTGAGTTTGATTTCTTTCTTTTTTATTTGTCCCTCAAAATTTTCTAACATTAACCTGATATAACATTTATGTTTCTAATAATTTATTTTGATGTTTGGAAATACAAATAATTTTTTTATCCAATTTAAACTTTTTGTAAACTCTAGATATAGGGTTGCCAACTGTTCTTTGACTTTTAGGCACGACTGTCAAGAAAGCGCTATTTCTACAAGGAAATCGGGACGCTAACTCTGATTAGTTTTATTCAATTTAAATTGATATTATCTCGGAATAGGTATTTTATATTCTAAGGATACTATTTTGGTCGTCTGAAAATAAAAAACCACACAAAACAAAATAAAACTAAATAGCAAAAAAATCTCATTTTAATTTCCTCTTTTTATTTGATTTTATATTCCTACCACACTGAAAATGAAAAAAAAAATGAATGTGTTACATTTTCGCCAACATAATGTTTAATACAGTCACAAAGCATACCTACTGAAATGTAATCTAAATAATTATTGCAAGCAGAATTTTGTTATTGTTTACTTTAGTTTAGTACTGCAGCATTTTTTATTGCCGGTGCGTTGAATCGAAAAAATAATTGAAAAATGTCAACCCCTCCCTCCCGGGTTCTGTATGTTCCTTCTGCGTTGAATGCAAAAGGTCCGAAGTCCGTTGACGAAAATAAAGTTTGGAAACAGGAGGTATGTCGTGTTATAGTAAAAAGGCCGTATAACTCGGAAACGGTGCGTTAAATCGAAAAAATAATTGAAAAAATCTCCCCACACCCCAGGCTCTGTATGTCGGTTCTACGTTGAATGGAAAAGGTCCGAAGTCCGTATGTGGAAAATAAATTTCGGAAAGAAGAGGTGTGTGAAGTGATACAGTAAAAAAGGTCTTATAATTCGGAAACGGTGCGTTGAATTGAAAAATAATTTAAAAAATCTCCCCACTACTCTGGTTCTGATTGTCCGTTCTGCGTTGAATGGAAACGGTCCGAAGTCAGTATGTCGAAAAACAAAAAAGTTAGTCAAAAATTGCAACAGCAGTAGCGAACGCATTATCTTATCTCTGTATTGATTGATGATTTGTTGTTTTTTTTAAATAAATTTCATATTCAACTACTCCTTGAGGTTCCAGCAATTTTACATTGTGTTAATTTTTTTGAACACCTTGTGTCACAAATATGAGCACTACCAATGACATCCATGATATGCAACACTTGTGTCAATAATTATTTTACGTATCTAAGGAAATCAACAATAAGAGGCAGTACCCATCTAAGGATAATGTATAATGCAATTTTTTTAAACATAGGTGTTAATATCGTACCATATTGGAAGTCGACGCATAAATTAAAAACATTAATTTCGAGTTTTTGAATTTTCCCATTCCAAGGTGATATAAAATAAATAATTAATTAGGTAAGTTCATAGTTTTAATTCTAACTTGATTTATTTTATTTAACATTTAAGGCAAATGTGATTTCCAAACACAAGATAAGTTCCTTATCTCTTTAATTACATAATTGAAAGCATTAAATTTATTTAGCAGTTATTATTTGGCAACAAAGCCTCTGCTGGAACTGCCGCCTATTACCAAGTAGAAGAGTTACCACGCTAAATTTTATAGCTGGAAGCCGGCTAAGGAGACCCTGCTTCCATTTCGGGTTGCCAATTTCGAGCATTTAAGTAGCAGTCTGTAGCGATACGCTATATTGTCTGTGGTACCACCATCGTCCATTATGTTCGGGTCAAATGTATGTTTGTTGCGTATACTTATTACCGGTTAGATCTCAGTCCTTTATATATACAGGGTGTTTGGAAAAATTTAAGGGGGTGAAAGTAGATCCAAAAATAGTAAAAAAAGTTCCTATAAACATTGGTCCTCCGGATCACCGTTACTGAGATATGGTCCTCCAAAGGGGTCTTATCATTTGGATATTTTTTAAAATAACTTTCTGATTAAGATAACGGAATGAAAATTGTAGGTAATAATCATAGGTACCTACTATAAGGGTCTTTAACTACCATAAGTTTCATCAAAATCGGTTATAAATAAGGATAGTTTTGTAACTTACTCTTGATATAAATTTTTCGAATTTTTTTATTCCTTTGAATTATCAAGCAAATAATATTATTTTTTAAGGAATTACTTTTTAGAAGAAAAAATGTCCCTACTTTTCTTATCAAATTCTACGTAGTTTAGTCAGAAATAATTATTTTTTAAATAATGTGTGGCTCAGAACAGTAACATAAAACATTTTTACATAGTAGGCATCTTTCATAGTGACAATTTCATTGTAATCATACTAATGATTGTCACTTTCGCGTGCTGTGATTTAAATTCGTATGTTTCTTCTTTATTTCCTTATTTGTGATCTTTGTGCTCAACTTCGCACTTCATTCGGTTTTTTTACAACCACGAACCATCATGCTTTTACTAACCGTGAATATGCCGATATGCATTTCCATCTGTAATGGAAATAGTCTGGCGGCTCAAAGAAAGTATCGGCAACGTTTTCCTAATAGAAGGTAACCTTCTGCAAGATTTGTTTCGTCGGTAAATTCATGGTTAGTAAAAGCATGATGGTTCATGGTTGCAAAAAAATTGAATGAAATGCAAAGTTGAGCACAGAGATAACATCTACGAAAATAAAGAAACATAAGAATTTAAATCATAGCACGCGAAAGTGACAATCATTAGTATCATTACCATGAAACTGTCACTATGAAAGATGCCTACTATGTAAAAATTGTTTTAAAAATGTTACTGTTAAGAGCCATACATTATTTAAAAAAGAATTATTTTTTACAAAACTACGCAGAATTCGAAAGAAAGTAGACATTTTTTCTTCAAACAAGTCTAATTCATTAAAAAATAATATTATTTGCTTGATAATTCAAAGGAATAAAAAAAATTCGAAAGATTTTTGTTAAGAGTAGTTACAGAACTATCCTTATTTATAACCGATTTTGATGAAACTTATGGCAGTGAAAGACCCTTATGGTATGATTATTACCTACAATTTTCATTTCGATATCTTAATCAGAAAGAAAGTTATTTTAAAAAATATCCAAATGATAAGACCCCTTTGGAGGGGCATATCTCAGTAACGGTGCTTCGGAGGACCAATGTTTATAAGAACTTTTTTTACTATTTTTGGCTCTACTTTCACCCCCTTAAATTTTGTACAAACTTTTCCAAACACCCTGTACATATGATATTTATAATCCTTGCTCAGGTCCGATTACTGTCACAAACTATGCAACCATGTATTCATTATAATCAATTCTGATTTGTCAATCGACGTCATATTCGGCCGACGGCTATTAGATGGAGAGGTTATGCTTCTTTATCTAACTTATGGGAACATTGTCGGCGGTACTCTCTCAATTCAGTGACTAAATAAATTCTCCAACAAAATTTTAACTACTGCAGTTTCCAATATATTTTAAGTGTGATTCCGATATAGTGCTTACAGAAGGGTCAATATTCTTTGTTTCGAATCAAATGGGATGGGTTTGAATGTTGGAAACTTATTCTAATGCACTAGAAACAAATGTAATAGGTGTTTCTGCAGCAATCTCAAACTGTTTTCAAACTGTCTGATATAGGTACTCAACCACTTAAGTTGTCACATACTTACTTGTCTTTCAGCAAATCAATTGATAATTGAAAATGTTATTTATCGTCCTTATTTCACAACAGAAAGAGCTGAAATTTGGTTACTGTGAGATAAGAAAATCCATTTTCGTTAAAAGAAAATTTCTACGGACAGTAGTTTCAGTTATGCAACATTAAGTTGGTTTTTTAATTCTTATGGGCGCTATATTGGATCTTGACAGTAACAGATAGACGATAAACTTACGAACACGTCAATTTGTAACTCTACTATTTTATTTGAAGAATAACACATAAAATTAAATAAATTCAATAATTTATTTAAAAAATTAATAAAATCTGCTTAAAATACATTCCTTGGATAATTTTAGGGAGGGTCTTTCATATAATTCTTTTTTTTAATTGAAGCCGTCCCTCAATGGTACAGTCCAGCGGACGGTGAAAACTGTTTTTTTGATTTTTTCTAAAAACCATTTAATATAAGCAAACGAAATTTAGCATGATTATAGTACTTATAAAATCATATTTTACTGGCATATTTCCCACTTTCCTGGTTTGCTACAAGGGGGTGGAGTAAACCACCCCTTTCATGTTCTTTTTTATTTTTTTTAGATTTTATAAGCGAAATAATATTTTAAGATGTCTTTATTTATTCTGAAACTTTTTTATCTTCGAAAAATTTTGTATTGCTCTGTTATTGAACAAAAAAATTTTTTTAGAACGTTGCAAATTTATTACTAGTAGGCAGCTGTAACTAAAATACTTTTTGGTAAGTGTCAAACACTGACAATAATATGTTTAAATTCAGTACAGGTCAGTAACTACTGCAATTAATTGTGGCGAATAATCATCATTCTGAATGAAGAATCTGCAATGCTGCATTTTATATTTTGTACACAGTTACGCATTTACGCAACACCCCGTATAACAAACAATCTTAGTATGCAGAACATTTTTGTTTCCTCGTGTTTTCGGGATTACATAGGTAAAAATGAATTTGATGATATCAGTTTATTTACTATTTCAAATAATTATAAATTCAAATATGTTTATTAAATAAACGTGAGGAATAAAGGGCGCAATCGTTGGTGTTGCAAGTTCTTAGTTTAATATCTTATTTAACTTTATTGAGTTCCTGACACTCGCTGGCAGTTGCTATGTCTATTGCGTCATAAAACTTGACCATAACTGCTCTTGTCACTGGGTTTTTACAAGACGCTTCTTGGTGAGATTTGATACAGGATTTAACATTTGGCATCAATCTGGAAATTAGATAATGTTAATGCGAGAATAATTAAAGAAATATGATATTCTTTCATGTAAAAATTGTTACAAAACTGTGAAACATTAAAGTTTATAAAGCCTCTGTGTGTGTGAAGAAATTGACTTGTTTGCGCACCGGTTTACCTGACGGGCAAAATGATGATGAACTTTGTTTTGTAACAATTCGTCAACTCCAAGAGCTAAAGAACATCTACTATACTAAATATTAAATAATGTTTATAATCTGTTAGAAACGAATTTTGCTCTCAAAAACGTTACCTTCAATTTAAAATTTAATGAAAAATGTTCAGAAAATTGCCATTTGTACTTACGAGCATACTAGTGATTTTGATGGAACTTTATCCCTATATTGTTGAAAGGTATTTTTCAGGCTAGTGCAAGTATCGAAATAATCAAATTCCTTCTTCAGCGTACAGGCGTTTAATAATTCTAAAACGGAAATACAAATTAAACATATGTTATTTTATCTATATTAGACGACTAAAGTTACCTAAAATCTCCTCAACGGTGGAGTTACAAGCCTGATCCAAAACTGCTTTGAGAATCTTGATGCCCAAAATTGGTAATCCTTTTGATTCTTCCGGTAAGCAATCGACTAATATTTTCGTGATTGGTTCAGAACATTTTTCCAAATTTTTTCTTGTCACAGTACAAATAGTGTCTTCGCCTAAGTCTATATCGTCCAAACATTCACCAACTTCTCCCACAGCTTTCTAAAATATATAAGTATCTTTTGTATATTGTACGTATTGCAGATAATAAATTTTATAGTTACAGTTACAACTCACGTCTAACTTTTCTTCGATGCCAGGGCATCGCGATTCAGTTTTATTAATTAAAACAAGGATGTCACTGAAGATTGTTGAGTTCAATTTGGTTTCTAACAGAGTAACTAACTCTCCTATGCTTTCTTCTTCAGAAGATGATAACTCTAGCGATTCCTCGTCCGCATAAGCTGGAAAGCAAAACTCATAGAATTTCTAAGGGATCTACAATTATACAATTGCATATCATCACCAAACTTTAAAATCTACTAGCAGTTTCAGTACAGATAGAAAAATACAGGGTGTGCCATTTACACTCCCGCTGCCAATATTTCCGAAATGAAGAAATTTATTTTAGTTTCGGAAATTGGGGTTGTTAGGTCCCTCGAATAGCTTCAAGTTGTAGTTAGAATTGTTTGTTTAAATCTTCCTGTACCTATAGATGGCATGGCGATACTAAAATATTTTTTGTTTCCTGAAACGTGGAAATACAGTCCATCTGAAAGATCGTTAAATTTTGAGTCATTTTTGTAATATAAAGTTTTTCCCCATATTTATTTGTTTTCGAGATAATATGTCCACTTCAAATATGCAATATATGGTGTAACAGGAAAATCTATTATTTTATTTAAATCACACTAAGACAAAATATTCTTTTAAAATATTGTAATGGCTTTATTCAAATCAGATACTAACTAACAATAAGTTATAAAAAAACGAACGTTCAACTATAGAAAAAAATATTGTGCAATGGTAAATCTTATAAGGGGCGGAGACGAACCGTATTTTATCAAATGTTATTAAAAAATGCAGTCAGGTGGTTCATGTCATTTGTTTAAAATAAAACAATGACAGATGACACATATTAGTTTTTTTATTGTTTGTTGGTTAGTATGTGGTGTGAATAGTCATTATAAAAATATTTTAAAAGAATATTTAGTCTCGTTGTGATTTAGATAAAATAACAGATTTTCCTGTTATATCATAAATTGCATATTGAAGTCGACATATCCAGAAAACAAGTGAATATAGGGAAAAACTTTGTATTGCAAAAATTACTTAAAATTTAACGATCTTTCAAATGGGCTGCATTTTTACGTTCCAGGGAACAAAATATTTTTTAGTATCGCCACGCCATCTATACAGAAAGATCTGAACTAACAGTTCTAACTACAATTTGAAGCTATTCGAGGGACCTAACAATCCCAGTTTCCGGAACTAAAATAAATTTCTTAATTTCGGTGATATTGGCAGCGGTAGTGTTAAATGTGTATACCCTGTATATGTATGATAGACATACGAATACATTACTCTTCTGCATTATTCGTGAGATTGAAAAACACGTTGTACGTTGTACGGTTTTGAACTTTAAGATAATTGGAAAATTAGTTATGCTATATAGTATGTATATGTAGGTATATGTATTTGCATTTGGTTTTTCCAAGTGCAAGTATAACCGAGATATTGATTTTTTTCGAAATTTGAAACTCCACTTTCAAGGCCTATTTTTTGTATACCTATGATAGAGTAAATAAACTTAAAATTTAACGAAGAGTATCATTGTAACTAATAATATAAAGAACACCTACAAACTTTTTTAAAAGGTACGTGCTAAGTTAAGCACTATTTCAAAATTAACATAAAACATTTTCAATAATAATGTTATACCTGAAAATAAATTAGGAAATAATTCATAAGATACTAGAAAAATATTTATAATACGAATAATAATCCAGTTTGTTGAATTACGCTAAAAAAATACATTAAAATTTCAGTAAAAAAAGAAATAAGAGAAGTATAAGAATGAAAATGATATTTTCTCACAATTCAGTTTTTTGTTGTGATATGTATGAAGAATACAGAAAAGTTACCGTAGGTGAATATGACGACGAATAACAGCAACAACTTCTTCATTCTGACAGGAACTTCAAACCAGCAACTCGGACTGTTTTATAAATATAAACCACAGAGTTTATATATAATATTTTGGAGTGTCAAAAGATCGGTGGTAATAAGATGACACGAAGATAGGAGAGGATTTAATTAGTATTTTTTTTGCGTGTGCCCCAGTAATAAATAGTTAGATAACACTAAGATATGTATAATAATTCACAGCGATTACACACATCTATTTCTTCTGTGTTTATATTTTTTAAGGTTATCGTAAGATACCCCAGTAACACCCATATCCAATTTTTCTGTTAAAGAAACAAACAGTTTTAAAAATAGGGAGAAAGCTATTTTACGTTCTCTATTGGCGGAAAATTTAAAAATCTCCTATCTTGTTTAATATTTCTTTTAAGCTTAATAACACTAATTCATAATTTTTCGTAATACTAAACTGGAATTAAATGTATAATTTTTGTTGCACCTCTAAGGTCAAAATATAATTTATAACGAAAATATATAAGATCTAATTAGTCCCTTCTTCAAAATATTTAATATATGTGCAGATAACCATAAGATAAATAACATTATATAATTCCCCAAAGAAATTAATATTGTTTGTATTATTGACATTTTAGGTTATCACCATAAGTCACTCCATACTGATATTCAATCGTTTTTTTTTTTAATAAGACAAAAGCTATTTCTCAAAAAAACTTTTATTAAAGCCACCGCAATTTGTTATAAAGGTATCTAATATTTAAACTTTTGCTTTCGATAATAATTGCTTTCGATAATCTGCAAGATTTTTAAGTTAAGCAAATAATATATTTCGGTAATGGGTACATATTGCAATACATCATTACTTTTTACAAGCGGAAAGTGCAGCGTCATAGAACTTTGAAAAGAATTCTTTCGCCTTAGTACTTTCACAGTCCAGATTGACGTATTCCTGCCAGCAGTCTCCTATCTCACGAAAAACCCTGTAAAAAATAATATACTTAATATTTTCCATGGCGATTAGAACAAAAAATATATAGGTATGTTAAAATGTGGTTAAAGCAAAATATACTGACTGGCAAACCTCCGCTTTGGATGGCCGTTCGACTGTAAACTTATCCAGCTTTAGTTCAAGGGTCTCTTGCTTGCATTCTTCCCTAATAGTTTTATTTCGTTGATCAAGATACTCATAAAGACATCGATTCAATGCCTCTAAAAAATGATTAAACATTTTAGCTACGCAATTCTTATGTACCTAAGTTTTCCCAGTGTAGTTTATCTACCTAGCAAAATTTCGCCGCTGCTGGTACAAAAGGTTTCGACCACAGATGCAGCCCCCTTCACGATAGCTGGTGGAAGGTCCTTTGATTTTTCTGGGAGACAGTCTACGAAGTAGTCCACTAGGGGTTGGGAACATCGTTGCACGTTGACCTCGAAGCTATGACAAATTGAATGATTGCTTTGAAGTAAATCACCGTAACATTTTTGCGCCTCCTTTACAACTTCCTGAAATATAAATGTTACACGAACATTGAGTTTATTTTTGCAAGATAGGAAACAGTTTATTATTCTTTTTAAACAATAGCTATATTAGTCTTAAATAATGCCTGTATTTTTCACACCTACATTTTTCACACCTAGTACCAATATGTCATACTTACATGGTATCTTGTCTGAATAATGGTGCTATTGTCAGGACAGATTTTCCAGGCTCTATCCAGATCCCTGATGGTGTAATATGGAACCAATGGATACATATAAAAATAAGACAATGGTGAAGAACATGCTGAAAATTTTTGAAAATGTTAAATCAAATTATACATGGAAATGTCTGGAACATGTTGTAAAATGTTTAATTTGACTGGAAAATTAGTTATGTTTGTTTAGAAGAATTTATTTTATCTTCAACTTTCTTGTATAAAATTAAAATATTAAAATTATCACTATATCCATTTAATAACCCTCCTTACTGCCGTTACTAGATAAAACATTTAATGTATATGTGGCACTAGAAAAAAAACATCTTTCGTTTTAAGTACATAATTTCTTATCGAGGAAATATAAAAATCTTACAAAGTAGATAATAACAAAATAACCACTACTACTGCTTACCTACAGCAAAAAATGTAGCAAGTGGAAAAAGGATTTTTATTGATGTCATTCTAAAAAAATATATATTATTGAAAATTTGTTTTAATGTTACTTATTCATAGCATACCTAAAGTTGTTGGCAAATAATTTTTGGGAAATGTACACTTGTGTAATATTGTATTACCTACATGCTATGATGACATAAATACAATCGAATATTATATATAGTTGCCGTTCTTATCTATTAGAAAAAAAAACAACAACCTCCGATAATTATGTTTTGAAAATCTGAGGTTATATAGTTCATTTCTTGTGAAGATAAATAGCTACATATTCGAACAAGTTCCATATTGTTTTTATATTTTTCATAAAAATACGAATTCCCTATAGTTGTTTATATAATTTTGGTACCAATATTTTTTAGAATTATGTATATTTTTAACGTACTTAATCAAAACTATCCTAGGTACCTGTTTAAAATATAAGATCCACTTCCAGCTACATTTTTAGTATATTATAAAATATTGTCATAAGAATAGAATAAAAGACTGATTAAAAGCTTAAAAATATATATATTTCTTCCTACGTCAAAGGTCAAGCCAAGTAGTTTAAAAAAAAAAACATGAAACATGAAAGTTGTTTCACGAACCTATATTTCGGTACATTGAAAAATTATCATGTTTCATTATTTTTTACAAGCAGAAAATGGAATTTTAAAAACTCTTTAGCCTTTGAACACTCGCGGTCCTGAATGGCCGTTATGGAAAGTTATGCAAAAATACTAAACTCTGAGAAAGTCTTTATAAGTCTGTCAAACTCTGTTTTGAGATTTCTGCCAAATTGTGTAAAAAACAAGATTTAACAGTTTGATCTTGAAAGATTTTCTCATAGAAAATTGATTTTCCGCAGACAAAAATTCCCATAAGGGGAAACATGTTTTTGCAATTCACCACAAAGGAAACTTCAAAACATATCACAAATTTCAAAGAATGAGATAGGTATCTCTTTTAATATTAAGTTAAGGGGGATCGAGTGCTACGAAAAAAATATAGCCAATTTCATATTGAGAGATATTATTTTTGCAATACGAAATCAAATTCTGTAAATAATGCTGAAAATATTTATCGATTTGTTTTTGTTCTTAATTAATGCTAAAAATTTGACTATTTAAAATAGGTTTTTATGGGAAAAACTATGAAAAACAATCGAATTAGGGGTGAAAGAATGCAAATGGCAAGTCGAAAAAAATATGGATATTTATCTGATGATTCATTAATAGATGAAAGAAAGAAAAAAAGTAGGTTAGCGCACATTTCACAGAGAATAAATTATCCAACATTAAAAGTTCTGACAAGTAACGGCAACAGCACAATATAGTATAAATGTGGATAGGTGGCGGGAAATTTAAATAAACGTTTCGATACCCGAATTAGTCATTGCAATTGGATTACATTGGTCTATTTGTATAATTCAATTTTGAACAATAAAATAAAATGGGAAACTTTCAAATAAAGTATGTTTTTTTGAAATCTTTTTTTTATTTATAAAGTACGATAAATTTTCAATACAAGAAGTTAATAATTCAGCAGCATATTATAAACAATGAAATATTTATACTTTGCATCACGACGCATATAATAATCTTATGCATTTTGATAAATTATGACATTTTTTATATCATTTTTCATTTTAAAATTAACATTTCAATAATTTTTTAGAATATTTTTGGCTGCAATAACATCGTATCACAGTATAATGCTATAGTAGCATCATATTCGATGCAAAGTAGAGCAAAAAATTGTTGCGCTTTTATCAAAGGAAAATCGTGTCATAATTTTTTAGGACGCGTAAGATGAACCATTTCAAATTTAAAATGAAATTGAATATATAATCTGAAATACCGCATCATACGGATTGTGTTCTGGTAGTAGCTGTGGTTGCTCAGGTGCATCGAGTTTGCGAAGTGGTCGGTTATACGTCAAATGGCGAGCTTGGCAGTAAATCAGAGACCGTCTCTAAAAAACAAGTAAACAACATTGTAAAATGTAGTACATTTGTGGAATTTAAAAAACAAATTGGATTTATAATAAATTACATTTAAAATAAATAATTTGTGAGAATAAAGGAATTTTTGTTGGAACAGGGGTGTCAGACGTGAACTTATCCTTTCATCCCTCCATAATACATAAAGAAATTATTTAATTTCTAAACCCCTTAAAACCGTACTGCACTGGATCCCTTGACAGACAATGATTTATTACTTAGCATCGAATATGATCCCACTATACATATCAAATTGTCTTATACTTTCATAAATGCAATCGCTTTAAACCCTAATAAGGAACATTTGTATCCACAGAAGTGCATCATAGTAGTATGCTACTTACGCACGTAACTAAATCATATTTAAACATTTCCTCGTGATAATCTAAAATACGTAAAAGTTCTTTGCAAAAAGAGCAGTCAGTGCCTGGTTTGTACCCTGTTTTCTGTCTGTCGATTAGTTGATGCTCTCGAACGGTGTGCGAAGGTTCCGGCTAAACTGCATTTAAATTTTCGTCTACACCGCTACTGGGCGATTCCCGAACTTGGTTGTAAGCATCCGAGGTTATGTAGTTCATTCCTTAAATATTATGAATGACTGTAAACGAGCAAATATACGGATGTACAAATTAATTTTTTAGAATTGTTTTTCGTCTAATTTTGGTACCAAAAAATATTTTTTAGAAGAATGGCCGTGGATAAAATTTTCTTAGAAATGCCTCTTGTTTGTATACCATACTTAATCGAAACATACAGTATCTGTCTAAATTACATATAAGATCGACTTTCTTCAGTTATAATATTAAATATAGGTATTAGAAAATATTTTCACAAAAAAGAACTGGGTAAAATAATGGGTGTTAAAAGCTTAAAATAATAATAAATGTTTCTACATCGGTACCAAAGGGTAAGTGGTTAAAGAAAACATGAAAGTTGCTTCATAAATATATATTTCGGTACATTGAAAGATCATCAAATTACATTATTTTTTACAGGCAGAAAAAGCAGCGCCGTAGATCTTTGAAAAGAGCTCCCTAGCCTTTGGACTATTACAATTCTGCCCGACGTACTCTTGCCAACAGTTTTGAATCTCAAGAGCAACCCTATAAAGATACAACATATATTATGAGACGCTACATAGGTATATTTGTTCATACTTCAAAATAACGTTGAGCTTATTTTAAAATATCTAGTTGGGACTTTATGTAAATAGCGTAGTATATACAGGGTGTCCGGAAATTATGAGCAAAAAATTCAGGGGAAAATTCTAGACCGAAAATAAATGCTACCTCTTTCTATAACATTTTTTCCAAAACTGATTATTAACGGAGTTACAGGGTGTTAAAGTTAAATTTTATTTGCAGTTTTTTTGCAATACCTTTTGCCACACTCATAATATTTTGACGAAATTTCGTATAGGGGGGTTTTTCGGGATGAGGATTATAAATTTGCCCACCGTTTTTTCGCATTTTGTAGAGGGCGCCACATACGAGCCTTTATTTTGATTTTAATGGTTCCAACTTTTTTGTGCTACACTTTATGCGAAATTTGACTGAATATTTTTGTTCTCCTAACCTTTTGACATAAAAAAGGTATACTTTATTTGTTTCGATAAATCTAACCGTTTTCGAGAAAAACGATAAAATAACATTGCTTGCATGTGATGAATACGAAATCATTTTAATTTATTTTCTACATTAAACATAGCATGCTTTGGAAACAAGCGCTTAGTTGCCTTGGAAACAAATTTGTGGAGAATTAGTTTTGACAGATAGTAATTTTGTACAAGTTCTTTTGTAGTAATAATTGTTATCATAAAAATAATAATAAAAATGAACAATTACTCTAACGTGGAGTTGCGGGGGATGCATTATTATTACGGTTTAGCTGCTGGCAATGCTCTTGCAGCACGACGTTTGTATCGCGGAGCATTTCCAAATAGAAACCTACCCCAATCGCGAATGTTCAGTACTATTCATCGAAGACTGGGTAAACGGTATATGAAATTTCGTCAAAATATTATGTGTGGCAAAAGGTATTGCAAAAAAACTGCAAATAAAATTTAACTTTAACACCCTGTAACTCCGTTAATAATCAGTTTTGGAAAAAATGTTATAGAAAGGGGTAGGATTTATTTTCGGTCTAGAATTATCCCCTGAATTTTTTGCTCATCATTTCCGGACACCCTGTATAATATAGGTGCTATTAAATCTATACTCACTGGCACAACTCCGATTTCGAGGGTACATCAATATTAAACTTTTCTAGCTTAGCAAGTAGGACATCTGACTTACATTCTTCCTTATTAGTTTTATTTCGTTGTTCAAGGTGCTCATAAATGCACGGATTAAACGCCTCTAAAAAATAGTTCATGTCATTAAACCCACAATTTATAATACATTTATTGTTACTCAAGTGTCGTTGTACCTAATAAAAGCTCGCCATTGCTAGAACAAAATGTTTCGATCACAGATACAGTCCCCTTCAGGATGACTGGTGGAAGGTCCTTCGATTTCTCTGGGAGACAGTCCACGAAGTAATCCACTAGGGGTTGGGAACATCTTTGCACGTTCACCTCGTAACTGTGACAAATTGACTGATTGCCCTGAGAAATTTCTTCATAACATTTGCGGGCTTCTCTTAGAATTTCCTGAAATGAAACAGTTAAGATGTCACTTGTACCATATCTTTCATGAAGGTGTTTGGTATTTTGAGATTATCTAAAGAATCATATGATCATATGTCACACGTACACTGTATTTTGTCTGGTTTACTTTTTTTTTTGCACAGACCTTCCAAGCTCCATCAACGTCAATCAGTGTGTAAAATGGAGCTGATAGATCTATACAGAAATATCTCAATACTGAAGGCGATGCTGAAAATTAAAAAACTCATCAGTCAAACAATAATTACATATACCTACCCATAAAAAAAATGCCGTATATTCGTTACAATTATTATTGCCGTATATAAAATGTCATTCAAATTTCTATTTCATATATGTATTACAATAATTATACGCTCCTATTTTTATTATCAATAGAATTCTTTCATCTGACTATCCGTCCTTAGTACTTACTATATAATAATTCAACAAAAAAACTATATACCTACAAAGAAAATTTTGTTTCATTCAGTGACATGAAGATTTTTTTTATGTGTGGTATCTTATCAAGAAATATAAAGTATGAAATAGTGGATAATACTATAGGAAGAATAATTTAAAAAAGATATAGCCATTACTGCTTACCTGCAGCAAATGTAACAAATAGAAATAATAATTTCATTGATGGCATTCTAAATAAAAGTCAACAAAAGTTATTAAAACAAATATTTTAAGAAATACTCTATACACTGCATTTGATCTACTATAATAAAATATAATCAAAAATATTAGATATATATATATAGTTGAACACATTGTTATCTTAAAAAAAATCGCTTTTGATAAATTATGAATATATATTTATCTATCTGAGGTTATTCAGTTCATTCCTCAAAGGCTCTCAATGGAGATAAGCAAATATTCGGGAACTCGTTTAATTGTTTGAAAATGAACTTTTTGGAGATGTTTATTTTTTTAATTAATAAATAATACTTCATATGGATATAAAAGCTTGAGTACCTACATATTTGATTTTGTTACTAGAAAACTACAAACTAGATGGGGGTTTTGAAGATTACACAGGGTGTTTCTTAAGTGGAGGTAAAAAAATTCAGGGGCGTATTCTGTGGCCAAAAATAAGGCTCCTTTGTTATATAAATGTGCGGGGTCTTAAGGCAGCAGCCATTGTCCAGCTACAGCGTGTCAAAAATTAAAAAAAAATCAGTTTTTAATTTTTAATTTCTAAACCGCTTGAAATAATTTAACCAAATTCGGTGTGTATGACAGTAGGTATGAAACAAAAAATTACCAGCTTTAAAAACTTACCAGTGGTGGAGGTGTGGGTATCATCGATCATTATTTGCAAAAAATATATATAACCCTGTATAATATTACAAATAGAATAGGTCATCATATGCGCTATTGCATTATCTTCACATTTTGTGTGTGTCTTTACACTTTTTTGTATTCCAAACCGGTTAACAACAAAATCGATTTATTTGATCAAGTGCATTTTTACGATACTCATTACATTACTTAAAATAATAACAAAATAATTAATTAGCAACAGAATTACTTTACTATGATTTATTTATAACATGTTGGAAATGGCCACTTTCAGCCAAAATGCAAAAATTCCAGGAGTAGCTCTTATTTGTTGACGTAAGTGCTCCTCAATGTGAACCTTGAAAACTAATGTATCGAGATGTCTCCAAACAAAAAAATCAATGGGGTTCATATCAGGTGATCTGGGTGGCCGGGGTCGACCTGGTTTTTGAGTGCCTCGTCCAATCACGTTAATACCGAATCTTTCATTAAAAATTCACGAGCAGTCAAACTAAAATGTGGGGGAACCCTGTCATGCATAAACCACATTTCGCTTAGCGCATAGGAAACATCGTCAAGTAGTTCAGGTAAAACGTTTTCAAAAAAATGTCTGTAGGAGGCACCGGTTAAAGGTCTTGGTAAAAAGTAAAGCCCAACAAGAAAATTTCTAATAATACCCACTCATACATTCAAAGAAAACTGATGTTCAAATCGTAATTCCATTATGGCATAAGGGTTTTCATCAGACCAAACATGTTTATTGTGGAAGTTCATTATAGCATCTCTGGAAAAGTCAACATTTTGTTCAATTTTTTGCAAAATCCAGTGGCAAAATTGTAAGCGAGCAAAATAGCTTTGCGGCAGTAAGGCTTGAACCCTTTGTACGTGATACGGGTATAACTGTTGATGCTTCAGAACGGACCAAACTAATTTATGATTCGCATTAAGATTTGCAGCGATCTTCCTAATACTAGTATTTGGGTTCTCTTCAATTTCTTGTAGAATAGCATCTTCCACCTCAGGCGTTCTAACACTCAAAGGTCTTCCAGGAATTGGAAAACATTTCTAAACATCCTTGAATTTGGAGTTGATTGATTTGGAAATATTTCCATATAAATTCTCCNATTCTTTTTTTTACAATATTTCTATATCTAATAACAATATCTGTTTTATTTTAATTTTCCAAATGTTAAAATAAATAATTCTAATTATTTTTAAATTCTAAATCAAAATCATTTGAAATTCCTTATGTATTTCAATATATATATATATATATATCACCCTATATAATATTATTACAAATACATTGTATTATATTCACTTTTTGTTTCTTTACCTTTTTTGTATTCCAAACCGATTAACAATAAAATTTATTTATTTGTAATATTATACAGAAATATATTTTTTTGTCAGATAATGATCGGTGGTATCCACACCTCCGGAACTGGTAAGTTTCTAAATCTGGTAATTTTTTGTTTCGTACCTACTGTCATATGCACACCGAATTTGGTTAAATTAAGTATTTCAAGCGGTTTAGAAATTGAAAATTAAAAACTGGTTATTATTATTTTTTAATTTTTGACACGCTGTAGCTGTACAATGGCTGTCTTAAGATTTATATAACAAATATTCCATATTTTTGGTCTGAATTTGACCTCTACTTAAGAAACACCCTGTATAACTTTACATAGAAAAACATACTTATCACATAAGTAATACCCAGTAAAATACTGTAGACCTATTCTTCAGAAAAATTTAACACTATCGTCCTATTATTCTGTTTATATCAAATACATACAGTTTAATGACAAATACGCCCTCTATCATTATCGGCATTCTAAACTGCGAGTATACATCAGCATAACAACACTTTATGACCTCTAGCGTCACGTCTTAATTTGTTTTCCTGAAATCCCATTCATGATAAGATCCGTTCCGCAACATGAAATCGAATTAACTTCTTTTAGAGATAGGATGACCCTACTATCTCCAAGAAAACAGGATTATCTAATATGCACTAATGAACATATCGTAAAACTGGAAATAAAAACATGTCTGGAAATTCGAAAACTGTTTCTGTTATGTTGAATGGAAAAATGTTTCTACTATTTGTATTACACAGAGAACTAGTCTCATTAGTTTTCATTACGAAACTACACGTAATTAACAAGCCACTATACACTAAAAAAACAATGAAAATTGATTCATAGAAACATCAATATGAGGTGTTCAGATCATATACTTCACATAAACTAAAATTAATTTTTACCAAACTAGAAAACTCGACGAAAACTTTCATTGACTCTCTTTTCTGTGATATATCGTTGATCGTTTTAAAATTTAATTTAAGTCAATGAAAAGCCTTGTTTTGTCGAAAATTATAATTTGACGACGTCATTAATCTATTTTGGATAAACAAATTTGATGAAAATTTGAAAGTCTCACATTAACTTAGAGATAGATGCATAAAATTTTATATCGCTATAGTCCTAAAGGGCATTCTATTCAAATATACATTATATAGGGATAGGGCGTTTCGTTTAAGAATGTCAACAGTTTTGTTTGCTACGGCTTTTGAGGACACCTTATATAAAATTCAATCATAAAAAAAACCTTTTAGTAAATAGCGACAAGTTTCATATTTCTATTTTTTCTATATTTTATATAATAAAATTACATTTTTTTTGTCATTTTGTTTGTTAATAATTATGCCGTTTCCTATTGGTTGGTTCAAATGCAAAGCCTCATAGACAAGGGAGGTATATTTTTTGGAATAACTGAAAAGATGATCAAGAAATTCAGTAAAAATTCATTTTTTCTTTGCTAAAAAATATTTTTAAATAAAAAAAATTGTTGCCTTTTTGGTGACACGGAAATATTTACACAACACATTCACTATTTCGTATAGTAAAGGTATGGAAACTTAATAGACCAATAAAAGCAATATTTTATATATTATTATAAATAATATGTTAAAAATATTAAAGTTTAATAAAATTATATTTAATTATAATGTAATAATTCAAGCTAAGTCAACAAGGCATCGCGCTGTGCTGTATGTGGACTCCGCTCAGCAATACTAATACTGGGCAATCAATTTTTCTTGCGGAATATTAAATTTAAATGTATGAAAATACTTTATTATTTGACTGTGGGATCATTAAAATTTTCATTTGTTTATTGAAAAGTTAATTAAAAATATAATAATAAATAAGTTAACTTAATTATTTATTAAAATATAAATATTACACAATAAGTCCTGAAAAATTCATTAATATATCTTTAATGGTTCTAACCTAACACAATTAATATTTTAATTTAAAGTCCGGAAAACGTTTATTGCAAAAAAAAATTGTTGTTAAAATGAAAATTTTGAATAACGGTTTTAGTGTATTATAATTGTTGGTAATGACTACTTTTAATCCAGTGGAAAATGGGGGGTCTACTTGACGTGATTTAGCTCATTATTGCCATGATTTGATTTTATGGATATTGTAAGGAATTTAATTTTATCAATAAATAATAGGTATCAGTAAGTATAATATCAAGTTTTATTCAACGTACCTATAGTTTAATAACTAAGACTTAAAACTTTAAGTAAAGTTTATTAGGTAGGTAATTAAATTTTAGGGAACATTGTGGTGTGAAAAAAGATGTAGTGTCGAGGATTGAAAAAGGTATGTTGAGATGGTTTGGACATACAGAGAGAATGAACGAAAGAAAATAGACGAAACCAGTATATGAGTGTAGATTGGAAAATTTGAAGGGGTTATATTTTCTTGAAAATATGAAAACTGCATTAACCATATGGATAGAATTGAAAATTGCGTCAAATATGTTTTCGCTTCAACCAAGTCTGTCACGAATTCTAGGAATGTTTTTGAACTAAATTATTAATCCTGCATTTTATCAGTTTTCGTAATTTCACTTTAAAATTGCATATATGCGTATTTCCTTTTAATACAGCGAAAGAAGAAATCGTACTGTTTGTAAACAAGACGCTGTTCTCAGAACATATCACTCTACTGTAAACAAACAATACTGGAATATTTTAAGTTGATAAGTGATCCTTGGGTAGTCGTTGTGACCAGTCGATTTTGAATTGCTAGAAAGAAGAGATCAAGATGAAGTGGTTGGCGTGCTGCGTTGCTGTATTAGCTGGTATGGAATTTATTTAATTTGTAAACATTTTTTTTACTATACTATTTGATAAAAATCTTACCATAGAATCTATCTGAATCATGTTATAAATATTGCTTTTCAAACATTTACCACGAGATGTACTTTCCCATGTTTGAGCTTTATATACGAACTCAAAATACAAAAACATTTTTTACACATTTCCAATACATTTCAGTTAAAAGAAATTACAAAATAGAAACATTTTTTGTATTTATTCAAATGGTAGGTACTTCCCAAAGGTCATTTAACATATTTTCTTAAAGGACAAAGAGGTTTATTTGCACTTAATTTGTGTTAATATTTTTGTAGAAAATTTAAACGTTTTTTTTTTGCTGATGGAGATATTATTTTGTAATAATATAGCTCTTGTCAAGAGATATTTTATTTAGATTTAAAAAAAAGTAAAAATTCTGCCACTAAATTACGCGGTATTTAAGACGACGTTATCTTTAAAATATATTTGGATGACCCATATTTGACCTCACTATCACCGCATTTGGTTATGTACAATTTAAATGTTTGATAAGGGGATCAAAGTGTAAATTTTGTTAATATCGGAAAATTAACTTAAAAACATGTGGCAAAACTATGCGCTTTTGTTAAAATTTTCATAAAATTCTTAATTTCAGTTGTCGGTCTGGTGCAATGCCTTACCAGCAGCGAAGAGATGGTGAACTTGAAGGTTCAGATGATCAAGAATTACATGAGAGAAAGACAAGCCATAAGTTCTCTGACGACAAAGGTTGAATCTCTGTGTCCAGGATACGGTTCCCAATTTGAGGTATGTCTTCATTTAATCAAAGGAAATACTGACAAGACCATGTTTTTTATTACCTAGGTGTTGTATATTTTATATTATGTAATTATATTTTTCGATATACAGAGATATACAGAGTGTAACTATGAGTGAGGGTCATATTTATATACCGAGACTACCTTTGACCTTTATAAATACGTATCATAAGTTTGTTTTTTACCGTCTTGAAAACTGTTTTTTTTATCTTTATTTAGTAATTTTCGCACCTCACCGCTGGACAAGCTATTATGACCTCAAACAAAGGAGCGCGTTTGTCGTAAAAAGCAAATTTTCACACCAGCGCAGCACAGTGCCGAAAAGTACTACTCTTTGGTGTTATTTTTATTGAATGGGTGTTGGCCACGACTGTCACGAGCCCTATCATTCCACATAAACGAAAATTGTATTCTTTCAAATAAGACAAACTATGAAACAGTACCTAACAAGTAATCTAACAGAAAAACTGTCACAATAAATAATCATAAATAAAATACTAAAAAATAAATAAATGACATATTTGTTCAGCTGATTTTTACACTTCGTGTGTAATCTTTGAGTATCGCAGGATCCTCTTCCTTAAAATAATTAACTTTACACTCGTATAAGATTATACACTTACAATTTTAACTAAACGATGCCCTTCTTAAGCTTTTGGAACATAAACGGATTCTGCTTAAATTTAAACTATTTATGATTCAATTTTGTCGCTGTTTTGCTTACTTTGGATGAATTTAATGTCTCGTAATGATTGACTACTGTGAAGTAACTGAATAAGGGAAATGATCAGAAACATACCATATTTTGTTTAGAATTGTATAACTTTTTAAAATTGACTGTTTTAACTTTATCAAATGCGTCCCTGTCTACTTTATACAATGACAATACTATATAGTTTAGCTAAACTAAGCAATATCAGAGATTATACCGAATATCTCTACTATAGGTACCTACATATATGTATACTGTTTTTTAGACTGCTTTAAATAAAGTTGAACAATGTACCAATGGCATCGACGAAGATACCGAGACTATGTGTTCAGCTGTAGAGAACCACTTTGAGAGATGCTCCAAGCCTGTAGTGAAAATATTCGAAGAATGTCTTCCAGAGAAGTCTAAGGATGTTCCTGCTTTCATAATCAAAGCGATCTTGTCCGTTTCCAAGTACCTCTGCAAAACTGACGGCGAACACATTTTTGGTAAGTAGAATTGAAAGGTATATTCTAATAAAATGCTCTATTTATCAAATGAAGAATATCCGCGCTATTTCAACGTGAGTACGTACGTACAGACAAACGATAGTGATAGTCATCCTAAATATTGAGACGATATTTCTTTGTAGCTTCAAAAATTGTAAGTGTGAAGCGCTCCGAAAATGAAAACAGAGCCGTAGGCCAGTCAAATTGTCGAAAATACCTCGTTTTTGGCAAAATTTAGTTCAGTAAACAAAGACATGTTTCCGTAGAATTAAACAAACTACTTTACTACTAGCTAAATTTTAGGGCTTCAATTTCAAAATGGCGTCCAAAGTTCGCAAAAAACAGTTTTTTTCATTTCAAAAAAAAATAAACATACTAGAAAAAATGTTTTAGTAGACAAAAATTGCAGAACTTTCTATAACACAAATTTTGAGCTCGATGTCAATTGATAAACAAATGTATTAGTTATTGCAAAAAAAAAACGGCTAAAAAGCACATTATTTTAAAACTTCTTTTAAAACGAAAAAATATATTTTTACGAAACTTTCAGAATAGGTAGTCCTTGACAAGTAGAATAAGTTCATTTTTGTAAATTGAAAAATATTTAAAAATAAAATTTTTTCAAGTTTCAATAAATTATACACTAATGCACTTACGTGACCGATCTTTGGCTTTAAATTTTCTCTAAGAGTTGTACTTTCCTGTGCAAATTGTCTCGTTATGCAAAATAATTGGAAATATCCGAAAAATCTACGGAACTTGGACTTCTTTTTTGAGTCGAAAAATGTAAGATATTTTTTTTTTTAAATCGCTACGACCTCATTTATTAACATTAAGGTCTGAAATTTACAAATGTTGTAGTTGAATACTTTTACTTCAATATAAAAAATAGTCCGCAATGATCGACCCTCTTTTCTTACAATGAACTTAATTTTGTTAGGCCCCGCAAAATGTTTGCTTCGTTGTGCATTAAACATAAAACTATGACGTTACCAGGACGAAAAATATTAATGAAATGATCTAAACAATTGAGGCAACCTGTCAAAAATGAAACGGTCTAGAAATAGCACGGGTGCTGTGATTTATGTAGACGAATAAAAAAAACATATGAAAGACTAGAATGGAACAATGTGAAGAGAGACGATAAAGTAATATTAACTAATTCCTTGTTTAGAGAGTTTACTAGACGTATCCTCGCCTGCCTTGAGGCTATATTTTATAGAAATAAAACTCCTTTTCTTTTATTACTTTCCAGAATTGTCCAATCCATGTGTAAAGAGCCAAAACTATCGCACACAAAGATGCCTTCGTAAGCTCGAGAGTAAATTCCAACAGTACTCATCAACATTCCCTACCAAGGATGAAATTTGCCAGTGAGTTTTCTTCATTCGTTATAATAAATATTCTCCTAGATACCTAAAATTGTTTGTAGTTACTATCCGAAAATAATTCTGCCAAAGGCAATTTTAAATTGTTTATCGCTCGTTCGCTGCTAAAACTGTTCATTTGGTACAGATTCACCTCTTCCTTCAAAGGATGTTTCGAATCCCACTTGCTCCACAGCTGCGGCCACGTTAAAACCAGAGAGTCCTTCCTTAACGTGTACAATGCCCTTCAGTCGCCATGTCAGTCCAGTGGTACAGAGAACGAAGTCGACATGCGAAAACCAATGTAAGTACCTAGTTTTTTTAGTATTCTTTAACGAAACAAGTACCTAACAAATAAATATTTACCGGAACGTTTTAATTAACTCTTCCATTTATTTGTTTACAGACACGAATGGGTTGAAGAAGTGTAAACTAAGAGCCTTTACATGTATGTTACTGATTTATAATATAGTTACTTTATGTTCCTGTGTAGATAACTAATAAATCGCCAAAATAGTTATGATTTTGTGATTTTTTTTAACTTATTTTTTATACCGGGTATAAAACAATAAGTATAAGTTGTGCTCTCATAAGTACCAATATAATATTTATAATTTCACGTTGCAATGTCACTACAAGTAACATTACCTGATAATTTAAATTGATGAACGGTGGTTCCCGAAGAGGAAGAACTTATTGGTCCGCCATCTTTCAAGAGTTAGGAACCACTGTTCTAGAACACCATAAAATTTTACTGAATTTTTCAGTATTAAGTTTTTAGATGTACAACATATATTGTGTTATTTTAAATTATAAAATATTGATTGGCAACATAACGCTGGAAATTACATTGTGCTCTTGATGTTCCTTACAAGGTGTTGGGATTTTGGCAAATATCCAAAATTCTAAGGTTATAACACCAAGTAGGATTGCAGAATAACGGAACATGAAAATGCTGTAAATTTTATGACCGCCCAGAAGTCTCGATCTGAAACCAATAAAATAGTTTTTCCTTTTCAGGACATAATCGTGGGACACACTATATGTATATCTACGTCATATTTTTAATAGTTACAACGTATGTGTGGTGGATGGGAACTTATAAATCAGTAGGTATTGTAATGAACTCTAGCTAATGCGGGTTCAAATTGCCAAACGATTTTGCAAAATCTAAGCATTTAAATTACTCAACGAAGTGAAAATAGTTGTTGGCGTTATCTGAAAGCTTACGAAAACAAAAAAAGCCATTAAATTTATTACCAATATTGGTATTGCACGAGCACATGCTACAATATTTTCTTTAAATTTTTCAAAGAGTTTACCTACACGAAAAGTAAGTATTGCACATGTAATAATTTTCGATACATATCTCTCCATTATCTCATGAACTGCATAGAGAAAGGATTATATATAAATCCCTTTTCTACTGTAGGCTACAATAGATTAACCATGTTGACCACACCTGTGACGATTTTTTGATCACTACTTCATGACAATGGAGTGCAATGCGCGTATGAAAGGTTTGAAAGGGGTCGAAATGTGTTTGTAAAAATTTCCCACCATACTACATCCACACCTATAATCAACATAATTGAAGGGTTCGCTCAACCGATGCTAATCATTCCTCTATTATCAGAAAACAGTACAAATACAAGCCGTAAATATCTAAAAGCAGTTCATATTTTTCACGGTTTTCTCGTGGATTAGAAAGATTTAAGTGTAATTATATAATTTTTAGGCAACAACAATTCTTAATCTGTTTAATATGAAAACACAATACTATATACCTGAGACCCAAACCTTATTGCAAATCAACAGGTTGGCTTCGTGATGGACTATTAAGTATTTTTTACGCGATAAACATGATTTACAATAGTCAGTAGAGTGCATCGGTATTACGTTATATCTTTACAGCAAATATAACCTTGCAACGGCTATTTTATCACTACAGTTGAGTCACAAAATTAAAATAACTGTCATTAACATAAACGAAACGTATTTAATTGCAAACGAAAATGTAGTGGATTGTTTGAAAAGAATTTGCCAAGTATGCCAAGTCGACTATACATATCGGAATAAGAAAAACGTGTTCAATGTCAATTTCTAAAAAAAGGTTAATTAAAAATTTACTATGTGATTTTCAGTTTTCATTGATTAAAATTGCTATAAATTGCTTTTAGTAGTTTTGTTTAATTGCGTCAATCAGCGGTCCCATCACAGAGCCTTGTGGGAGCCTTCAAAGTAAAACAGTACTATTCTTTTGACCGGTTAAAAAGAAAAAAATAAAGTATTCCTTCAAAATTCTCTGTAAAAATTCATACAACAATTTTCTACACAGGAAAAGAATAATTATGATTATTATAGGATGCAGTATTTCTATTTCCTCTACAATTATAAAAATTCACAATTTTCACTGAAATAATCTTCACTTTCAGGTGAATGCTCCTTGGTGCATCATTAACTAAAGACATGATTAATTTTGTAAGACGTGTGGTAATATTGAGGAAGTTGGTAATGTCCATAATGGTATGGTATTGGGTAAAGTGGCAAAATGACAGGATATAGAAAATAATTTAATAGGAAAAAAAATTATCCACGTACAATGTCGCATTCATGTTGTTGTATTACCTATATGTATTTGAGAACTAGAGAGGAACAGTAATCTTGAAATTTTTATTATTGGACATTCTGTAATGTCAGCATTAGAAGCTGAAACTTTTTTTTATAATCAAAAAATAATAATAATAGAGAGTGAAGGGAAGAATATTCTGAAATTGTATTTTTTTAGATGAAATATTTTTAAATAAAAAAACAATAATATACAACGAAATAAAAAACAAATAAATAATCAACACTTAATAAAAAAGTTATCCGTTTCTGTAACAACTGTTGGAAGTGGTATTTTATTTCGTAGATTTAAAGGGGAATATCTCGAAAGTGATTACTCGTAGCGATATTTGCTAGGTTAGATATACCTTTTTACATTAAAATGATAGAAACATTAAAATTAAATCGAAGAGGTAAGAAGAAGCAAAAAATTTAGGATATTTTAAAATCATGAGAAAACTGCCGCAAGTGGCGCCCTCTAATAAGTAACAGATTTGTTTTAAAAAAATGAGAAATTTTTCTCTTTTTTAAGTATCAATGTTTGGTTAAATCGTAATATATCTGTTAGTGAATACAATCTGCTGTTGCTCCATGTACTATTGCTTTTGGGGCCCCACGTATACTTTGGTAAAAATTAAGAGGTACCTAATTCAAATAGAGTTTTCTCAAAAATTATTCTTTTCGAAGCACTATTTTTTATAAAAAGAAGTTTGAAAATAGTTAATATCAGTTGTTTTGTAGAAAAGAAAAACAGATTTAAAAATGTATGTCCGCCTGTTTTTTTTATTGCTTCTTGTACGTCGTTGTCCGTTGTCCTTGAAAACAATCGAGTGTCATAACATATTGTTATGCTATTTTGTACGAACTTAGCTCTAATCTTTTATTTTTTTAAATCGGACCGAACAACGCACAACGCGACACAAAATTCAAGAGAACAATTTTTAAACACAGGATCTATTATAACTGTATTACCAAGTTGAACTCCAAACACCTAAATCCATTTTGGAACCAACGCAAGCAAACAAATAAATAAAGTGAGCCACATACAAGTGACATAAAACAATTAACGAAATGTTTTCATAATGACCTGCATTTTCACGCTGACATATTAATGTAAATAGTGCATAGGGCCGGAATACAAGGCCGCTTGCGTAATGGAAATGGCACATATATGAACGCATGTCAATCATGCGTACACTACCTATGTACATATGTATATGTAGGTACTTACTTACCGGGAAGTTTTCGCGGTACCACCACCACAATCGCAGGTGGCCGCCGTAGTTACACTTCGCTTGTCAGTTTTCATTGATCGGTCCTCGTAAGTCGCATTATCGGCGCGTTTTTTCAATTGTTCAATTTCCATCGTCGATATTTGAGCTTAAGTATGTGTGGTAGTCACGATGATTCGACTCCTGTGGTGTCTAATTCTAATTGAGCTACATGTAGGTAGGTTCGCTAGTTTTTTGTTAATATAGTAAAAAAATCGTTTTTGAAGTAGGTACCTACTTATGGTACTTTACTTTCAATATTGGAAATAATTTGCGGATAGTGAAACCATGCTACAATATTTTTTAGCGCTTCACGAAGAGCATGAAAAAATACAAAAACAAAAATCTCATTTCACAGATCTCAAAAATTCCTAAAAACAAAAGAATTACTGTAGATTTTCGATAACGCAACACTTTTTTAAGTTAATAATAATAGAATAGTCTCCGATATTTCAATTATAAACAGTAAAATCAATATTTTAATTAGGTACTAGCATTTGCCTTGAAATCTGTATCTACTACAGTTTCATAATAAACTTTATCATGCGTTAAATTATACGCTTTATATTAAATAAATATTAATAAATTCAATGGCAACTTGAAAAAATAACAAGAAGATTTAAAGTTGTAGTTCATTTTATACCTAAATAGGCCTCTTGCACATGCCGGAGTTTTTATATTAGTTGACATATTTAAATATGGCCTTATTTCATATTATTAATTATAAAATCTTTTGTGAAAAATTCTACTCTAAAATTGACTAAATTGTACGTTGAAATTTGGAGATGAACATCTTGTAGGGGCGTGGCGTAGAACGAGTTGCTATTGGTGCGACGTCATCGGTAAGTAAACTGGCCGCTTCACATTAGAAAACAATGTCGGTCCTATTGATTCTTAAAAACATGTATTATTTTTAGTTTACATACGATACGATACCGATACTGATGTGCTGTTATATTTACTAACTGGTTTCTATTCTGTTATGTAGGTATACCTAAATATGCACCTATGTAGCAAAATAATTAAGTCTGTGTAGGTATAATATTTAATTTTTACGACGTTTAGTCCAAGTGAGCTTTCCTCGGGTAGCATAATATTATTTACTACCTATATAATGTTTTGAATCTAAGTTTGTTATTTTAAATAATCATAATTAGTTTTTAGTTTTTTAAAAATTCTTGAGAATATTTGTAACGTGACCGAACAAGGTTATGCTAAAGCCCAATCAGACAATTTACCGAATTCCATGATGATTGCCGAGTTTTTTCGTAAAGCATTTTATTTTATATTCGGCAGAAATAAGGAGAATAAAAGCAAACAGGTATGAAAATGTAATTTATAGTAGATATCTATAATTTATAGATATCTATATAAATTTATTTTAAAATACATTTTTTTCTGGCGTTTTTACTGATGTATTTTCACACATCGGTACAATGCACCAGTAATAGTATTAGACTAGGCGGTATCTGTTTTGGTTTGGGTGAATCGTATATCCACGGAGATTTTTGGCTTTTTGGCTTTCAAATATTACTAGAAATGAAAATTTTTCTCTCTCTTTCTATTTCTCTCATAATTGACGGATTCGAATTTTTCAAAAAGCGTTTGAAAGCTTGAGAGCCCTTCTATATGTGATTAAATTTTCAAGTATCTAAGGGCCTTGGTTTTTGCTGTGCAAAATTTTGAAAATTTGCATTTTTTTTTTCAAAATCTGGATTGCAAAATGCAAAATCTATCTAACCCATTTTGATGAAATTTGGTGTGATGATTCTACATAACATGAAGTTTTCTTGAGCCAAGTATGAAAGCCCCAACCCAATTTAAAGACTTCAAAAGTAATGTTTTTTAACCCCATATTTGGCGATTTTTTCGATTTTTACAATAATAATCATGATTCATTCGATTTGTAACTAGTCATATTTCGTAAAAAATTTAATTACAAACATTTTTTCCCCTTCTATTTTCGCCTAAAATGAACTCTTGAAAAGATACATAATTAAATAGAAAGAAAAATATTTTTCGAATTTTGTGCCGCCAAAAGTTAAGCCCACGTTTTTTTTTATGCGCGTAGAAAAATTTTCATATCTAGTGATATTTGAAAGCCAAAAAATCTCCGTGGATATACGATTTACCCAAATATGGACTTTTTGAAATAGATGATGTCTGGACTATATATATGGTTTAGAGGGATTTGCCATAGTTATATAAGTTTAACTTCACAAATTTACAGTATATATAAGGTATCGTACTGCTTATTGACACCACTCTACACATTTAATAACCAAAACAGTCAGCTGCATTGTCGGAACGCATTATTGTATATGTCGCGCTTGCCATTTACTTACCGATGACGTCAACGTGTCGACATCCCAGTCCATGGCGTTTGCGCGCAAAGCGAACCGATTAAAACTTTAGTGTCTAATAACTTTTTAAAAATAAATTAATATAACAAAACCTTTACACATTGTTTGTAGTATTCCGTGTAGATACAAAAACTATTAAAATATTTTTTTCTGCAAGAGGGCTATTATAGCAGTGTGCTCAGTTTTTCTTCTTAACATCCCTCTACGTTCAAGTAGATTAACAGAATAATTTAGAGGGACATTTTTTTAAAGGTAGGGGCCCGACTCCGAAAAGTAATAGCTAACTTTTAATTTCTTATTTTCCCGCTAAAAGCAGCTTAAAATTCTAAACAAGGGCAAAATTAAGGATATTTTTTATTTAGCATACAAACACAAGATCAAGGATCTGTACAAAGGTGTAAATTTAAGGACACTTGGTGTTCTGCAAAATCGTTCTGTCAAGATGCAGAACAACTTATGAAAAACTGACTCAATTAATGGACGTTCATCGAAATTCAGGATGGGAAAATATTGGTTTCAATTTGCCACGAAAAATATGTTATAGATTTTTTTTATGGGAAAAATAACACCATACGATGATCCTACGTCCTTACAAACAATTAAAAAAATAATAAAATTAAATTAAAATTGAAGAAAAAATATCTATTGGTTATTAAATTGATAGAAAATTTATATTGATACCTACTATTATTCGTCATTATTTTTTGTTGTTTTTGCCGAAAAATGTATGCGTATAAAAAATTATAGCAGACCAGAAGTTCGTGGCAATGGGAAACAAATAGTTGCCAAATGATGACTTTTTAGGGCCTCATACTCATAAAAAATAGTCCCACTTTAAATTAATAAGCTTTCCAAAAACTGTACTGTTTTTTAAAGAGATAACTGCCGTGGCAATATTGCTATCTTCCATACAGTTTTATATCAGGCGGCAAGAAATGTGAAACAACGAGGCGAGAATATTCGATATTTGTTTTAGATGCCAATTTGAAAAACTGTCCTGGGACCAACGTGAAGTTTGAAAAAGTCTTGGGTCTACGACCTCCTAACGCCAGTAACCCCGTGTTGTTGTACCAATTGGAAAAAGGAACACCCCTGAGGCCTATAACTTCGGAATGTATAGCTAAGTGCCACTCAGACGACGAATGCGCCAGCTTCGTTTTATATTACAGCGAATTCCGGTGTTACTGGTTCAAAAATGATATTAAAGGAGCAGAAGAATCCGAGAACATCATCGACGAGGACACCGCCTGGTTCATCAAAGTTTGCTTCAAAAAGGGTAACAGATTTTCCATCAAAGAAATATAATATTTTCAGTATCGATTACAATTTCAGTTGACTGTGGTAAGTTATGGACTTTCGAGAGAATCCCTGGTGCTGTTTTAATAGGAAATAACACCAAGACACTACCTCGACCCTTAACTAGAACTGACTGCCAGCAACACTGCCTCAATGAAACGGAATTTCTCTGCAGATCGGTAAAATATAAGATACTCTCTAACAATTACTTATCCAGTACCGAAATATTAGGGACTTGCACCCTTTCCAATGCCGACAGGCATCTCCTTCCTAATTCTTACAGAGTATCCGGATACGACGAAGAATACTTTGAAAATCAGTGCTGGAATAATCGCACTGTGGAAAGGCAAGGTACGTTATTACTAATTTAATATGTTTACGTAGTTTAACATATATATGTTTATTTTATTTCACAATGTTCAGATCGAAATTTATATTTCGTTATAATGCACAACAAATGCACTTAATGACGCCCTTAGTGGTTGTTGAATCAAAAACTACTTTTAACCTTGAGTTTGACTTTTTAAAAGAAGAAACTACACAGAACTTTACAGGACAATAAACTTTTTAATTTATAGTTCGTATTATAGATTTTGAAAATGAATTCTGTGCTTACGAAGAATATGAAAATGTTACACTTTCTCACAGTGATATATTGTTTGAAAAAAGAACCAAAGACGAGTGCCAACATCTCTGTGAAGAGTTTACAAATTTTGTCTGTAGAGGTTTTAGCATTATAAATAATGTGTGCTGGCTGCACAGCGAAGATAGCAAAATTCATGGACCAAAAATTTTAAAGGAGAATGCCAAATCAACATATTATGAAAAAGCCAGGTGCTTAAATAGTAAGTAATTTCTTAAAGCGATAATATTTGATTTTGGCCTAATTATCTTCACCGGACTTCTACAATTAATTATCATACCTATTATGTATTCAAACAGAATATTTTTGTTTTCAGTTTCTGTTTCTTGTACCGAAACTTACATGACGATACAATATGTTCCCGAAATAAAATTTTTTGGAAAAGTATACATGCAGGGATTTTCTGAAAATCCCCAGTGTTACGCTACTGGCCAAGGAAAATTCACTGTGATATCCCTCAAATTACCATTATTGGCCAGTAAATGCGGCATTATAAAAGCAGCCGGAAATTTGAACAGGTATATGGTGCATGCAGAACATTTTCCAGAACATTTTCCAGAACATATTTTTTAATTTTTTTTAGAACTCTTTTGTCAGGAACAGCGGTTATCCAGTACAATTCTATTATCCAAACTCAAGGAGACAGGATTATTAAAGTCGGTTGTATTTTTGGAAATGACAGTAAGATTTTGATTGGCACTGGTGTAAAAATATCTTCGTAAGTATAAATTACTAAATTTGATATATTCCTTTAAAATTTATAATTACTGTATAAGTTAATTTATTTTAGGTCTTCTCCGAATCACGGGAGCATGTTACTGAACAACTCTACATTTAGTACAAGATCCCCAGAAGTAGAAATGAGAGTGTTAGATTTAAATACACATGAAGAAGTCAGCGATTCACAAATCGGTCAAGAATTAGAGCTTGTCATAGAGTTCAAATCAAAAAATAGTGAGTGCGTAAAATTAAAATAGACTATGCGTCTCTACTAATGTGAATTCTAGGTACTTACGATATATGGGCAAGTCATTTGGTTGCAATGACGGAGAAAAGTGAAGAATCCATTTTCCTTTTGGATGATCGGGGTTGTCCCACTAATTTAAACATCTTTCCACCTTTAGAGAAAGTGATTACTGCAACATCAAGGCAACTAGTAGCTGCTTTCCAAGCTTTCAAATTCGCCTCCTCCCCTTTTGTGAGATTTAGCGTTTTGATCCAGTTTTGCCCTAATGATTGCCCACCAGTAAGATATTTTTAGGACTTTATTATATAATCGTTATACATTGGTTTCCTTTTAGGTGAATTGTGATCATAACATTGCATCATATGGGAGGAGGAAGAGGGAAATAGTTTCACACTCGATTCAAACAATTAATGGCACTACAATAGTTAAGTTAAATAGATCCGAGTTCGAGCGCATGTCGGGTCTAGTCAACGAGATGCCCCTTGAATACGTAATGATAGTCAGAGACCCAAAATTTGTTTCCGACAGGCTGGTGTTTGGAGACAATAAGATTTTGGTTGCCGGATACGGTAAGACATCATTTTAATAATAATCATTTATATAGTGTGTTACAAATTTGTCTGCCAGGTTTCCTAATTAACCAAAACTTTGTATATCGACTAGAAGATTGTGATAATGGAGTTTGGGGATATAAGGTTTTATTATTTACCTTGAGGTATACTTTCGCTTATTAAAATTGGCAGTCAAACTAATAATACACCGTATATAAAATTTAAATTTCAGTCTAATCCAATCTATGTTACAGATTACACAACTAACGAGGTGTGTCTCGACTATTCGCTGGTTATTGGATTGATTGTAACTTGGATATTAATACAAATATGTTTCGTCTTGGGTTGTATCATGTTAGTAAAAAGGTACAAGAGATATTATCAGCACGAGTGTACGAAGCAGTCCTTAGAAGAATTGCATAAAAATTTTGGCATCGGATTCAGTAATTTGGAGAACAGGAGAGTTCATTGGGCAGATAATGATAATATTTTATAAAATAACATATTTTTAAAATCTTAGATTAATGTATATTATAGATATTGTATGTATATGCACATCTGTAAATAAAAATCCATTGTAAATATCATTTGATAATATTAACTGAAATAAAAACTGATTAAAAAAAAACTATCTTGATTTTTATTTGAATCTAAGTAATGCTTTCTTCTAAAATAAGTATATTTTTTAACATATGTAACCCTCACTTTCAACTACACTTGCAGAATTGAAACATTAAAATTATATAACGCTACCTCTCAGTGTTTTCTTTCTTCAGTTCCTTTGTAAAGTCGATTTGTTTCTGTAAAATGTAAAGATTTTCTGCTTTACGCCTCTGTCTCCTCTCGACGTCTTTTAACACCCCTACATGTAACAGCTCCCTTAAATATCAATTCAGTGAAGGAAAAAGAAACAAACAAAAATAATAAAAAAGTTACCTGTCAATATGCTGCTTATAATGTACATAACCAATAATTCCAATTGAAAACATACAAGCAGCACCTAGTACCACTTTGGACTGAAGGGACATTGTTTTTAAAATAGTTATAAAGCAATCCTTGTCTTCAAAATCAATACATATTTAAGGTTATGTTGATTAGTAGTTCAATTTTCAACCGCGGTAGTTATTTCTGGATAGTAGCTCCAATAACAATGGATCATAAATTTGATAAACATACTATCAAATCGATGAAAGACAGCCATGGACATAGAGAAATAAACTATACAGGATGTTAACTAAGTATGTACAATAAATTCAACAGACGATTATTTCAGTGATTTTAAGACAAAAAGTTCATATAAACATTAGTCTGCAGATTCTTTTTGAAGATACAGGTTGTTAAACTTTTGTAAAAAAATTGCTAATTTGTAAATATCTTACATATACCCTTTAACCCAATTTTGTTGTAATTTGGCAGTGTTATTTGTAATGTTAAGGGGCTAATTTAACCCTAACTTGATTGGATCTATTAACCAGTGGCGTCCCGAGCGGTACCTTTAAAGAATATTTTTGACAAAAAAAATGTACGCCACTCACTTTTTTGTAATTTTTATATATTTTTTGAACTAAGCAACTAAAAATACAACTTTTGCCTCTTGAATGTTTTTCCTATCTTGATTAATTTTTGTAGAAAAATCCACTTAACATATACCCTTAGACCACTCGAGAAACATGGGGAAAAGTTTCTTTTGGGAATTATAATTTTTTTATATGTAATTTTTTATTAATAATATGTAACGTCTAAATAACATAAAGTACAAATAAAATATAAAGAGTATTTAAGATATTACGAAAAAGCAATTTTTTTAACCCACCCTGTATCTTGAAAACAAAGCATCTGCGGACCAATGTTTATATGAAATTTTTGTCTTAAAATCACTCAAATAATCGTCTGTTGAATTTATTGTACATACTTAAACACCTTGTATAAATAGACATTGGAAGGGGCATAGAAAGAAGGCATAGGGGGGAGGAATTTGCATTATCTTTTATGGGATAATTTTCTCTTGCTATTTAAATTTGTACGTTTTTAACGAAACGAAATCATTAATATTAAAAAAATGTTTTAAAGTAGGGGTCGTATGACACTATGTTAAAATTAGAAAAATTAAAACTAATTTCAGTACCTAATTAACTACGAACTTTTTAATCTTGCATAGCATCATAAAGAAATTGCAACAATAATTGTTGCAATCCCTTGTCAATCAGTTACAATGCTTCAATTGAACTCTACTTACTGTTGATTAATGTTCTTGGTACATTCACACTGTGTATCTACCAAATTTGATGTTTCTAAAGTTCAAGAGTATAACTGAATATACTGATTTTTTTCCAAGGTAAATTTTCAGGAAAGCAATGTGTCTCAGAGATGAGCGTCAAAATATTGACCAAGCATCTAGTTCCATCTAAACCGATATAATTTTTTGAAATTGTTAATATTTGTTACACTCCATATGAGCAATATGTTTAGTTGAATTAAAATAAACAGAAAGAACAAAAAATGGGAATTAGTTGTAATATTCAGGCTAGCAAAAAATTTTATGTCAGAGAATCATTTGATAAAACACTGGCATACGTTACTTTAATATTTATTTATTTCATAGGCAGTTTGTTACTTGGAAGGTTTTGAAAAAATTTTGGCCTGATCTTCGGGACACTCCGTACATGTACATAATTTTAGTTCATTTCCACATTCCACATCTTTTAATTCACTTTATTTGAACTGTTTTGTGTGTGTGTGTGTGTGCGTATGTCTATCTTGTAGTACTGTGTTCTGTTCAACTATATTTTTTTGGTTTTTATGCAATTGATAGATTAAGATATTAGATATTATTATTATTAACAAATTAGTGGAAACTGTTGTGGGTTTAAAATCTGTAGTATTCCCTAAACTGAAAATAAAATAAATAATAAAATAATTGCTACCTTTTATAAAACTGTATTTTGTTAAATGAAATAAGACAGGGAGATAAAAATAATTTTTTATTATGCTTCGTTTAATATAGCATAATTATTCCTCGTCCAACAAATAACTGAGGACCAATTTTTTAGAAATCCTTGGTTTTGAGGCCTTTTTGCAGTCAACCCTAAACAGAGTCTTGATGTTAACGGTAAACTATACCATTCCTTAGTCGTCATGCCAAGAGAAACCAATAACAATTGGTGCAAAAAAAGAATAAATAACAGGACAGCTAAGAGCAAACTATACAGGGCAGATACAAAGGATATACCCAATCTGTAACAAAATACTTGAACAGTCCAGTATTATAGATATTATATACTTACTCAAACAATTTGTACACATCGGAGCAATCATCTGGCAATAATATCGTTTTATATAAAACAAAAGGATGGCACACAGACGTCAGCGTCAAATTTGAGCTGTATAGCAGCGCTATCGTGGCAAAAAACAAACACATGATGAACAAACACTGGTTATGTTTGCCCACACAACAGTCAAACCTAAAAGATTTTTTATGCAGTATTTTTCATATATTGTTTGAAAACGTGTGATACTAACCATACACAATGATGATCTCTGTCTGGTATTTTCATCTGACATACAGAACAATTCTGTATCCTACTTCCCATTTTACCGAACTCGATATCCCCAACTCCAAGTTTATTTAAATGTTTAGTTCTTACTTTCATCAAATACCAGCATATGACAAATCCAAAAATAAATATACTCAGAGCTATATTTTCCTCCACTAATATTTCCAGGAACGGTATTACAACGAACTCAAATATAATGTACAAAACAGTAATGGAAGTGAGGGTCCATACAAAGAAAAACTTGGTGTGAGGTATAGTTTTTATCAAAAAATTGAAAATAAGTGTCAAAAATATTGTGACGGTTGTAAACGAGAATATTGTCCACCACAGGCTTACAGAAGCCAATGCCAACATTGTGGGTATGATAAATATCGGCAGAGCGGCATCAAATGCTATTTGTTTAGCACCTCCTCGCCACGGAATCCGCAACCTGTCTTGAAGTGTACTCATCATACCGGATTTATGTTGCTGCGATATACTCCGAGAAGTAATTAAACTAGAAGAAAGATCGTTACTCGTTTTTAAGTAAATTTGACTGAATTACCTGTCAAATGCTTCATCCAGGTCCACACAATTACAGCAACAAGCTAAAATATGATTTCTTTCATGATTTTTGTCGTAATATTCACAACAACATAAAGGCACACTTTCATCATTCATTCCTCAAAAAAAAAAAAAAAACTAAATATCAAATCTTCAAACCAACATCGTCTTAACATTTCAATAGTAATAAAATAAAGTAGTAGGTAATACTAATACCTGATAAAAACTTATTTACAAATTACGAAATGGAAACAAAATGTAAATAAATTAATAAAATTAAATTCTTCTTCTCCTTCTTAGCTTTTCTGTCACCGAGTCACCGTAATCTAGTATTTTATTTTTTCCCTAATTCTAAATGTAGCACCAACATTGATTTTAGGCGCGAAATGCAGTTCATATTCAAGGTTGCCTGTGTCAGTACAATTGTACTGAATCTAGTAAATTCAATCTTGTTTTAGTGCGGCAGTACACCGTTATAAGTTTTTAGTACAAATTAGAACTAATGTGGGAATGAATTGAATTTAAAAAAACACTACTTTATTTACTGTCACGTGAAGAGTGAACTAGCAGTATGTTATCTGAAATATTGATATTTCAATCAACGATGGAAATTTAGTACAGGTTCCTGTACCAATTTTTTTTAGGCACTTGTAAAATGGCAGCCCTGTTCGTACTGCTTTTTTAGTTTTTTAATGGCGTTGTTTATTGTTGTCGGCGCACAGTGCTAAATTTTATTATTGAATATTAGGAGGGCTGAAGCTATGCTTTAATTTATCTGACAATGTAAAAACGTTGAGGTGCTGTAAAAATTGGACGTGCATTTTTTGTTCTAATATAAACGAATTTCAAAAACTTAAACCTTCCAAGTTCTTTCCTTTGGGTAAAAATGGATATCAAAAGACTTTCTATGAACACTTCTTTAAAAAATGCTAGAATTTTTGATGATGTACGTAAGAGACAATATTTATTGTTTTGGTGCAAAACTTCATCAGTTGTCTGCAATAGTAATGTTCTAAGATAAATGGACATGTATTGTGCTATTACATAGGTACCTAGTTGGAGTTATAAAAAAATACATTAACCGTTTGTTTCAGGATTCCTGGGATGCAGATACAGCTGGTTTGACTATAAAACGGGAACCAGAGTATTCAGATTATGATGAGAACCAATTTAAATCCAACAGTGTTCAACAAGAAGATGTAAAAATCAAGACTGAAATAAAAACTGAAACTGATGAAGGATCACAATTCTCTAGTGAAGATGAAGAGGATTATTCGACACGAAAACTAAAACGTGAGGATGTTTCAAAGACAGAACTAAAAACAGAATTTTCCTACAATGAGAACTCTAATGATATGTTGGAGGAGAGTTATTTGGACAATATAGATGACAAGCTTAAAAGTAAAATATTGAATACTCCAAATAAAATTACAGATATTCTAACGGAAGACTCCAATCCTTCGCCTTTCAATAAGGAATTGTTTAAAAACTTTAAAATTGGTCAGGGGTACGGTAGCCCGGAGCAACATGGTTCGAAACATGAGTCGAGAAAGAGTGTTAAGAGATCAGTTTTTACACGCCTTTCACCATATAAAAAGTATTCAAATGAGGACACATCCCTAAACAGTCAACCAACAACAGCTAAAAAAAGGGCTGGGACACACACATCTCCAGAGCTTCCAAGGTAAAAAGGATGTTATGCAGGCTGTAATTTCGATGGGAGTCATATTTATGCAGAGGTTACCTTTGGCCTTTATGATTTTTTAAAAACATCTAAACATTTTTTAAAGTATTACAACTTTTTCGCATCGACGTGAAAGAAACTTGGTGACTTTTAAAATAAAATGTCACAATCATACAAAAGCAATCAGTTTTTAAAAAATTACTTTATTGTAATTTTCCTCTAGTGCTTCTATTAGTTTCATCCAGTTGATTTAAAAAGGTACACATACATTCAGTTTCTGGAGCTGCCCAGTGAGGGCGTAGACAAGAATTTATATGCAGTTTAAAAACAAATTAAAACTCGACTATTTAAAAAAAAAATAATTTCAGAATTAACTTAAAGTTACGTCCTGTGTATAATTTTTAAATATTTCCGAACTCAAAAAATAAATTATAACCGTTAATGTTTTAGGAAAAGAACGAAACCACTAGAACCTGAAAGTGATCCTCTTACATTATCAAGGCGGCAAAAGCAAATAGATTTCGGTAAAAACACCACAGGATATGACAATTACATAAATACTGTGCCGAGGTAACATTTAAAAATAAATTAAATTCGAATTTCTGTTCTTCGAACAACGTCCTTTTTTTTTAGGAACGAAAGAAAACGAGAGGACCCACAGACACCAAATAAATTTGTTAAATATTCTCGCCGCGGTTGGGACGGGCTGATCAAACAGTGGCGAATAAAGTTGCATAAGTACGATCCTGTTGACACATGAACATTTGTAAAAAAAATAACGCGTTATTTTAGTTGCTAGGTACAAATGTTTATTTTTAATTTGTTAAAAAAGGAGTTTATAATAAGCTCCTATTTAATTATATATTTTAAGGCATAAAAAAATTATTTAATTTTATATTGATTACTTTAAAAAATTCATTCAAAGCGTAAACCTATATGATTTCAATTTGGATTATACTTAACGCATCTTTTAAGAACGGACTATTTATTTTATGTAGTGATGTTTTATATGTCATTTTAAATTTGGACATTAAAATGATTTTAAAAATATTTCATTTGAATTTTTACAATATACGTTCCTACATACAGAGTCCTTTGAATTGGATCAGCGAACCTTTGTCTGGTGACGGGCTTCCACAAAATAAAAAAAAATCCCTCTTTTGGTACTGAATATATTAAAAAAATAATTTTTAGAAATTTTAAAAAACTAATCATTCTCCAAATCATGTTTCTGGAAACTTTTTCTCATTTTGATAAGTTTCATCTCCAGGTAACGTTTTAATTATGCAATTTAGGACACCCTGTATAGTATATTTGCCTTTCTATAACTCTAATGAGCTAGAACACATTGGCCTTGTAATACAGCAGGGGTGTTACGATTTGACAGACTGGTAAAACTCTTTAATATTATAGTAGCCATGAAAGTTAAAACAAATGCCTATCACAACAAAACTCTTAAAAGCTGATGAGTTCTGCATATTTTTTGATAAGAGAACTTTATAAATAGTTACAGCAGAGTTTTTCCAAATATTGTTTTCTATTAAGAACATGAATCCCAGTCAGTATAGAAGCACCACACTATTTAAATTATCTAGAAAAGAAAGTGAGGAGAATAACCGCAAAGATGAAGAAAACATCCAACAGGAACAGGAAATGGACCCCGAAGATGCCATAAATATTTTATGTGTCATACACAAAAATGGTAAGGTTGGGTCAGCTTTCTATAACTTTCAAGAAAAATTGGTAAGTTTCTAGTTTTTTTTTTGCATTGAGCTTTTTTCAAGCATTTCCTCGCAGTTATATGTTCACGAAGAAATGGTTGATATTGGTCCACAATTCTTGGGTACATCCAGCCTTTTTCGAGAAGTCAAACCTAAATACGTCTTAAGTTTCGGTAACACTGCTGACAACTTCATCAAAGTGTTAATCGATACGATAACTACAGGCGGTGAATTCACCGTAACTTCGGACAGTATAAGATCCTTGCCGGAGAATTTCTTCTTGTTACCGAGCAAAGAGTACAGTAAGCCAAATACCGTTTCACCTTTACATCAAAGAAAACGCATATTGTGTGATATTATTTCAGCTTATGAAATATGTAAAGCCGTTATTTCCCAACTGAACCTAGCGTCTAACGCTGACGAGCCCTCTGAGGTAAAACGAGAGGTCTACATCCATTCTTTGATCAATTTCGAACATCGTCTCTCTATACAGGCCGTAGGAACGCTTATTAAATACTTGGACAAGAACTGGGCCTTTTTCAACATAGACAAAGAGGATTTGCAGTACTTACACATAAACCAAGTGACGAGGTAAGTTAACACAAATTAGTATTAATTTTTAGTGATATGACTGATGATATGGCAGCTCGGGGCAAAGCCCCGGGGTCTCACATTTTGGCCGCCCTATCGTGGCACCTTTTTTGTAAAATAAAAAGCTCTCCAAATATCTTTAACGACTGTTATGAAAATGTAATGTTTATAGCACAAAACAAAAAGAGTTACAGGAGTACATGAGTAGATATTATAATTTTTTTGTCTATTAAGAACCACAATATCTATCTAAAATTTTTGTGGGGCGCAGGATTTCAATAAATTTTTTTCTCATAATTGAACTAATTACGATGGTCCACTTGATATTGCATGGCTGGCTGCAATTTTTTTATTCCAAACGATTTTTCTCTTTAGAAATTTTTTAAATAAAATTTTAACTATGAAGCTTTAACACTTTATCTGATTGTATACAGGGTGTTTCAGGATTAAGTCAACAAACTTTATGGAGATATTTTTCATAAAAAAATAAGAAAAAAATCAAGCATACATTTTTTTCCAGAGACGCTTCATTTTCGAAATATAGGGCGTTAAAGATTTAAAAAAAAATCGAATCATTAAATTATAAAAAAAATTAATACGGCCCTACTGAAAATAAAAAATGATGCTGTTTTTAGATAGAACAGTTTGTTATTGACAAAAAGTGTACATTCACTTTTTTCCTAACTTATAGTTTCATGGCAAAATTGATTTGGGTGCTTCTGGATTCTGTTGATAAACTTTAGAAAGACGTTCCTCATAAAACCTAAAAAAATATAGTACCTATTAAAATTGGTCTTAGTCTCGAGTATGTGTGAGTCAAATAAGCCTTTTTGTCTCCCCTTCCCTTGGGTTTAACCAATAGTATTAAAATTATTTAGGAGATGCTTCGTTTTTGAGATATAGGGTGTTTTTTTTTACAAAGAAAATGATGTTGATGAAAACAATAAAAATATTTAAGTACCTAACATCTAATGTGACTATGTCGTAATGCGACAACGTAACGACCCTAAATTTTTTCAGGCGGTTTGTAGTCACTTCATTTACTTGTGTTGTGTACTTTTAAATAAAATAAGATGGCAAATAATACATGAAAATTTATTTGCAAATTGAAACAACCAAAAAATTACCAATTAATATCATACCTAAACAAAGCGAAAAGTGAATCAAAAATGAAATGATTTAAAAAATATTGACACCTTCTAATTATGGAGGTAGTGCCCGATCGACACTGAATTGGAGTTAATTCGCGACACGCTTGGACTATTCGCTGTCTTAGACCTAGGGTATCAACTGGCACCTCATAGACTTTTTGTTTAACAGCACCCCAAATGAAATAATCCATCGGTGTCAAGTCCGGTGAACGTGCGGGCCACTCTGCAGGTCCCCCACGACCAATCCATTTCCTGGGATAATTAATGTTTAACCACTCCTTAGGATCTCTACCAAAATGGGCAAGACAACCATCTAGTTGAAACCAACTGTTCATTCGAGTATTAAGCGGATCATCTTCTAACAGATCTTGAAAACCATTTTCAAGAAACTCGGTAAACATGTCAGCATTTAACCGATGTGGAAGGAAGTAGGGACCAACACACCCAACCATACGTTACATTGGAATTCATGCTGAAAACTATGTTCCCTTACCGCCCGTGGATTCTTGTAGGGTAGGACCAAATATGATTGTTCCTTTGGTTTAAAATTCCCCTTTGAGTAAATGTTGCCTATATTTTTATTATATTTTTTTAGGTTTTATGAGGAACGTCTTCCTAAAGTTTACTGACGGAATCCAGAAGCACCGTTCCGAAAAATCAATTTTGCCATGAAACTATAAGAGTTAGGAAAAAAAGTGAATGTACACTTTTTGTCAACAACAAACTATTCTATCTAAGAACAGCATCATTTTTTATTTTCAGTAAGGCCGTACTATTTTTTTTTATAATTTAATTAGTCTGAGTCCCCATAACTCCGCCACTGGTTGCTTGCGGGACTTCTACTTCTATGGAAAAATGGTATCTTATAAGAAGATGTGTAATGCGAAATTTGGCTTAAAGAGCCTTCTTCATTTAGAAATTATTTAAAAAACTCGAATTTTTTAAAAAATCTTTAAAGCCCTATATTTCGAAAAGATTTATACTTGATTTTTTTCTTATTTTTTTATGAGGAATATCTCCTTAAAGTTTTTCGACTTAATCCTGAAACACCCTGTATAAGTATTGTTTTTGACATCGTCATCTCTTCTTTGTGAATTCGCGAATGAATTTAATTTAGAAAAGGGGAAGGGGGTCCCCGATAATTGATTTTTCCCCGTTGCCTCAGGGTACCTTATCACGCTACCACATCGTTTTATGATTCAGGAAAGATCACATTTTGGTAGACGCAGCGAGCTTCAATGCGCTTCACATTTTCGCTCAGAGAGGCCACGATGCTAGTTTCAAACGAGGTCTGCAGTCTAGTAGTAGGGAAGGACTGAGCGTTTTTAGGTTGTTTTCCGCCAATTGTCAGAGCAAAATAGGGCAAGTTACCTTAAAGTAAGTAAAATATGTAATTTCACCATATATTTTTCTAAAGTTTTATAAACTACACCTTTTGGAAATAAGGGACTTGCTAAATGGGACAGACTTTAAATATAGTGACGAACGAGTCAAGGAACACTTGATATTTTCTAGGAGCATCCTTTTAAGTCCTATAAAAAACGTGGATGAACTCAACAAACGTTTGGACTTTATTAATTTTGTCCTCCAACCTGGAAATAAAGACTTCGTTGAGAGTTTGCAGGAAAACATCAAACAGCTGAGCAGTGATATTAACGTAAACCCGTACAAACGCAAGTCAATACGAATTTTAAATGAATAATTTTTCAGATGATTTTGACACGAATTCAGAACTCCAGGGCTAACAATAGGGAGTGGCAGGTCTTATATAAGGTTGTAAACTTGTTTTGTTTGTGCGTGTGCGTCTGTGTATAAATTTTGGAATGTCTTGTTTCTAGGCGATTTATCATACTATTTTTATTAACAATCTCAGCAGACCCTATAGAGAAAAGTCAGAATTGCTGGTGGAATTACATAATGCTGTATCTCCTGATCTGTTAGGGCTTGAACAGTCCATAGAAAATGGTCTAGACTTCAATGCCGGTGAGAAGAGAGGTCGGCCCATTGTTCGATTCGGGCTGGATGAAAATTTAGACGCCAGTAAGATCATTTTACTTTCGCCATCAGTCTTTGAATTTAACTTTTATATTTAAAAAAATATTCTTGGACAATTTCGACGCTAATAAATTAACTACATTTCGATAGTATTTTGGAGAACCCCCACTTAAAGTTACATTCTGCATAAACCGTATTATATTTTTGACTTAAACCTTTTAGAGAAACTACGCCAACAAGACATCGCTAAAGACGTAACAGCCGCGGCTAGATTCGCAGCCAACGAGTTACCGGATTTTATAAACGAGTGTGCGGTTGTTTACTTACCCGAAATGGGCCATTTAATAGCCATAAAAGAATGGGAACCGAACTGTAACCCGGAACAGTTGCATGATCTTGGGTTCCAGTTCATGGTACGAGATTTAATTTTAGTGAAAATTCATCTTTTATTACATCGTTTGGTTTTCAGTTCACCTTGAGAGATACAATTCACTATAAAAATCCTTTATGCGTTGGTAAGATTTAAAAATTAAAATAATTGACTATAAATTAATATGAATTTTGTTAGAGCTGGATAAACGGTTAGGAGATATAAACGCAGAAATTATAGATCACGAAAATAGAATCTTGAGGAGGTTGTCCGGGTTCATTTTGAAGTACAATAAAGATATTAGGGAGCCTCTCAAAATAATAGGTTTAATGGATTGGTAAGTGTCGAATTTATTTTTAAATATACTTAAATTTTCACTTCTTGCGGGCTTACTAGTGGAAATTTTCTAGGTTTGAATGAGAATAACCATTCTGAGTTTCAAAGAAATATCTGACTTATAAGTCGAAAAATACATATATTTTGTTTCTAAATGAGAAAAATTCTATTTACAAGTTGTAAGTTGTTACATATTTTATAAAATATTACATATTTTTAGGATATTACATATTTTCTTCATATTTTCTATCAGATATAAATTGCATATTTAGTCCAGTTACACACGGTTTTTACCTCCGAATTCTTTATAACTGAACCGATTGGCGTGAAATTTTGACTGAATGTGGGTATGCCTCAAGGAACAAAACTTATATAGGTAATGCCGAAAAATTTTTTGGATAATCCAATATTTTCCGAGTAATTCGTCATTGAAAATATTGATTTTTTTACTGAAGTGCTTGTTTTCGGACAGTTTTTTGCAAATAACTCTGAAACCATTGGATATAACGAAAAAGTTGTAATGAACAAAATGAAAGGTAATAAAAAACAAATCTAATGGCATTATTTTGTTTTTCTTTAGATGCAATATAAACCGAGTTATGGATTTTTAAACATAAAAACTAAATTGGAACCTTTAAAATGAGCTATTTTAAAACTCTTTAGAATCAAAATTAACGGAAATATGATCGAAATAACATGATAGTCTCATTTTAAGAAAAAATTAATAAACAAATCAGTGCCATTGGTGACAGAATTAAAATTAAATGCAATCCATTTACAGATTTCTTCATTTATGTTCTAAGAATATGTTCTGGGTCTTTGGCTCACTTACAAAGCATGATTTCGAAAAAAGGCTTAATTTTTGAATGTTAATTTTTCAAATTTTTGAAAAAATTCGAAGTTTACGCTGTAACTTAAAAATTAAAGGGTGTAAGAAAAAAATACAAGAGTAAAAAAATTTAGCTTTATTTTTGCTGAAGATTTTGCTTATTTTTTATTCCTCTAAAATTAATATTAATCGAGATATCGCCATTTTAAGTTATCATATGAATGAGAGAACCACCCTCTTCGAGCCCTTTAAACCCTTCAAACTTAAAAATGAAGGGCTTAAAAAAGATCAANAATAACATGATAGTCTCATTTTTTTTTAAGAAAAAATTAATAAACAAGTCAGTGCCATTGGCGACAGAATTAAAATTAAATGCAATCCATTTACAGATTTCTTCATTTATGTTCTAAGAATATGTTCTGGGTCTTTGGCTCACTTACAAAGCATGATTTCGAAAAAAAGCTTAATTTTTGAAAATGTTAATTTTTCAAATTTTTGAAAAAAATTCGATTTTTACGCTGTAACTTAAAAATTAAAGGGTGTAAGAAAAAAATACAAGAGTAAAAAAAAATTGTTTTATTTTTTATTCCTCTAAAATTAATATTAATCGAGATATCGCCATTTTAAGTTATCATATGAATGAGAGAACCACCCTCTTCCAGCCCTTTAAACTTAAAAATGAAGTGCTTAAAAAAGATCAACTCAACAGTTCACATAGCCCTTACATTTCCCTACAAAACGAGGCTTTGTGCGATTAAAAATTTTAAAAAGTAATAAAGTTATCGTCAAAAAAATAAACACGTGTATAGGTGATAATTTTAAGAAAATTTAGGTTAAACAAGAATTTTGAAGCATTTAGATCTTTTTTTATATACCTGTATATACCAGTACTATATTATAATACACACTATGCTACACACACGCACACACAGGCTGTTACAAATTCGCTTCTCGTTACAGGGATCTCGAAAACGGTGAGAGATACGAACTAGCTTAAATGGGGGCAAAGTTGCGTAATCAGGGGACCCACATTATGTCTCCAAAAAATCAAGGCTGACATGATTAGTTTTTTTTAGAAATATTTGAAAAAATAACGAAATTTTGGAAATCCATTTTTGTTTCATTTCAGCTATCGAATGGCATAATCAATTTTTATATGTAACGTTTCGTCTCTCCAGGACCATCATCAACTTAATTTTTTTAAATACGACCCTGTAAATTTTATTAGATTTTTTGCAAGCCTTCATGACCCCCAATGCTGTACTGCCTCAGCCCGAACCAGATTCAGATGTTTTGTCTCGAAAAATTCATCTTCAGTGTATTCGTTCAAAATTTATCAAATTTTTTAATTTAGATTTCTTTGTTTATTGAATTATCGTACACTCTAAGTGTCGTTAGACCCTGTGAAATCTATCTAGTTATTTAAAGTATTAATTAATAAGGGCTGAAAAGTTGTAATCAATTCAAAATTATTTTATAAGAAGGGAATAAATGTTTATTTAATACGAATGCACATTTCAAGAAATCAATTTTAATTTGATAAAAATGCATGACTAAAAATTTTTTTTCATCCAAAGGAGTGGTTTTTAAAGGTTTTTCCGGGTTGAAAATTTAGGATACATTAAGTTTCGTGTTAGATAGCACATGAAATTACTCATACTGCATAAATAAAAAAGATTTGGTACATAAAACGCTTATATTTGTATTTTTTCGTTATTTTCCAATAAGGGGTGGGTTTCACCCCTTAAGAACAAAAATCACACCTAGCGCATATATAAGTTTTGAAGTGGGGGGTAAGATGAGACTAATTCTAAATTTTGAGAAAAACCGATGCAGTTATAAAAAATTCGGAGGTATTACTATATTTTCAGCTACAGTAACTGGGCTAATTTTCGTAGATTCCAGACTAATTTCCACTTTTGCGCCATTAGAAATTGTCGTCCCTCTATTGGTATTTGGTAACGTGGAAGTGCTTGTAGCTTTGTTGGTTTACACTTTTTATTTGTCTTCAATTCGATTTCAACTTGTACGTTAGAGAAATCTGACATAAGCCAGAAAAATATCAGATTTTTCTCTCTTACAAGTCAGAATTATATTTTCCCAACTAACTTAAACTTAAAAATTTCTGTTTGTAAGTTAGCAAAAGAAAAAGACAACTATGAATCAAATTTATTTATTTTTTCTTTTTCTCTATTTTTATAAATACAGTCTAATATCGATGGCAATCGTGGCGGCACAGAACGCATACATTCGTCCTAAACTGAACAACGAAAGCACCTTCGAGATAGAAAACTGCAGGCACCTTCTTATGGAACACATGATTGTCCAGTTCCAGCAGAACAGCTTCTACTCCGGTGGTAAGCATAGCCGCATGAAGATCATCACGGGCCCAAACGGCAGCGGGAAGACCATGTACCTTAAGCAGATCGCCTTGATTGTTTTTTTGGCCCATGTCGGGTCGTACTTGCCGGCTAAAAACGCTAACATCGGCCTCGTGCACAGTATTCACTCTAGGATGCAGGCCACTGAGTCTGCCGCTGTTAGATTATCAGCGTTTATGATCGACGTTAGCCAGGTGAAGGAATTAATGGAAATAGTCATCCTTAATCAACAGCACTGTTTCTAGTGCAACCAAATTACACTTGGAAAAAAAATTGTTACCTGGACTTTTATAAGTGGAAATGGCAAAAGGGTTTATAATAAACCCAAAAAAAATAAATGCGTGAGGAGGGACGGTTGAGGGTTGATTTGGGGGGTTGAAAAGTTATGAAAAATTGTATCATTGGGATTTCTGGCGAAAGTTGACGTCAAACAAAAAAGTACCTAATACAGGAGTTGTAGATGATGCAAAAATCTACAACTTTTGTAGAGGTCACTTTTTAAGATAATATCAAAATTTCCGAGAAAAATGCGAAAAACAGGTTTTTTTCTGATTTTTCGTTTTTTATTTCTCATTTCCGCAAAAATAATTTAATTTTGACGAAACTTGGTGAAAGTATACCTTTCATTGTCTTAAATAACCTCAAATTTTTTTAGATCAAAAATCAAGAAGTTTCCGAGATATTCATTTTTTTCGGCCTGAAACACTTTTTTTTCAAAGAAAAATTCTACCTAAAAAAATCATACAGAGTTTTGCCGTAATAATTTTTTTCGTTTTGACATACTTTTTGGTGAAATAAAAATATCTGTAATAACATTTTAAAAACATGCTCAAAAATGCAAAAAAATAAAAAATGACGCAACAATGAATTTTTCAGTTGTTGTTGATAATTTGTTTAAATTAAAAAACTTTCAAAAACTGATTCATTCAATTCTACGGAAAAAAATAAAAAAAACTGTGTCTCATTGTTTGACCCAAAACTTTATTTTTGTACAGTATTGCTATAAACATCTCAAAAGTCGAATTACAAATGCACAAATGATAAATTATCTCAGGATGATTTGAGATTTGAGCAATATAAAGTATTAACTACAAAGTCTACTGTTGACGCGAAAGCCGAAAACCCGAAATTTTTATTTATTTTTTTTCTGGCTTTATTTGAAAACGAATTTTAAATAAATTGCATACTTACATTGCCACTTTTTTTGCTCTATCCAATGGCGTCAACATTTTTGCAATCCCACGTTTCGTCTTCGACGGGCCATCATCAGATTAATTTTTTTAAATATATCGTTGCTATTTTTATGACAAAATCTAGTCATTTTTAATTCTGTATTAGATGATATTCTACTGTAATCGCTTAAAAAGGTTTTCAGCTATCATTAAAATTTTTTCCTGAGTACGGCTCTGAACGCTTTCAAATTACCTGTATCTATTGGAGGAGAGAGAGAGAGAGAGAGAGAGAGGAGATAATAAAAGTCAATACAGCACAAATATCCAACAATTTTTTTAATCCATAATTTAAAATGTTGTACCTAATAAAAAAATAATACGAATTTATGAAATATTTTATTAGTTCTAATTAGTATTGCTAACAGTAGTAAAAAATTGTTGGATATTTTGTGCGGTATTGACTTTTATACTGTTATGAGTTCATCCAATAGATATTTTGAAAGCGTCCAGGAAAAATTTTAACTTATAGCTAAAACAAGCTAAAAACTTTTTACTTTACTTTACAATAGTAGTTAGAAGTTTACTTTTACTTTACAATAGTAGTATCCTCTAATTCAAAATTAAAAATGACTAGATTTTGTCGTAAAAATAGCAGCGACTATTTAAAAAAATTAACCCGATGATGGCCCTTCGAAGACGAAACGTCGGATTGCAAAATTGTTGACGCCATTGTATGGAGCGAAAAAAGTGGCATTGTAAATACGTAGTTTATTTTAGAATTCGTTTTCAAATAAAGCCAGAAAAAATTAAACAATTTAGCAAAATTTCGGGTTTTTTCGGATATCTCCGGAACTACCCGGATTTTTAAAACTTTCTAAACAACATATTGTTAGGTATAAAAAAACACAACTTTTTTCTAGTCTGAGCCACCCCGTATCTTTTACCGTTTCCAGATCCTAATGCTATCCCATCCTTATCTTGGACACACTGTATATTTATGAATTCATCAAACTTTAAAAAAAAAGTACACTAATCGATCCTACGGAAAAAAAATTATTATTTATTTTATTTATTCACTGTTCGACTTATGTTTATAGCAATACTGTATAAAAATAGTTTTGGGTCAAACAATGAGAGTTTTTTTTTTCAATTTCTTTCCGTAGAATTGAATGGTGTGAATCAGTTTTTTAATGTTTTTTAATTTAAACAAATTATCAACAATAACTGAAAAATTCATTCTTGCAAGTCATTTTTTACTTTTTTGCAATTTTGAGCATGTTTTTGAGCTGTGATTACAAATTTTTTTATTTCACCAAAAAGTATACGTCAAAACGAAAAAAATTATTACCGGTAGAATTGTGTACGATGATTTTTCTAAGTAGAATTTTTCTTTGAAAAAAAGTGTTTCGGGCCGAAAAAAATTAATGTCTCAGAAACTTCTTGATTTTTTTATCTAAAAAAATTTGAAGTTATTTAAGATAGAGAAATGGACCTATACTTTCACCAAATTTCGTCAAAATTAAATTATTTTTGCGGAAATGAGAAATAAAAAACGAAAATCAGAAAAAAACCTGTTTTTCGCATTTTTCTCGGAAATTTTGAAATTATCTTAAAAAGTGACCACTACAAAAATTGTAGATTTTTGCATGATCTACAACTTTTATATTGGATAATTTTTTGTTTGACGTCAACTTTTGGCAAAATTCTCAATGGTACAATTTTTCATAACTTTTGAACCCCCCAAATCCACCCTCCGCCGCCCCTGCTCACGCATTTATTTTTTTTTCGTTTATCATAAGCCTCTTTATCATTTCCATGTATGAAAGTCCAGGTAAAAATTTTCTTTTTTTTTCCCTCTAAATGAGTTATTTTGATCGGTCTATTCTGTAAAAATAGGACTTTAATAATGTTTCTTTAGATAACCCAAGCTTTGAATACCGCAAGGTCTTCGTCTCTCATTTTGATGGACGAATTCGGCAGGGGAACCGCGGAAGAGGAGGGTATTTCTCTTCTCGTGGGGGCGATGAAAAAATTTCTGGAAAGGAAAGAGGCTTGTCCCCATGTGGTGGTGTCGACTCATTTTCAGCAAATCGTTAGCCATATGCCTGAGACGAGTTTAGTGCAGTATCTGAAGATGGACCACGCCAAGGAAGAGAAGAATTTGTGCTTTTTGTACAAAGTAACGGAAGGTAAGTTGGAGGGAAATATACAGGGTGTGCCATTTAACACTTCCGCTGCCGATATCTCTGAAATGAGGAAGTTTATTTTAGTTTCGGAAACTGGGGTTGTTAGGTCCCTCGAATAGCTTCAAATTGTAGTTAAAACTGTTAGTTCTAATCTTTCTGTATAGATGGCGTGGTGTTACTAAAATATTTTTTGATCTCTGGAACATGGAAATGTAGTCCATCTGAAAGATCGTTAAATTTTGAGTAATTTATGTAATATAAAGTTTTTATAATTTATTGTTAGTTAATATGTTGTGTGAATAAAGCCATTATAACAATATTTTAAAAGAATATTTTGTCTCGGTGTGATTTAGATAAAAAAATATATTTTCCTGTTATATCATACATTGCATATTGAAGTCGACATATCTCGAAAACAAGTAAATATTGGGAAAAACTTTATATTACAAGAATTACTAAAAATTTAACAAGCTTTTAGATGGACTGCATTTCCACATTCTAGGGATCAAAATTTTTTTAGTATCACCACGCCATCTGTACAGACAGATTTGAACTAACAGTTCTAACTGCAATTTGAAGCTATTCGAGGGATCTAACAACCCCAGTATCCGGAACTAAAATAAAATTCTTGATTTCGGAGATATTGGCAGCGGGAGTGTTAAATGGCACACCCTGTATATTTAAACAGGTAAAGGAAAAAATACTTACAGTATTTGCCTTTTAACATATTTATTTAACATTATACTACTTAAATTTGTATTTTTTTACTCTAGAAATCTAATTACTAGGGCAAGCACAAATTATTTGCATCAAATTTTAAATTCGCAGTTTGCCTTTTGTTGCAAATTTTTAGCGATTGCAAATACGTAAATGAAAAAGGAATATTCTTTAAAAAACGTGTTTCATTATAAAAAAAGTTTATTTTTATTTTGACGAAAACATTAATCTGGTGATACAACCAAAATATGTTTTCTATTTGTTTAAATTAAAAGAATTTATTGTTGTATATTTATTTTTCCTTAATAAATTACAAAATCATACAATTAAAATATTAAAAATAAGTGCGTTTGGATCCAAATTGTATTTATAGCTTAGCTAAATACCAAAAAGTTTAATAAATCAGTAATAATTATTGTAAAATTCTTCGCTTCAAAGAAAAGATCTATAAGAATTTTTTTGTTATAACTACGATTTTAATACAATGTTATTACAGAAACTTCAATAAAAAGTAGGTATTCAATTTTCTAAAAAAAGTCTAGCCCAATATATTTTTATAACGTTTATTGTCAACATTGTATTTAAAACAGTATTTGTAACAAAATATTATTTTAAATTTTTTTCTGTAATTTTTTAATTTTACTTGAGATTCATTTATGGTAAGCTCTTATTTTAAATGAAAAAGAAATAAAAAATATAAACTTGAAAATAGTTTATTTTTGGAATAAAATGGAAGAGATTCTTTTTCTGTGAATCAAATATACTAATCGAATTTCCGAAATATCCAGTAACATCTTAATTCTGAGGTTTTTAGTGGCTATGTTTTCCAGTATCTCCGTCAGTGTTTGAAAAATATTTGCACAAGTAAATGTAATAAATTTTTTTAAACTATAACACACTGTATCCAGAAATTAAGAATTTTGCAACGTAAGTTCATATAAACTTTTCTTCTTAAAAACGTTCCACGGAATCACCCCTGAAATATTTTTATGTATGTACACTGTATTTCACAGGTGTTATTTTAACTTTTATGTAAATTAGTAAAAGTTCTTGATTTATTTTTAGTACCTATCTTTAACATTTGATTTTATATTTGCATATATCAACTCAAATATGTGCATTCACATTCGTATTCCCCAATGAAAATATTTCATCCCCTACTATAGTTACTATTTTACATTAATCTAAATTTTATAATCTTATTTCTGTTTTCATTTGGTGTTTCCAATACAGGGTGAGTTAATTTAGACATTTTGGGGTTTTTTTCATGTCCGATAAGGAGATAAACAAAAAGTAGTTCAAATGTCCCGAACTTGGTTTTCGAGAAAAATTGGATGGCAGAAACTATATTTTGCTATGTTGATTCGTTTGAGATTTTTATAAAATTCATTTGGTTCTGTATTTTTTTCTGGAATATTTTTCTGTAACTTTCGTTTTTATAATAACACAAATGGAACAGCTTGTACATGTTCTAGTTTTTAAAACCAACAAATTTTGCTTTTGTCAAATTGAACATCTTTTTTTTTAAGGTACACAAATAATTTTTTTTGTAACAGCTATGTATAATTTTTTTTCACCGCTACATAAAATATACCTAAGGCATTTTTAACTGTATCATAAAACAATTATAGAAAAATAATACATACCATAAATAATTAGATTATAAAAAATATAAATAAAAATCGGACTCGAGACATTTGAACTACTTTTTGGCTATGTGAGAAAATACAAGACACCCTCCAAAAGTGTAAACTCAACTTATCCTGGATACGTACCTCTCAGATCTTTTACATTTTTCCTCAGGAATTTCAAGCAGTTTTGCCTTCGACATATCGGAAAGCATAGGCTTTGACAAAGACGTGCTGGTCCGAGCTAGAGAAATAGTAGAGTGTCTGAAAAAGAACGAACCAATTCACCCACTGGACCAAAACCTGAAAAAAACTTGTAAGGTCGAAAACTTGGCGGAACTAGACATTCCTCAACCAGATGAAAATTAACATTCTCCACGCATTTTTTTTTTTCAAAGAATCCTTTATATTTTAGACCATAATTCGTTACAATAAAAAAGTAAGATTATAATGTTAACATTTTATTATATCGAATCCATATAAGAAACATAAGTTGTAAAATTAAAACAGTGAATCTGGTAATAAAAAAACCCCTAGTAGTCATCCCCTCTGGAAACGACCTCCTTGCAGGTCGGACGCAGGACAATGGTGTGCTCGAACTGGGCGGTATAACAACCCTTGATGTCGCACAACGGAGGATAGTCGTCCACGATTCCCTTGTCGCACAAATCCTTCAGGGCCATCTGGTACTTGGTGGCCCCGGCACGATCTAGCCACCGCTTGCAGAAGGCTAGGGTGCCAAAGTTCTTGTTGATTACGTTCAGCAGCGCTTTCGAAGATTGCAGACTAGAAACGTGAAAATAATTAGATCTTAGACTGCATCTATTTAATATTTTCTCTGGATCAGATATATTTTTTTGTATTAGGACAACCTTTTCCTGATTGCTGATAAATTTCAAAAATATAGAGTGGAACTTTAAGCGGGGGTTAGGAGCCAGTTAGTTAGGAGTTCTCCAAATACTAAAATTATTATTTTTTGTGATTAATTTATGCATTTGAGTATTTTATCAGTAATATTTTCACTAAATACTTGATAATTGAAAATGCTTAATGAATTTTCTTATTAAATAATAATAATAAATTTCCTTTATTACTAATTTGATTAATACTGACACACAAATATTCAAATAATGCGTGTGCTTCGTAAATAAATCTCCAGTTGGTTTTAAAAATTAAGGTTTAATTTTCTGAAACACCATATATTCTATTACAGCAAAAATTGGTACAATAGGGTTTTAGATAGTCCTGAATAAGAATCTGGTGCAGTTTTTGTCAAAAAAAAAAATGCTAATATTACTTCGTCTCGTTTTTTCTTCCTATAAAACGAGTCTCAGTTGGCGACAACTTACAAGGAGAAGGTAAGGTAGTCGGATTTTTGTAATTTTTGATATTTATGGTACGCGTAATTTGGATCTTGAATAAGAATTTTCCGAAGTAGTTCGATGCAACGTTCATGAATTACCGAGATAATCGATTTTGAAGTTTTACCTGCCAGCTAAATCCAGTAGATGCAACACATTCTTCAACTGAGAGCGTGGCCTAGTTGGTAGCATTCGCGTCTGATAGTCACGAGATCGTTTGAGTTTCATCGCGTAACTTTTTTCAAAACGCACCATATGGTTTTTTATTCTAATGACTACTTATGTATATGTTTTAAATATTTCATTAAAATGGTTGTTAAGCAATATTTATTAAGAATTAACAATAAAGTTCCTTTAAAAAAAAAAAACAAACGAGGTCGGGTAGGTTTTTTATTTTATTTTTAGTATTTAGCATTTTACGCAGTGTGGCATAAGCCAGAATGATAATTGTCATAGAAACATGGGAAGCAGACATTTTTAAAGCATCTAGCACGTCGTGTAAATTTTTTATGTTTTTCGACAGGCACATTTTGTTTTCAAAATATCAACTTCGAAGCAAATTTCGTTAACATTTTGAAAGATTGTTCTTTCATCACACAGTTTTGATGCTTCTCTACCCTTTGTAGAACTTACCAAAACTTTTTATTATGCCCGAGCAGGTGTGTTTTGTAAGCGGTTTTTTTAAACACGGTGAACGACCCACACAACCTAGCTCAAAATGTTAATTAAACACTTGAAGAATATTCCTGCATACAGTTCTTATAATATTTCATTTGTTCATAATTTTCGAGATAAGAAAAAGAAAGAAAGCTAGTTGCTTAAAAAATTTCTGCATCCCATCTTTCTACGATAACTACCATTCTGGCTCGTGCCACACTGCGTAAAATGTCAAATACTAACATAAATATAAAATAAAATAACATCCTACCTGACTTCGTTTGTTTTTTTTTAATGAAATCTTATTGTTAATTCATAATAAATATTGTTTATCAACCAATTGTGCATTTTAATGAAATATTTGAAGAATATTCCTACATATACATAAGTATTTATTATAATATTTCGTTTGTTCATAATTTTCGAGAAGAAAAAATAATAAAAAACCATATGGTGCGTTTTGAAAAAATAAAATGTCACGCGACAGACTTGAACCAGCGATCTCATGACTGTCAGTCCCGAACGCTACCAATTAGGCCACTCTCCCAGTTGAAGAATGTGTCACATCTAGTGGATTTAGCTGTCAGGTAAAACTTCAAAATCGATTATCTCGGTATTTTATTAATATTGCGTCGAACTACTTCGGAAAATTCTTAATCAAGGTCCAAACTACACGTACCATAAACATCAAAAATCCGACTACCTTACCTTTTCCTTGTTAGACCACAAAAATACTGAAATTAACATGCTACTCCTTTTTAGAGATTTATCAAACAAAAAAAAAGGTTGAAACAAATGGTCAATAAATAATAATTTTATATGTGTGCTTAATGCTTAAGTGGGACACACTGTATATAGAAATGAATTTTTTGATTTAAATAATTTACATCAAATAAAAAGCTACACAGATTCAAGTTACGATTAAAGAGAAAAGGTTTGGAAAAACAAGAACTGAATATGTCCTAGGTAATTACCTTAAAATTATTTACGAAAAATAAAACACTGATTTTGCATCGCTGTTTCTAAAATACGATGTACTCCAAAAATTACTATTTTGTTTTATTTCCTAAAATATTTCCATTTTCCGATAGAATATTTCTTTTTCTACAAAACAAAACCAGCTATATCAATTTTTGTATTAAAAAATATTAAGGAATTCAGAAGGAATTGTCACAGTAGCTAGTAGTAAATATTTCTATTTCATTTTCTAGAACAATGCTTTTTAAATGTTATAACAAATATTTTTGCTTCTTATTTCAAATTTTTAATAAAAAGTATCTGTTACTGTTTTTTAAAGCAATGTTAGATCAGTAAAATGATCAAAAATACCTAGTTTTTTGCTAAAATTTAGTTCAGTAAACAAAGACACGTAAAAATTTGGAAAAATTCCGTAGAACTGAACTACTTTAAAAATTTTAAGCCCAGTCCGATGTCAATTGACAAACAAATGTATTAGTTATTGCCAAATAAAAAATGGCTAAAAATCGCTTTTTTTAAAACTTCTAGAGCAAGGGTCGGCAACTGGCAGACCGCAGTCCAGATCCGGACCGCGGAAGGTAAAATAATGGACTCGCAAAAATTTTTTGAAAGTATAAATTACTCAATTAAATTATTTCAAAAATAGTTTTCTATTGAATGCCACCCTTATCATTTCTACTACAATTGCGTGATTGATTTGAGTTCTTAATGGTTAGTAGGTAGATTAAATCTGTGAGTGTAAATTAAAATAAAAAATTAGTAAGAAATATGAATTTTTTTTTGTGGACTTCGTTAAAAATTTCCAAAAATATCCGGACCCCACCTAAAATTAGTTGCCGACCCCTGTTCTAGAGCTTTAAAAAGCAGAAAGATTTTTTTTATGAAACTTTCGGAATATGTTGTTCTTGGCACGTAGAATAAGTGCATTTTTCTAAAATTGCAAAATTGATAGTTTTTTCAAAGTTGAGTTTTTCGAAAGACATTTTTTTCAAGATTCAATAAATCATATAGTAATGCACTTACATGACCCATCTTGGGCTTAAAATTTTCTCTAAGAGTTTTACTTTTCTATGCAAATTGTGTGCCTATTGCAAAATAATTAGAAATATGCGTAAAATCTACCAAAATTTTGACTTCTTTTTTTAAGTCGAAAAATGTAGATCTTTCTTATCATTGAAACTTAATCGGAATGACATTATTGCCATTTTGAAGCTGACATTTTTCAAGAATTAAAAAAATCTACAACCAACAGGAGCCAAGACATTTTTTTTTAAAATTGCTACGACCTTATTTATTAATGTTAAGGTCTGAAATTTACACATGTGGTAGGTGAATACCTTTTCTTCAATATAAAAAATAGTCTGCAATGATTTACTTCGATAGTATTTATTAAAGTGACTTGTAAACAGTTATTTATTTCAGTGTTTAGTGACACTATGGTATGTTTGCGTGCCTTCATTGTTAAATTTCTAAACAATATTACAAAAAAACATGCAAGAAAGACGAGATTTGACAACAATGCAGACGGGATGCGAAAATTACAAAAAAAAAGTAAAAAAAAATTATGCGCAATTTGAGGAAACAAACTTATGTTTTTAAAGGTCAAAAGTAGCTCTGGTAAAAATATAACCCCCGTTCAAAGTTACATCTTTTAAAATAAGTCTCACAGGGTTGGGATGAAGGGTTGCATCCCCTATAAGGAAGGGATGGAGAAGGAAGGGTATTCTCAACTAGTTTGCTTACATACCAGATTTTGCCCAGTTGAAACTCAGAAATTTAAAGGAACATTGATAAAAAGTTAAAAAACCTCTACTGTAAAATTCTACAAAGAAACTTTAGACAGATTTTGTCAATTCTTACCGAAGAGGTACGTAGGGGACCTCAAAGTTCTTCATGTAATGGGAACACTCCATGTCATCATGGACTAGGCCACGACCCGTAGACCCAAAAGTTTCGATGGCGTAAAATTCATTTTCTTCCATTACCGTCGCTTCGCCTCCCTTCACAATAGGAACAGTTTTTCCCGCATGTATTCCTAAATTCAAGATCGGTTACACAATAACAATGTTAAATAAGAGCGTAAATAAATACATAAATCGACACTTACTGTATGGAGATATTGAGTGCCCATTAAGGTTCCTGATAGACTTTACAGGGTACGTCTTCCCATCCAACTCAATCTCGTACGACTCCATCACCTCCTGAATCTGGGCCCCGACTTCACACAACTGTACGTCAATTCCTACAAAAAGTCCCAGTAAGTAAACGACACACTCAAAATAATACCGAAATCGTACCTGCAGCTTTAATTCCAGTATTTGTAGCTTCACGCACGGCTTCGACCAGTTTATCATATTTGGGGTTGAAAGTATGTGTAAAAGCGCAATCTATAATCCTACCGTTAATATGAGTGCCAAAATCAATCTTTACAACATCGTCGTACTCAAAAACAGTCTTATCGCCTGCGTTTGGAGTGTAATGTGCGGCACAATGATTCCTTGAACAACCGGTAGGGAAAGCTAGTCCTGCTTTTAAACCATTTTCTGCGATAAGCTTTCGAGCTGTGTTCTCCAACTCTTCACAAATTTCAATCATTGTCATTCCCGGTTTTATCCACTTTTGTATATATTGTCTGGTCTAAAAAAAATAACTATATTCAAGTATCAATCAAAAAGTATTATAAACAGAAACTTGCCTGTCTATGAGCTTCGGCTGCTAGCCGAACTTCATTGTAAATATCGTTGTGCATTCTGTCCAATGCTCGTTTCTCTTCAGAAGTAAAACGATCTCTGGCAGTACGATCATCTTTAACAGTAGGATACTCCTGAATTTCACCTAACGGAAAGGCACCCTGAGGAAACAAATCTACAATCGCAATAGATGGAGGGTTGGTCTGAGTTGGTTTCCCACCCTTCTTTCTATTTCGTTTCTTCTTCTTTCTCTCCCCTTCGCCTTCACCCTCATTTTCAACACCGTTTTCGACTGCGTTTTCAATGTTGACATCGCCTATTTTTTCTCCATTCTCACGCGCGCTTCCTTCCTCTATAAATAAAAAAATAGGAGAGAAATGTGTAATATCTCTGGAATTCGCATTTGAAATATAAAGCTACTTCAACTTACCAGTTTTTTTCTTTTTCTTCTTTTTTTTCTTCTTCTTAGTAGTATCGTTGTTATCTCCTCCTACTTCATCGTCAATCTCGTTTTCATTTTCACGATCGTCCTCATTTTCCTCCTTTATTTCAGTTTTCAACGCAGCCATTTTTAACAAAATCCATCAAAATTTGGGTTGGTAACACAGAAGTAAATTTCTTTGTTGTTTTTTGTCCTTGAGAAATATTTTCCCCGTTCTTTTTATTTACTCCGAGTACTTCGAAATTTATCCTACTCATAAAAGATATAGTACTAACGTATATTTTCTATGATCCTACTTCACTAATGAAAACAAGAACATAATTTTTTCTTTGCATTTCATTTTGTTACATAAAGTTGATAAGTAATCACTTTCGTGAGATTTATTTAATTATTAGAATGTAGTAAAATAGCAAAAGAAAGGAAAGTGTCTATAAAGTTAAATTATTTAAATCAAAGCCAAGATTATAAATACAACCATAAGAGAGTGCTGCCGCGATGCGGTCGTAGCGAAAATTAACTACATTTAGATTAGAGATGGGCAAAACAACTCTTTTCACGGAGCTGCTTCGTTGCATCTGGTTCTTTTAAAAGAGTCGACTCACTGAGTTGGCTCAAAAGAGACACATGCGTTATAAGATTTACACGTACCAAGTATTATTTTAAATATATACGAATGTTTGAAAAAAGAAAATAGTGAACAATGTGATAAAGAAATTAGGAAACGGATTAGCAAAATTAACTAAGATATCAAAAACGACAATTTATCGCGTAATTAAGGAAGGAGATATTATTAATCACGGTACAAAGAAACGGGAAAATACAAAATTAAAGAATATTGACGATTTTACCAGAGATGTAATATGGTGCACAATTTATAATAATACGTATAAAGAAATTAAAGTTCCTACTTTAAACATGATTCGAAATAAATTAAGCGATTATCCTGATTATAATTATAAATCTTTAGATACTTTACGATATGTTTTATTATTACAATACGGTTTTAAACATAAAAAACTTGACAATCGTATGATAATTACGGAATCACGATGTATAGTTGCACTTCAGGAAGATTATTTACAAAAAATTCGGTAACTCACAAAACACACTTTACTTGAGTGAATCGTGAATCAATATTCTGATCTGATTCAATTCCGTATTCTACGACGGAACTTGACGCGACAATCGCCAGGTTACAGTGGCCAGCCGTTAGTGGTTCGTTAAATCATTTGTAGTATCATAATACTGAAGTACTGGTGATGTGTCAAGCGAAAGAATCACGAGTCGCATATTTCAAAATCGACGAGCTGACTCACTGATTCTTTTTACCGAGTCGACTCTTCGACGCAACTCGCTCATGAGTTACCCATGTCTAATTTAGATTGAACGTTGATTGAAATTTCAGCCAACGGATTTCAGCCCCAAAATGGCAATTTCACATATTATTTATATATATAAAAAAAAACAAGCAAAATTAAATTGTAGTATTTCAATGAAAATAATGGGAAATTGAGTAATAAACTCAGGGTCTCCCTGAATAAACTCTTTCGGTTGACTAACTAGGCAAGGTTCAAACCAAGTCTTTTACTAATTAATGTCTAATTAATGTCTGCTAAATCGCAGTCACAGATCGTAGCAAAAACCAAGGATATTTATAATACATGTATTAGGTATAAATAATATCCTTGGTATGTACAAAACAACCCTATCGATTATCTCCATCTCTATGCAGTTTGTTTCTATCACATACTATCTATCTTTCTATCTAACGATTTGCTGATTCTGTCACTCGTCTCATCTACTGCTCTTTCTGTCTTTTCGCCGTTGCACTGATAGTTTAATATAAAGTGTAACACCGGTGTAAGGTACGTAATTGGTGTAATACGTGCGTCACGCAATCAGACGTCGAATGATGCAAATGTCATCGTAGTCACTAGATGTCAGTGATGTCACCTCTTCGACCCAAGTAACTTTCATTCATTACCAGAATTAAAATCTTTAAATTTTATAAGTAATTGTAATTTGCAAATAAAGTATATTATTTTCACTAGATTAACAGTTGCTAAAAAATAAATGAATATGCAGTGTTCATTGTGGAATGTTGTTTCAAATACCGTAAGGGTAAGTCGAAAAACTATTTAGATTTTACACATAAAAAGTAAAAGTTTTTACGTAATATAACCTAAATAAAAAAATCGGCAAGCATTAATATATAAAAAAATTCAAGTTCATTCACAATTCGTATCCTAAGGGATATTTTTCTCCTTTAAAATTCCAATTTGGCTTTAAAAGGTCATCTTATTATAATCAGGATGTAAATCTGTAGGTTCTCTATAACAGTAGTCTTTCTTCATAGCCCACTTTGAGGTACAACAAGGGAATTTTAAGTAATTTGAACAGTCGTCTCTATTCATCAGGAGGAGATGCAGACATTGTCGTTATTGGATCAGGACCGGGAGGTTACGTAGCTGCAATAAAAGCTGCTCAACTTGGAATGAAGGTAAGAATAACATCCACATTTTATAAATTTTCTTAAATGGATATTTTGTTGCGAATTATTTCCTTTTACTTCATCATATTATTTTAGACGGTGTGTATCGAGAAAAATCCTACCCTAGGTGGCACTTGTTTAAATGTTGGTTGTATCCCATCGAAAGCATTGTTAAATAATTCACATTACTATCACTTGGCACACACCGGTGATTTGTCAGAGCGAGGAATAGAAAGTAAGTGTTCAAATCGTTCATGTAGTATATGTATTTGCAAATAGGAGAAATAACTTTCAAGAAATTGTATTAATAGTGATATATCCGTTAAAAATATATTTGATTAAATTATTACCTACATGCGTATTTTTTATCTTTTCGGAAGATTACCGTGGATAAATTATTTTGTAATTTATAAATGTAATATGTTTTATATTTATAACATATTAAACAAGTCTCAATATTATGTTTACGTATTTGAAGTAATAATAATTTTATTACATGCGTGTTAGGAATCATACTGTTAATTTTTTATGTTATGCAATGTTTTTATAGTTATCAAAAGTTACTTGAAGAAAGTGATAACACTTTATTTTTACATGATTGACTAACAATAAATACAGCTATATATAATTAAATATTATATTATTTTGATAAATTTCAACTTTTACTTTTGGTCGTTATTGATATCATAATTATTTGCTAGCCGAAGGTGTTCGTTTAAATTTGGACAAGTTGATGGGTCAAAAAACAAAGGCTGTGTCCGCTTTAACCGGGGGTATTGCCCAGCTCTTCAAGAAAAACAAAATAACACTGGTCAAAGGCCACGGTAAAATCACGGGTGTGAATCAGGTTACCGCTTTGAAAGAGGATGGTTCCAACGAAGTGGTAAACACGAAGAACATCCTCATCGCAACCGGGTCCGATGTAACCCCTTTCCCTGGTATTCAGGTATTTTTTCTTTATTAACCCTTTGCAATTTTGCATTTCACTCTTAAAACTGCTTTGTAAAGTTTATTTCATTTTAGATTGACGAGGAACAAATAGTTTCTTCGACTGGAGCTTTAGCATTAAAAGAAGTGCCTAAGCGACTTATCGTCATCGGAGCCGGAGTAATCGGAGTGGAACTGGTAAATAGCAAGGAAAAAGCTATGCTTTTTTTTATCGCAGTATATTTTAGGGTTCGGTGTGGTCTCGACTGGGTTCAGACGTAACGGCCATCGAATTCCTGCCCACCATCGGCGGCATTGGAATAGACGGCGAAGTGGCTAAAACGTTCCAGAAAATACTCACCAAACAAGGACTCCAGTTCAAGCTTAACACGAAAGTCACCGGTGCTGTCAAAGATGGGGGTGTTATCAAGGTGGATATCGAAGACGCCAAAGACCCGAACAAAAAGGAGACTGTAAGTTTTGAAAGTGACATTTTTTGTGTTTGTGTTATGCTTATATTTTTTTTTCAGTTGGAATGTGAAGTGTTACTAGTCTGCGTTGGAAGGAGGCCCTACACGGAGAATTTGGGACTGGAAGAGATGGGCATAGAGAAAGACCAAAAGGGCAGGATCCCGGTGAATTCGGTATTCCAGACGGTTGTTCCTAATATTTACGCCATTGGGGATTGCATCCACGGGCCGATGTTGGCGCATAAAGCGGAAGATGAAGGTAAGCCTTATGCAACTGTGTACAATTTGAAACTGATAATTCCCTCGGTTTTACTACTTCACTTTTTTTTTCTGTTTTTCTAAAATCTCTTCAAATGTTTAACATATATCTATTAAACACTATTATTAATTTAAGATTTCATACCGGACCGCTGGCCATAAGCATGTATCGAGTGCCATGCCTATCAAATCTCATCTCGCTTATATCTTTCCATAATATCACAAATTTTTACAATGAAGACACACAAACACACCGTACCGTCACTAAACATTGAAACAATTGATAATAAAATTGGTACACTCGGACAACAAATATTTTGCGAGGGGTGTGCCACAAGTAATTTTTGGTGTACGTTTGATATATTATAATTTAAAACTACTTTAAAAGTATAGAAATTATTTATTAAAATATAAAAATTACCAAATTCTTTGGTAAAGTACAAAAATTACAAAAAGTACGTATTAAATTACAAAAAGTACAAAAAATGGCCTGATAGAGTACAAAGATTTTTAAAATTATTCTTTAAAATTACTGAAAGTACTAGGAGCTTTGTTATGACGAGTCTACCACATTTTTCCTCTGCGACTTTTCTCGATTCCTCCGTTTTTCCACTCGGAAAAGTCCAAAATCATGGCAATTTCCCGGGGTCTTGAAAAGTGAAGACCACATCTTTTATTTTTATTTTTTAAATGCCGATTTAAATTCGTCATACAGAAATTCTTCCGACATTGATATGTCTACCGGCGGAAACATGCCAAAATAACAGGGTATTGAAAATCAATTACCACATAGGTAATAATAGGTAATTTTTAGTAAAATTAATTGTAAATAATTAATTCAGTCAAAAAGTATTGTTGTACGACAAATTTCAAGCCACGTTTTTTCAGACCGACAGCTGGAAATCGGAATTTTCACGGGGTATGAAAAATCGATTACCACATATCTAATTTTCATTTTTTCCACATTTAAATTTACTGTACAAAATAGTGATATAAGTGCCCGACGATTTGATATCTGCAAATTATTAAAAAATCAATAAATCAATAATCGTGATGAAATTTAATTATTATTATGTAAATTATTATTTGTTTCAAATAAATAATTATAATATTGCTTATTTTATGCTTAAAAATTTTAAAGTTATAAACAAATGAAGTTATTTTTGAGACGATTAATACTATCTTAGTGCATAATGCATTATTTCTAAATAAATTAATATTATACCTGATATAAAAATCCTTTTTTCTCTTTCAAGTTTTCATCCGCGTTTGTTATTTTTCTTTACAAAAATTTTCCTATTTTTCTAAAAGAAAATCCCAAAACTTTTGTGCATATTTATTTTACAGCATACATACTTTTTTGAAATCGTTTAATTCTTTTCTCGATATTTATTTGGCTAAATTGAGCATAAAAGATTTACAATTACAAGAATAAAACGAAAAATATATACAGGGTGTTTCAGAAAGACCTCCCATAAATAAAGGGGGTGATAGTACGACAAAAAATGAGAATTTTTTGTCTTATGAACTATGACTATCTCCTCTTGTTTTCGAGATACAGAGACAAAAATAAAATTTTTTAAATAGAATTTTTACGAAAATTTCCAAACGGTGCAAAATATTTTTATGAAATTTGGTAGTCCAGGGTTTTTAAGGGTGCCAAATATGCTAGTCTAATTATTTTTTGTATATTTCATAGAGGGCTCTAGTTATGCTACATACTTATTACATTTTAAGTTCTATTTTTTTAAGGTTAGGTTTTTTACCATTCGGGCTCCAATTTCTATTGTACAATTTTATTTTCTAAAAATAATGTACTCTTGTTAGAACTTCTTAATGTGGACGATTTTCGAGAAAAAAGGTTTTAATTAAACTCTTAATTCTTATAAGTACTTATGTGAAAAAGTCTACAAATTACGAAGATTACGAAATTATATTTAAAAATTACGAAATTATATAAAAAAAATATGAAAATTACTGGTAACTAGCAAGGTAATTTTAGGTAATTTAAGTAGGTGTACGTTTTACTGTTGAGTGGTACACCCCTCGATATTTTGTGTATCTCATGCTTAATACAAATATTGTATTTTGCATAAGCCGTACATTAATTTTATTATATTAAAAATGCCTTTGTACAGGAGGGGTGCGTTTGTATTTCAGGTATCATCTGCGTGGAGGGCATAAACGGAGGCCCCGTCCACATCGACTACAACTGCGTCCCCTCCGTAATCTACACGCACCCCGAAGTGGGCTGGGTGGGCAAGAGCGAGGAACAGCTGAAAAGCGAAGGCGTGGATTACAAAATCGGCAAGTTTCCCTTCATGGCCAATTCCAGGGCGAAAACCAACAACGAGACCGACGGTTTCGTCAAAGTTTTGGCCGACAAGGCCACGGATAGAATCCTCGGAACTCACATTATCGGTCCCACAGCCGGTGAACTGATTAATGAGGCTGTGCTAGCACAGGAGTACGGCGCGTCGAGCGAGGACGTTGCCAGGGTGTGTCACGCCCACCCCACGTGCGCCGAAGCATTAAGAGAGGCCAATCTGGCGTCGTACTTTGGAAAGCCCATTAACTTCTAAGATAGGAATGCAATAATTTCTGCCCCCCGTTTATTTATCTTACGAATTTTATGTACATACCACTTTTTTGTTATATTAAGCATATTTTTTTCTTTAAAAGAATTGAATATCCACGATATGTGAAATAAATGCGATTTATTTATAGAACCGTGTGTTTTCTTTTAATACGCTTTGCAGGGTGTGTTTCAGTCACTTTTCATTGTAAAAAATTAGAAAACTGAAGAATCATCGTGTTTTGTAAAAAAATTTACTTTATATTAATGAAATCTTTTTTGAACGCTGAATTTTTTACACACGTCCAAAGAAAATAAACGAATAAAAAATATAGTTTATAAAGTTAAACAATTTACAAATAAAAATAAAAAATGAAAAGACAAAATAATTATTAAAATAATAAAACACTAAAACGTGGCTTAATTTATAGGTAACGGATATATCGAATGTAATATGTTGAAAAATTGTATTCTTGAAGAATCTCTTCCCTTTTTTGTTTTCTGGGGTCTAAAAAATTTAGCATAAAGGTAATTTTTCCTTCTAGTAAGTATAAGGATCTGGCTTCTATTGCAAAAATTTTTCAAGTTGCTTTTAACTTAAATATTTAAATCAACAAAGTGTCATTTTGTACATGGTGCAACTAAAATACCTGACCACATTTTAGAGACGGATTATATAAGTCGATTAAAAAAGTATAAAGGGTGATTCACAACTTATCCAAAAAAATTTGGGAATAGATGCAGCATGAAAAATGGAGTCAATATCGTAAAAAAAATGTTCGTAAAATCCTTATAGTTTCCGAGAAAAAAATTATTTAAGTTATAGTACATTCAACCACTACATAGCTGGACAACTGTACCCTCTAGCATCATTCGCAATGCACGTGGAGAGCCATGTGGTCTCAGCGACTGAATACTGGAATCGAATATTGCAATCGTCGTTGCGATAGTATTTACCTGTTATCTGTGGTGCTTACAATAGTTTTTTAGTAGTTAGTGTCAAAAATGGTTTGCGTATATAGCAGCTCGGAGTTGATGGATATCGTTTTAATTTATGGTGAAGGTGTTATGGTGAAGCAAGACCACATTTGTGTTAGTTCGTAGAAACTGAGTAAGGCGGACCCAAATGTGTTTACACATTGGTGGATAAAATTTTGAACAATTGTTGTTGTAACATCGGGTATATCAAATGATTTTATTATTTAAAAACACAAATTAATTTTATTAATTAATAAAGGCAAAAGCAGTTGAATTTGCCGATATAAAATAGGTGCGATAAAATTCTATTTACAAATTTCTTTCCTTGCTTTTTGTCCGTCATGCCGGTCGCATTGTGCAAGGTCAGGTTTTACAATGGACTAGTTTCCAGTGCCGTGCAGAAGTGTATTTTTAAATCATTTTCGAACTGCCCTTTTTGATTTTTTCTTTATAAAACTGTATTTATAAGGATCCCCTGTACATCCAGAATTTTTTTTTTTTGGAAAAGTTCTGAATCACCATGTATAGGTACTGCAGTCCAATTATTATAAATCATAACGCCTGACAATTTGAAAAAATTATTTAGTAGACATTTTATTGAAATGGATATTGACAGGAATGGGTATGTAGAATAATCAATATCAAAAAAGTAACTCGAAATAAGTGACACAAAAATGGATAGGCATGCTACCGTTGTGCAAACGGAGTTAGCAGGCATAACCACAGCCGCGAAGGAAATTGCCCGCAGGCATACTACGGGCAAAACCATTAGAATCTACACGGATAGTAGACAAGCACTACTGACCTTGCGTAATCATAAGATAATGACTAGGACAGTATGGGAATGCCATGAAGCACTAGTTGTGGCCTCGGCCGCTAACAGCATATCTGTATGCTGGGTAAAGGGACACGAACAGTGCTATGGCAATAAAGAAGCTGACAAGCTAGCCAGGAGCGCATCGGGCCTCAACATTTTTGGACCCGGCCCCTCCAGTGTGCTTCCGTTGTCGGCACTTGTTGGAATTATCAAGGAAGACACCCACAAAGAATTTATGAAATGGTGGGATGAAACAATCAGCTGTCACTTTGCTAAGGAGTTCTTAGTGTATCCTAGCAAAGACACAGCTAAAAAATAACTGGCTATGTCTAGGTCAAATCTTCGCCTGGTGACAGGTATTCAAACTGAACACTGTTGGCTAAGGAAACACCTTTACAATATGGGGAAGTGTGAAACACCTCTTTGTAGGGGCTGTGTACAGGAAGACGAGACGGTGTTGCATTTACTATGTGAATGCACTGCCGTCTCGTCAACAAGAGAGTCCATGATGGGAGAACGCTGGCCTTCAATGGCCTATATTAGAGAGACCCCCCTGAGCAACGTCACCACTTTTTTCACTGTAATAGGCTGGTTGGCGGCTCAGGTGGATTGATCTCTCTAACGGGAGGATGTACAAGGGGCCCAATGGGGCCTAAGTGCTGTAGCTTTGCTACCCTCCCCACAATTCCAGATTCCAGAAGTGACACAAAGTTGGCAAATTGCAAATAAGTCGCAAATTTACGTGTTTTTCACTTTTTTTTACTGCCCACGAAAATCTAAATGTCCTATCGGAATATTAGTTATTTAAATTACCTCCAATTTAATTATCTAGTCATATTTCACTAATTCGTTAAGTGTAAAATAAAGGTCGAACGCGGAAATATCAGTTTTCGAATATTACGCATTATTATTCCGTTATAAAGTGCAATAAACTTTTGTCTTGACGTTTGAAATTCGTTTAAAATATTTCGCTGCATACAGGCGATTCATTATCACTTCATTATTTTTAACTTTTACTGCTGCTAGCGTGTTTATTACTTGAATAACTATCAATGTAAAACTTTTTGGAAATAATAGTTTAATCCTTTCTTTGTCTCTAAAATCCCGATCCGAACGTCCAATAATTAACTAACAATTAGCATTATACAAAAAGTTGTCTCGGAAACAAAGATGAGGTATACGTGAATGCTCTCTTTTTTTAAATTACCGGAAAAAATAAGCTCTATTTAATGCAAAAAGAGCGAATTCCCGAGCGGCTTTTGCCTGGGACAATTTGTTTATAAGGCTGTTTTGCATGCCCTACGTTAGTGTGAAGGAAATTAATTAACAGATACCTGGAGCAACAATTTCATGGTCCATTGAATCTGCCTTTTAATAACGTGCAATTTTCGAAAATTGATATTTCCGCATTCATCCTTTATATTACAGTTAACAAATTGGTGAAAATTAACTGTAGGTAATTTAATTGCCTACAACATAAAATAATTAATTTTCCTGTTTTTTTAAATTATTTAATTACACATAGTACAATTCATATAATCCTACACAAAATTAAAAACAACTTGTACTCAAAATTTGTAGAACCTAAATTGTTTATAAACTTTACAATATGCACATTCATCACAACTGATATAGAGAACACTAAAAATACTTCGACATTATCAGATATTGAAACATTGAATAAAAGGAAAAAAGTGTGTTAAGTAATGGTTAATTATTTGTCTATAAAGCTTGAAAAAAAACAGAGTTAAAATTATGCATATTACTCTGCTATCACTTTGTATTAGATCAGAAATATACAGGGTGATTTTAATAATACCTAAAAAAATCTAAATAAAAAGACAAAAATATAGTTCTGTTGTGGCTGGTGAAAATCAAAGTAGTCATGTTTTGAAAATGTATAATTTGTGTATAAAAAAGTTTTGAATGTAATTTGTAAAATTAAAAATTTAAATAGGGGTCGCTGGCTCTGAGGTATCGAAAAAAGGTGCAGATATACATAATCATCTGGTAACTAGACACAAGCAGATATTTTCTATATTTGTTACAAAAATTCTTAGTTTTGTTAAAGTTACAGTATTATTTACTTTGAAAACTTAAAGAAAAATATTTTGCATTTTTAAGATCTCGGGGAGGGAACCCATATTTTAATTTTTTCTTTCACAAACTCCATCCAAATTTTTTTTGGCATGAAAGTTCCCTATGTGAACATACAAATTATTCATTAAAAAATTGTACGGGCCCATATTTCATTATCAAACAACTCTTTTAATTTTCAATAGCTGCCACTAGCATAAGGTAAGAAGTTAATGTAGTTTTGAAATCTTTGAATCTCACATTTGTACCTGTGTGTCAACCACCCCGTGTACTAAAAATATTAATTGCAAATAAAAACATTTAAGTGTTTCACACGATGTTCAACTAGTTATTTTAAAGCAGTCTCGGGCTAAAGTTTGTACTCTCAGTTAACCAGCAAGTTCTGTATGTCGGCAGATATATCGGAAGCGTCGGGCTTGGCCTGGCTCTCGTTTTCCACCAATCCCTGGCTCAACCTAGAACAGGCCTTCTTGTGCCAGTGCCAATGCAGACGCTGGCAATTCCTGTCGCAGTACTGAACCACTTTGCACTTGGAACACTTTTTGGCAGGTTTTTCCTCTCCACAAGTGTTACAGATGGAGATGCTCTCGATGAAACCCCTCTGCCCATTTATGGCCGAATTAACCACACTTAAAGCACTAGGTGGATCTTTACCTGCTAAACTGGTCACCATTTGCCGGAACAAGGTACAGTCTCTAAACGGAAACTCCCTTATGCACTCTTTCAGGAACCCGTCCATGAATTCCAGCTGACCGTCCTTACCAGGCTTGAGTAGCTTTCGCGTAAAGAGCTCCGTGATGTCAAATTTCTTGTCGTCTTCGTTTTCGTCTTTCTTTGCCAGGGCTTGCCGCTGCCTGATTTTTGCCACTTCGCCGACGATATAAGATAAATAGTGGAATTTGAAGGACAAAACCTCGTTGGTTTCCGCACCACGTTTCATTTCCTTCTCACTCATAAGTTCTAAAACCTTTTTTGCTTCAGGTAAATGATCTGAGAGTCCAGCAAAGTTATAAATATTTAACACAACCTTTACAGGATGGATGTTGACTTGCATGATGAATTTGTGGAAACTATGCAGTAAAAAATGCGGCAAGTGAGGTGAGCTATGAGATCCCTGTGTCTTGGTGTAATGTTCAATATCAGATATAGGTACAAAATTATTTATTATGGCTACGCAGTTGTGGTGACCTACAAATCCAGCCATTTGAGAAGCAGTTCGGCCGACTGTATTTGTTATCTGAGATTTCGCGCCGGCTAATAAAAGAGCAAGGCATACTTCAGTATTTCCTGAAAGACCTGCGAAGTGTAACGCGGTATAATTGTGTTGATGTTCGCAACAGTTCACATCGGCACCCTAAAAAATGTTCCATCATATTTTACAATACCACTCTGTTTTTTAAATTTAATCATAACTACCTGATCCAGAAGTAACTGCACAATTTCTTTGTTGCCTTTATACGAAGCGTGTTGTAAAGGACTCATAGAATTCTCATCCACAACGTTAACGTTTCTTTTCTCTGAAAGTAAAACTTTTAAACGCCCTACATCATTCTTATCTATTGCTTCGAAGATCGCTTTATCATCTTCGGATAGTTTTATGGATTTATCTTCAGACATTTTGAATAGTCGCCCCCGTTTTTTAAGTAAACAAATTAAACGTGGACCGCAAAACTACGGTCGACATACGGACGTGAAGTTAGCTTCAACATATGAGCCAATTGTCAAAATTTAATCTCTTCTACTTCCATAAAAAAATCAACGAATAATGTTCCTTTGGCCCTAAAGTTATAATTAACAAAGTTTAAGATTTCTAATTTCCATTTGGATATACATTATAGATTGCAAAATGGTGCTCAATATTCTTAGATATTTATTTTATGTTTTTTTTTGTTGTAATTTACAATGCATTATTGAATTGTATAATAATTATTACGTATGTGGTTATAGTGGTCACTATGGACAGTAATATTCTCCTGTTAATATTAAACAGTCCCACTGATACAAATCTGGGAGTAAAATATTTCGCTTGTTCAGCCAATTCCAACAATTCGTCACGAATAGGCGATTTCGATGGGAAATTTTCTCCCAGACTGTAACATAGTTTAACTATCTTGCTGCCTTCATAATTCGTAAAGTCGCAGCACAGTGCTACGTATATGTTGTATATCTACAAAAACCAATAGTGTTAATAAATTTATTAATTTATCTAAAGGTATGGAAGGAAAATAACTTACAATAATAACGAATAATTCTATAAAGTCAGTGACTATCCATTGCAATTTTTCGTCAGCTATCAAACCATTCAAAATGGACAAAGTGTCCAAAATAGTATAAGCCATCAAGCAGAAGATTGGCCATCCGAGTAATAAATTTGACAGTTCCACTAAACCCGTTATGTCTCTATACAATATCTTAATTTTCTGTATTTGTTTAACAGTTATGAAAACCACTTCTTTGCTCATAAATTTGTTCTCTATTGACTTGTTCAAAATCTGTACAAGTTTTCCATTGAGAGCCTCATACCTGTCTTTGAAATTTAATATAACTTCGTTAGTGAAAATAATTGCGCACAACCAGAATATTTCTTCCAAGTTAAAATAAATCAAGTGCCATATTTTGTAAACAAAGCTTTCGTTAGTATTAAAATATTCATAGTCGGAGAACACGTACGAAAGAATTACTAAGCTGAGAATAAAATTCAGAACATGTTTTACATATCTACGCTTCTCGGTTTTCCGGGGCAGTACGTCGTTGATGCGGTTAAATTTTTTTAGAAATTCCTCCCACCTTTTACGGTTGCACAACAACAAAATGAGCACCGTGGAAAAGGGCATCATCCAATAGCTGAAGTGTGCCGGATGTTCCAGTACTCTGACAGTGATTAGAGTGAATTCGCGTTCAAATTCTGGATACCTCAAGAGAAAGTACCCCATTATGAGAAGGAATTTATACACTAGCAAAAGTACTAACCAGACTTTGTTCAGGTTTTGGATAACCAATCGAGATCTTTTGAAACTATAAAATGGAACTAGACCCAAAATGCTGCAGAGCAAGTAGAGGTTGCAAAAGTATTTTTGTTTCATTGTCGATCTTTTAACAGACGTGGTGTGACGGCGTTAATATTTCACTCATTGGCTTGGGTGCGGCTAATGGATTTTAGATTATCTTTCGATTACTAAAGTTCGGTTTCATGTATGTAAGATATAACGAGAAACTAAAACAGTATAGGGAAGTAAAATATTTCACTTAACTATAATAATTGTTTATTTATAAGACATACGCCTTTTGGGGAAAGTAAAACTTTTTTTAAGTAGGGAAATAAAAAAACTTTATTAGTAATCTATGTATATACCAGTATCAAGCCGTTTGCAATGGCTGATGCAAACAACTTCTGAAACAGAACGTAATAATAGCTACAGTGTCATAATCTTTCACAGTAAATGTATTAGTAATATGTATATGCATAATAAAATAGACCTATTTTAAATAAGATGACTCAAATAATTAATATCAAATAGCATCTAATTCTACAAGTTTTAGCACTTTAAAAAATGAAATAATGGTAAAGATCTATATACATTATCATACCACATAATTAAATTAAAATATTTATTATATCGTTCACCAACTTGTGTGAAATGAAAGACTCTCAAATGGCTGTTTGAGTGTCTTTCGAACTAACTATCCTATATTCTCTATTAAAGCAGATGTATTCGCAAAGTACAAAAATTTACATTAAATTATTTACTTGCTGGGAAGTTCGCGTCCATGTTAATGACTGTTAATACTATATAACTATTTTTTTTTCTCAGCAGGTAACAATGATTACAAGAATTATTGTATCTGTACAACATTTGCTATTCTGGAATACGTTTAATATTGCTAAATAATACATTTCCTAAGTTGTTATCTACATGTCGCTGTCTGCACCTTTGAAAAATTCGAATTCGAACTAAGATTTTGACAATATACAGAATTTGTAGCACTCATAGAGATGTTTTATATAAATAATTAAGTTAACTAATGCCCGTTTGCACCGAAATTATACTAATTGTAAGAACAACTTAATAAAGACCTTAAAGCTGAGTTATACTTGATTTGAACAATCATAAACTGTACTTAGTAAAGTATATCTTTATACTGACAATAGCGTAGAAATCTCGTGACTTCTAATAATTTTTTTCGCTTTATGTTAGGTCCTTCAGTTCTTTTTATTTTTCTTCAGTTCGTATCATGGTTCCATCTAAAGATAGAAAAGTAAAAACCATAGTAAAATTACTGATTTTGAATATAATAAATTCTAACTGATCCTCTCTCTATTAACGATAATATTTGCAGTGAAGTCTGTTTTGTAATATGAAATCTTGTGTAAAAATTAAACTAGTCCAGTGTAGAAATGTCAAACTATGTAAAATGTAATCTAGGAAGCCCGTCCCATAACCGCAGACTATACAATTTCTAAAATCATCAAATATGTCACTCATTCGAATATTTATTTTTCTATTTCTTTTTTAAATTATGCATATTCGAACTATGTCTTAAAATAAAGTACATCTTAAGTAAGTGTTAAACGGAAGCTTAAATTTAAGCATCTGTTTTCATACTTGAGCTTAACGAACGCGAACGATGTGAGTATAATGATTTTATTAAGTTCAGTGCAAACGGGCGTAAGTTATTATCGTTATTTGCCGAAAAGATCATTACCCCTGCATTCTGTATATCGGTATTGTTTCGTTAATAAATCGCACCTTTTACTGAACCGTATATTATTGGACAATTTTGGAAATTACCCAACAATGGCTGCAATACAGGTTCAGTAGATCTGACACGACTTTTAACAACTTACCCATACAAGGCGTTCCAAAATACCGCAACGCGAATTTTTATTAATATGCTTGAAAGTTTTGTCGGAAACACGCATAATGGAACCTCTTGTATATTACATTTATAAGTTAATATGACATTTTATCCTACTCGTGGATATATATTTCCCTAAATCTAGGCCTGAATTTAGGAAAATATTTGTATACTTCCATAGTTCTCTCGTTTTCTGAATAAGTACAGACGAACGGTACACAACGGTAATATTAATCATAATACGTAATATAAAATACGTTGTCTTTAAATATTATACTTAAAACTAAGCTTGGTACCTACGATATATTACAAAACTGTTCGTCTAAACGTAGTATTCTTTGAATTTCAAAGTTCTCTTGTCTCACACCTCGACAGGCGCCTGGTTCGGCGTCTCGGGCGTCGAGAGACGTACTTGGTTGCTCTCCGACTGCACAATACCGTTGATTTGGGACCCTAGTTGAGTATCTCTCCAAGGGGTTGTCAGCGTTTTCAATCTCTAAGTAAAAAAATGCTCGAGGTGAGTTGCGTCCTATTACTAAAATTAAAAGCGAAATTCGTACTTCTGTTATTGTTAATAATCATCGGACAAACTCCTCTCACATCAAAAAAAATATTTCTGGCAATTAATGGAAATTAGGATGTGACTGAATTTTTCTGTTCGCTTTAAAACTATTTTTGGAAGTATTTAACACTTTTAATAGTTTTAATAATAAAAAGAATGCATACAATGTATATTATAGACCAAGGGTCGGCAACTGGCGGACCGCGGTCCAGATCCGGACCGTGGAAGGTAAAATACTGGACCGCCAAAAATTTTTTGAAAATATAAATTACTCAAATAAATTATTTAAAAAATATTTTTTTACGTTTGAGTGCTACCCTTATCATTTTTTCTGGTATTTTACAATTGTGTGTGTTTTGAGTTCTTAATGCAAATGAAAATAAAAAATTAGTATGAAATATGAATTTTTTTCTGGACCTCGTTAAAAAATTTCAAAAGTATCCGGACCCCACCTAAAATTACTTGCCGACCCCTGTTATAGAACAACACAACAAAAGAACAAAATGTTGAAAGGATACAATATGTATATCATATTCGTTTATGCTCCAAATTGCAATAGCACTTACTATAAGAATGTCGGTAATGCGTCCTAGAAATAAAAGTTTTTTCACAATCACAAAATATATAGACAATTACTGTCAATAGAATCAGTTCGAAAATTATGTAAACCAGACTTTACTCTGACAAACACAGATCATTATTTTTGTGAAGAGCATTTTGAGTTAAAATGTTTTAAAACATAACATTACAGAATTTTCATAGTACGAGCAGCAGCTTATGGTCTGTGGTTTCCGAGTGTGTAGTTTGTCACACCAGCTACAGATGGTGTACTCTGCTTTATCTCCATCGGTTCATTCGTTTGAAAATTATAAGCAATAGATTCTATCATAAATTTCAGTTTTGCCCTAAATTAACAGTATTTAGTTGAAGGTCCAATGCAACGTAATCTTCTACATTTTTTGTTATTACAAATATACCTTAGAAAAATAGGTTTAAAGCTTAAAAATCGTAGAAATGTGACGTCACCATCGATATTTATAGGCCAAGCAAATTAAATTTTTACTCGAAAAAAGTCCTATCCGCGAGATTATTGTAAAATTTATTGTCTAAAGGAACATAATACAAGACATCTCTCGTCTCGTGAGTCAAAAACTTTTATTAGCTAACTTTTCTATTTAAACAAATAAGTGAGGAAAACAGTTTTTTCACTTTGCAGGGAAAACCATCAATTTCAGCGAAAAGTGACTCTCAGACAGCTTGTAGGGAGTAAAATTATATACAAAATGAGACTTGTTAAATTAAAATCGGTTAATAAACAAAATTGTTTATTTAATTTATGGTTAAAATTTGACAAGTTGAGGGTTTGTCATAGGTACTTCAAAAGTGTGCCAAAAGTGAGCGCTGTAGGTGCAATAGTTTTCGCACAATTCTATTTGTTTATAACGGAGGCTCCAAAAGTTATGAACTTTAAGCCTCTGTACAGGCACGGCAAATATTATTTGTCGTGGTAGAGATCTTTTAATATCTCATGAGCCGCGAAATGCGCGAAAGGCGTGGCGTATCCCCATAATTCTTCTAATAAGCACGTTGTGAAAACATTGACTCAGAATTAGAACACGTGCCTCATTACATAGAAATGAACTAAGGCGCTCGGGCATCAATAAAGCCAACTGGCGAACGTTCGTTATATATATATTTTTATTGTTTAAATTAAAATAATAAAGAATAGGGCATTTTATTATGATATTTGTAATCGGATCAAAGGCTTGTTTACGTAGAGCTCGAGAGAGACTGTGAATAATAGGTGTAATGTTTTTAGGACGTAGAATAATTTAGGCGACGGTCGGAATTATGTTTCTGCGCATATGAAGGTCAAAGCTCATCTCTACAGGCGTTAATTTTCAACCAAACATGATTCTGAAAGCGTCATTGTAATCTTAAAGACGTGATTAAGCGACCTATTAAAAATATCAGTTTTTTTGACATTGACATTCTCAAATTGTGCATTAAAAAACCGTGCGTTTTTCGCTTATAAACAATTTGAATAAAATTGTGGCTATTTATGCTACCTCACCGAAAATAGATACAATGGATAGCTGGCAAAAAAATACAAATTTAAAAAAAAGCACCCTCTACGACCAACAGGAGCCAAGATAAGATTTTTTTTTAATCGTAGCGCAATTGTTTATAAATATTAAGACTTAAATTTTTCGCAAAATGAAGTTTATGACGTAAACTACGATTTCCCGTAAATTGCATTGAAAAATGTGGAAAATTAACGACTCACACTTACTGGCTAAGTAAAATGTCCGGCGTGATGGTGGGGGAAGTTCAAATTGATGCGCGCTGTAAAATTTTGTAATATCTCGGCTTCTATTCATCGTAGAAACTTCTTTTTTTATACTGAGGTAGCTCGACGAAAAAATAACAATGGGCATATTTACGAATTCGTAGAATAGCCCCGAACCCCAGAAAAAATGCATCTTTTATACTTATTTTTTTTAATTTACAGAAATGTCAGAAAAATTATTGTTAAACGAAATATTAATTAAAATTTTAATTTCGGAATTATTTTACTATTACTAAATAAATAAATGAAGCTATCATTCATTTAAAAAGTAATTTTTTTACATATTAAGGCAAAGTAAACTTATTTTTTCAATATTTTGTTAGCTATTTAATTACGATTTAACTGTAAAATTAAAGTAAAAATTCACAAATTATTTTCAAATTATTATTTCTCATAAAAATAGATTTTTTTTTAAATTTTAAATTGTTGTATTATATTGCATTATAACTATTATTGAAAATGGTTGTGATTAATATTTTTTTAATTAATTTTGATGATGTTGCAAAGATTCATATGATAAAGAAGAAAAAAATGATATGGAATCAAATTCACCGCCTTTCAAGAAGTTAAAATTGGAATTTTATCGACCGTATTATTTTTATTAATATTTTTTAATTTTGAGAATTTTGCAATAAATTCAAATGCTTTTTATTCTTTTTTAATTTTTTTAACGATAAATAATAATTTGAAAATAATTTGTGAATTTTTACTTTAATTTTACATCTAAATCGTAATCGTAAATAACTAAATCTTGTAAAAGTAAGTTTACTTTGGCATAATATATAAAAGAAATATACGATAGGTTCATTTATTTATTTAATAATAGTAAAATAATTCCGAAATTGAAATTTTAATTAATATTTCGTTTAACAATAATTTTTCTGACATTTTTGTAAATTGAAAAAAAATTAAATATAAAAGATGCATTTTTTATGGGGTTCAGAGCTATTCTACGAATTCGTAAATATGCCCATTGTTATTTTTTTCGTCGAGCTACCCCAGTTTAAAAAAAAAGAAGTTTCTACGATGAATAGAAGCCGAGATTATGCAAAATTTACAGCGCGCATCAATTTGAACTTTATTTTGCGAAAAATTCAAGTCTTAATGTTTATAAACAATTGCGCTACAATTTAAAAAGAAATCTTATCTTGGCTCCTGTTGGTCGTAGAGGGTGCTTTTTTTTTTAAAATTTGTATTTTTTTACCAGCTATCGATTGTATCTATTTTCGGTGAGGTAGCATAAATAGCGACAATTTTATTCAAATTGTTTATAAGCGAAAAACTCACGGTTTTTTAATGCACAATTTGAGAATGTTAATGTCAAAAAAACCGTGATATTTTTAATAGGTCGCTTAATTGCGTCTTTAAGATTACAATGACGCTTTCAGAATCATGTTTGGTTGAAAATTAACGCCTGTACAGAGGCTTAAAGTTCATAACTTTTGGGAGCCTCCGTTATAAACAAATTGAATTGTGCGAAAACTATTACAATTACAGCGCCCACTTTTGGCACACTTTTAAAGTATGACAAAACCTCAACTTGTCATAGGTTTTTTAAAATTTTAACAATAAATGCGATAGTTATAAACAAATTAAAAAATGGGCACTTTTCTTGTTCTTTTTTTTGCAATAACATTTTTGTTTATTAACCTATTTTAATTCAACAAGTCATTTTGTAGATAATTTTACTCCCTACAAGCTGCCTGAGAGTCACTTTTCGTTAAAATTGATGGTTTTCCCTGCAAAGTGAAAAAACTGTTTTCCTCACTTATTTGTTTAAATAGAAAAGTTAGCTAATAAAAGTTTTTGACTCACGAGATGAGAGATGTCTTGTATTATGTTCCTTTAGACAATTTTACAATAATATCGCGGATAGGATTTTTTCGAGTTTCTCTTTTATTTTCGCTAATTTTCTTGGTGTATTAACCACGGCAAGCTAATTGCGAGCAAGCGACTCTGTTTTGTTAGGTTAATGATGGTAGTAAAAAAATTGTTCTTTTATATTAAATTCAAAGAATATCAATGGATATTTTTCATTATAGTCTCGGGAATGACACCCAAGGAAGATGTAGCCAGCGTTATCGCGTCAGAATGAATTTAATTTTGCAAGTAAACGGCAAAACAACCACCCACCTTAAGACACGACCCAGGCGTCGATATAAACTTGTACACCGCGACGGCTGGTATCATGATGACGGAGGAACCAGCGATCATCCAGCCCAAGACGTTGGCCCACGCGGGGTAGACGTAATTATCGTAGCTGAGCGGCTCGTACCCCAGCAGTCCGTACACGATGATGAACAGCAGGAAAACAGGGGCGGCGAATTTCCAACAGAACCGCCAGTAGTAGCCCGGGCTGAAGCCGATCATATCCTGGATGTCGTCGCAGAAGCGTTGCGTGCCTGGTGGAATCGAAGGGATTATTGGGGTTGATGAGGTGTGGGGGTGATGTTTACACGTTTTGATAGGCTATTAAAGAGGGGCTGTGTGGGAAAAGTTAAGAGTATACCTACTTGAAATACAACATAACGTGTTCCTCAATCTATATCATAAATTGATTTTGAGATATAGTGTTACAGTTTGTGAAAATATAACATTTATGCAAATGTTTCTAAAGATGTCTAACGTAGATTTTAAAAAACTTGGATCAATTTGGACCTTACAGTCCGATCAAAATAACTCATTTAGAGGGAAAAAAAAGAAAATTGTTACCTGGAAAATAAATGCTTGAGCAGGGGCGGCGGGGGGTTGATTTGGGGGGTTGAAAACTTATGGAAAATTGTATCACTAGGATTTCTGGCGAAAGTTGACGTCAAACAAAAAAGTACCTAATACAAAAGTTGTAGATCATACAAAAATCTACAACTTTGTTCAGGTCATTTTTAAGATAACGTGAAAATTTACGAGAAAAATGCAAAAAACAGGTTTTTTCTGATTTTTTGGTTTTTATTTCTCATTTCTCACAGTTAAAAAACATGCTCAAAATTGCAAAAAGTAAAACAAGACTTGCAACAATGAATTTTTCAGTAATTGTTGATAATTTGTTTAAATTTAAAAAAAAATCAAAAACTGATTACACCATTCAATTGTACGGAAAAAATACAAATGAAACTGTGTCTCATTGTTTGACCCAAAACTATTTTTGTACAGTATTGCTATAAACATAAGTCGAATAGTGAATAAATAAAATAAATAATAATTTTTTTTCCGTAGGATCGATTAGTGTACTTATTTTTTTGAAACCTTGATGAATTCGTAGATATACAGTGTGTCAAAGATAATGATGGGATAGCATTAGGATCTAGGAAACGGTAAGAGATAGGGGGTTACTAAGATTAGAAAAAAAATGTGTTTTTAATATTCTATTTAGAAAGTTTTAAAATTCCTGGTAGTTCCGGAAATATCAAGAAAAAAACGAAATTTTGCAATATTGATTAATTTTTTCTGACTATTTGAAAACGAATTTTAAAATAAATTAGATATTTACAATGCTACTTTTTTCGCTATATACAATGGCGTCAACATTTTTGCAATCCGACGTTTCCTCTTCGAGGGGCCATCATCGGGTTAATTTTTTTAAATAAGTCGCTGCTATTTTATGACAAAATCTAAAGTCATTTTTAATTCTGAATTAGAGGATATTACTATTGTAATCGCTTAAAAAGTTTTTAGCTTGTTTTAGTTATAATTTAAAATTTGTCCTGAGTACGGCTCTGAACGCTTTCAAAATATCTATTGGATGAAGTCATAACTGTATAAAAGTCAATACCGCACAAAATATCCAACAATTTTTTACTGTTGGGAATACTAATTAGAAATAATAAAATATTTCATAATTCGTATTATTTTTTTTAAATTATGGATTAAAAAAAAATTGTTGGACATTTTGTGCTGTATTGACTTTTAATCTCTCCTTTCTCTCTTTCCTCCAATAGATACAGGTATTTTGAAAGCTAATAAATAATAGCTAAAAACCTTTTTAAGCGATTACAATAGTAGTAGCATCTAATACAGAATTAAAAATGACTAGATTTTGTCATAAAAATAGCAGCGATATATTTAAAAAAATTAATCTGATGATGGCCCCTTGAAGACGAAACGTCGGATTGCAAAAATGTTGACGCCATTGGATAGAGCGAAATAAGTGGCAATGTAAATATGCAATTTATTTAAAATTCGTTTTCAAATAAAGCCAAAAAAAAATACGATTTTGCAAAATTTCGGGTTTTCGGATTTCGCGTCAACAGTAGACTTTGCAGTTAATACTTTGTATTGCTTAAATCTCAAATCATCCAGAGATAATTTATCATTTGTGCATTTGTAATTCGACTTAGATGTTTATAGCAATACTGTACAAAAATAAAGTTTTGGGTCAAACATTTTTTTTATTTTTTTCCGTAGAATTGAATGGTGTAATCAGTTTTTGAATGTTTTGAATTTAAACAAATTATCTGAATTATATTATTATAACTGAAAAATTCAATGTTGCAAGTAATTTTATATATTTTTGAACTGTTATTACAGTTTTTTTTATTTCACCAGAAAGTATATGACAAAACGAAAAAAATGATTATCGGCAGAACTCAGTACGATGATCTTTTTTAGTAGAATTTTTCTTTGAAAAAAAAGTGTTTCAGGGCGAAAAAAATGAATATCTCAGAAACTTCTTGATTTTTTTTGTCTAAAAAAAATGGAGGTTATTTAAGACAGAGAAAGGTATACTTTCACCAAGTTTCGTCAAAATTAAATTATTTTTGCGGAAATAAGAAATAAAAAACGAAAAATCTGAAAAAAAACTGTTTTTCGCATTTTTCTCGGAAATTTTAAGGTTATGTTAAAAAGTGACTTCTACAAAAGTTGTAGATTTTTGTATGATCTACAAATTTTGTATTGGATACTTTTTTGTTTGACGTCAACTTTCGCCAGAAGTCCCAATGATACAATTTTTCATAACTTTTCAACCCCCCAAAATCAACCCTCCGCCGCCCCTGCTCACGCATTTATTTTTTTTTAGGTGGTTTATTATAAGCCCTTTTACCATTTCCTCTTATAAAAGTCCAGGTAACATTTTTTTTTCACCAAGTGTAATTTGGTTTGGTATTAATCATTACACAATGAGTAATTATTTCTATAAAAAAAAATTGTATATTACCGTATATCCAAGAGACTGCGATGGCTTCGAAGAACACGGCGAAAAGCATAGAGTACCCAGCTGCATACCTGTCCAGGAGGTGAAAGAAATAAAATCCACCCTGAGAACAAGAGGCCAGTCCCACCATAAAATACAGAGAAAACAAACAGGCTACGAATATTTCCCTATGCCGGCCTATCTTAGGAAACTCATCACTCAGCGCCGTTATTATCGCTTCCGACCCGCCAAACTATATAAAAAAAAACATATCACCAGATCTTATTAAATTACAAATTTCTCACGTACCGAACTGTCCAACCCCAGCGTCAGAAGCATCATGAAGAATATAAGCGCCCAGAATATGCTGCCGGGCATGGTGGCTATAGCTGCAGGGTATACCACAAAGACCAGACCCGGACCCTCCGTGGCCACTTCTTGTATCGGCCTACCTGCCGCGTGTGCCATATATCCCAACACCGAGAAGATCACGAAGCCCGCTATGAAACTCGTTGCTGAATTAATGACGCTAGTCAGCAAGGCATCTCTGAAAATCGATATTAATTTTCGTAATTCGAATTTCGATGGAAAAGTCCAAAAATGAGTTATATAGGACTTACTTATAAACATTGTTGTGGTATTTATTGTACGAAGCGTAAGCTAGAAGGACACCAAATCCAGGGCCCAGAGAAAAAAATACCTGAGTGGCAGCGTCTACCCATACCTGTAAAATTACAGTGCAATAAGTATAAAATCCTATGGGTTGAAATCTGGAGAACATGGAGGTCATGCGATCGGACATCTACTTGGAAATATTTCGTTTGTTGAAATTGAACATTTATAACTGTTTTTTATGAGACATTAATGTTCTAAAAAACTAAAAGTTAAGATACAATTTAATAAAACGTGATTTTATCGTCGCTCTAGTTCTTAATTAATGGTTTATTTATGTATTTGAAAAAATATATGCCCATAATTGAACTACTATACAGAAGTTATACTGCCTTAATTTTAACAAACGTTAGAATACATTAAAATAAACAAAAAAAAAACTTATATGACCTATGTCATATAAGCTCAACCATTTACGAGAAAAAAAATTATCAAAATCTCCAACTTGATGTACAAAAGTTCGGTTAATTAAGAAGTTTTGCAAGTAAACGGAAGTTTGACATAACTGCGTGCATAGAATACCATAAAATACAATGTTTATCACTTTTTTGAACCCCTTTATGCTTAATTCTAAAAAATAATTAGCGTTGTAATAAATTTAAAATTCGATAAAATTCATATCGAGCAATGTGACTAGGGCGCGGCGGTTTATTAATACGAGGTACTAGGGTGTCCAGCAACCACCAATACGTAATTCAGTTGGTATCTGGATTGAATCGTGTCTGAGTGTTTTTTTGCGTACCACTATTGCGAAACTATTAAGGGATAACGTTACTTTGAAACCGTTCCTTGAAATCCTCCCTTAGAACCGTTATTACTTTGGAACCGTTATTTTTTAATTGTTACTTGAAATCGTTACTTGAAAGCCTTTACTTTGGAACCGTTATTTTGGCACCGTTGCATTTTTAAGACAAATTTGATACAGTGTAGTTGTATCTCACAATATCACTGGTTAAAAAGTTTATTTCGTCTAATACGACACTAACCGTGCTTCTACAGTACATACAGTTTAGTAAGTACCTCTCTGCAATAAAGTAGACACAAAACAATACTTTATGTCAGTAGGCATACACTAGCGGTGGCAGTTAAGAATAATATACTCAGGTAGGTAGGTTATATCTCACCCACACTCAAAACTTACTTCCGCGGACCCGATAGCGTTGAAATTGGGATTCAGATAGTACTTGATGCCCTCCGCGGATCCAGGCAAAGTGATGCCCCTCACCAGGAGGATCAGAAGAACGGCATAAGGAAACAGAGCCGTGAACCACACCACCTTCCCGGAAGTGGAGATGCCCTTCCACAGTGAGAAATAGCAGATGACGTAGACCGCCAGGAGGCACAGAGCTATGTCCCATTTGATAGCGCCCAGGTCGTGAAGGCCTTCGCTCTGATGCAGCTCCAAAATCGCCCGACTACGACATAGGTAGATTTAATATTTTTTAAATATACATAGAAAGACAACAAGTCTTAAGTCTCTGGTGAATGACTCACTTAAAGTATTCTGAGGCAGCTGAGGCGAATCTTGAATCTGGAAGACCCAGTTCTGTTCTGTTGGCCTCCGTTGTGTTTGTTGTTGGAAAATCAAACTGAAAGGGTAGAAATAGTAGGTATATTGTGTATCTAATATTTAGGTACAAGCAACATATAATCTGGGACTGTGGGTTTTTATGCGAGGTACACATATCTTTCTCCGTTGATTCCATTTCGAAAATTGGAAGAAAATATTAAAATTTTGTTTGATTTCAAAAAAGAAAACGTGATTAATTCTATAAAAATAATAATTAATAATTGATGCTACGAAATTCATAAAAACTTATCATTTATAAGATCACAACAGGCATAAACGGTAAATACTGCCGTAAAAGATTTATTTCCAAAGATGAAGACACAAATATCCTTTGAATTTTTGGGCAACTTTTGCAATACACTTACAACTGTAAGGAAATAATGTTTCATTATACTACATAACAGAATAACTAATGATTATTTTCGTTGTCTATTAATGACTAGATATACAGGGTGTTTCTTAAGTAAAACTCAAAAATCCAGGGGCGTATTCTGTGGCCAAAAATAAAGGTTTTTTTGTTATATAAATGTGGGGTCTTTGCCGTCATCTTATTTAATATTGTATATTGTCAAATTAAGCTTATTTTTTCAAGCGGTTAAGTTTTAATAACGGCTTATGCATATTCAAATGCTGAAATGACCAATACGGTTTACAATTATGACCTTGCAGATGGAAATGGTACTGAGGCTAGGCGAATTTATATGGAAAGATTTCCAAATCATTCAACTCCAAATCAAAGAATGTTCAGAAATGTTTTTCAACGTTTTTCGGAGTCAGGCTAATTTCAGAAAGGTCCAATGGAAAACCTTTGAGTGTTAGAACGCTTGAGTTGGAAGAAGCTATTCTCCACGAAATTGAAGACCGAAATACTAGTATTAGGAAAATCTTAATACGATTCAAAAATTAGTTTAGTCCGTTCTGAAGCATCAACAGTTATACCCGTATCACATACAAAGGGTTCAAGCCCAACTGCTGCAAGACTATCCTGCTGGCCTACAATTTTGCCACTAGATTTTGCAAAAAATTGAACAAAATGTTGACTTTACCGCTGGCATATTGTTTACCGACGAAGCTAATTTTTCCAGAGATGCTATAATAAACTTCCACAATAAACACATTTGTTTCATTTCAACATCAGTTTTCTTTGAATGTATGGATGGATTGGAAATTTTCTTGTTCGGCCTTACTTTTTACCAAAAACTTTCTTGAAAACGTTTTACCTGACCTAACTTACTTGACGATGTTCTCGATGCGCTAAGAGAAAGAATGTGGTTTATGTACGACGGGGCTTCCCTACATTTTAGTTTGACTGCTCGTGAATTTTTAAATGAAAGATTCGGTAATAACGTGATTGGACGGGGCACTCAAGAACCAGGTCAACCTTAGCCACCCAGATCACCCGATATGAACTCTATTGATTTTTTTTGTTTGGGGACATCTCAAGACATTAGTTTACAAGGTTTACATTGAATCTGAGGAGCACTTACGTCAACAAATTATAGCTGGTTGTGATGTGATAATAGCTACTCCTGGAATTTTTGCACGTGTTCGAGTTTCAATTTCAAGAATATCTGATGCATGTATTTTGGGTGAAGTTGGCCGTTTGCAACATTTGTTATAATAAATCATAGTAAAGTAATTCCATTGTTAATTAATTATTTTGTTATAATTTTAAGTAAATGTAAATATGCACTTGATGAAATAAATCAATTTTGTTGTTAATCGGTTTCAAATACAAAAAAGTGTAAAGAAACAAAAAGTGAAGATAATACAATGGCGCATATATGACAACCTATTTTATTTGTAATATTATACAGGATGATATATTGTTTTGGCAAATATTGAAATAATAGAAATTAAAAATTAAAAACTGATTTTTTTTTTAAATATTTGACACGCTGTAGCTGGACAATGGCTGTCCTAAGACCCCATACTTATGTAACAAAAAAACCCTTATTCTGGCCACAGAATACGCCCATGGATTTTTGTCCTCTGCTTAAGAAACGCCCTGTATTACCATATTGACTTTTTGTACCAAAAATTTTGTCACAACTATGAACAATTTTTAACGGTTGGCGGAAATTTTTTTAATACGTCAATCCATGAAAATTTCACGCTATATATTTTATTCTTTCAGTGTACTTACGGGTCTACAGTTAGGCGTGTTCCAGGGGTTGTCGCATGTCGTCCATGGAAGTAGATCGGTGAAGGATGCAAAGAAGAACCGTAGAGCCCAGGCTATTATCACATTGTAGTAGAAATCAACGTAAAAGGCTATTAGAACCACGGCGTAACCTATTCCTGGAAAATTGTATACATCTAATTTAAAGTAAGGTTTCAGTTGGGGCCTTGAGACAAAGTATAACTTGCTGGAACTTTAAACATGTCGTAAAACAACATTTTTCAAAAAAGTTCTACAAAGATGGCAATAAGATTTTGGAACAAATTAAAATGTAATACTTATTTAAAAAAAAAACTGATCAGTTTTTGGGGAACACACTGCATACAAATATTTTCATAATTCAATTCGTTCATAAAAAATGTAAAAAACGATAATTTACATTTTAAGAATTGAAATTTACAAGTTTCAACAAATATATAAAAGATTAAATCTGTGTAGGTACATTTTCATCGCTTCTATCATAAAGGCAACCGCTGGTTAAAACTGTCTTAACGTCTTCATGACGCCTTTATTTGCAAATTACGCCGGCAGAGTGGAAAGAAGTAAAAAAGCAGTTCACGGCCTTTTAACTCTTGGTCTAAAGAGTCTCGAAACGGGCGCTATAATGTGCCCGCCCCTCCGAATGACCATTCCTCAACCACTTTAACGCCCTGCTGAAATGTCTCCGAATATTGATGGAGGATTTGGATCCCTCCAGTGGCGTACGTGGTCAAATGGCAATGGAAATGATAGCTTAAGAAATAATTGCTTACTTCTTGTGATAAAAAAACGAAAATGACTTGACCAATTGCTGACAAAGATATCAAATTACAATACTAATATTATTTTAGAGTGTCAATTTTGATTTTTAATTTTTATTTAAGAGTAAAGTACCTGAAATATTAAACTTATGAGGAAATTTTCCCTATAAAATAATATGTTTCAAATATTTTGCAAATTTACAAAAATGTACTTATTCTACTTGCCAAGGACTACATATTTTTTTTCTAAAATATTCAGTTTTTTTTAATGAAAAATGTGCTTTTTACGAACTTTTGCGCCATTTTGACAATGAGGCCCTAACATTCAGCTGGGGTAAAGTAATTCACTAGATTCTACGGAATTTTTCCTAATTTGCACGTATATTTATTTACTGAACTAAATTTTGGCAAAAAACGAGGTATTTTCGACAATTTAACAGGCCTACTTGTCATGTTGCAAATTTTTCTTCTAAATGAATTCAGATTTGCCCCCCAGGGCTCGTAGCAAAGTACCCAACCCGCCGCTGCTTGCGAGTTGCCGTTAATTTTTCAAGCTGCGAGCCCTAGAAGCGCCTTTTGTGGCGCAAAGGAGAAGTCACAATGCACTCCATCGGCTGTTTCCTGCCTCGGTTTCCGCAGATTAGCGGATAGAGTGGATAATTGACTCTACGGGCAGGATTTTTGCCGGGAGATCGCTCGTTTTATGGACCTGTGGATTTCAGCCCTGAGCCTGAGCCAGATTCATTCCCCGCTGTGACAACTGTTTTATTAAGGGGATTCTCCAACCTGTTGTTACTCGAAAGTTTCGCGCGGTTGAAGCACGTCTCAGACGTTTTATAACTATAGTCGAATCTATTGCCGACACCCCATGCAACAAGGCGTAAAGATTTTACGTCTTGCATAGGCTTTTTTTACTATTTTATTTAAAACTCACTGGAATACGAGTAAGTATGTAAATGTACAAAGTGAGTTACATTCGAAGGGATATCTCGGAAACTATTTACAAAAATACAGGAAAAATGAGATATTTGGTTTCTCTTTTTTGACATTGGTGTATCTTCGCTGTTGGACAGGTTAGATTTAGAGAAAACATTGGCGTGTATGAACTTTTATAAATAGAATCCATTGCAAATATGTTTTTATTAATATAACTAATAACTATGTACTAATTTTTTTAGTGCAATTTTAATCGAATCTCTAATGGAAGAAAAGGAATTGTAATATTCATTAATCATTATAATATTCATTATCCTCTCGTTTTTTTTTTTATTCAAATGTAATGGGTTTTGCAACAAGCGTTTCATGTACATTTTTCATTTTGCTTTGGCTTTTTTTATGAGATAATGTAACTTCTTTGAATATGTGGTCAATTCATTTGCTGTTTTTTTAAATTTTATTAAGTGATCAAGATTTACAATAATATTACCGCAATAGAAAAAGTTAAAATAAAAATTATTATCTTCTATAAAAATTAAAGATATACCATACCAGTATATTACATTAATTTTTCACTTATAATCTCCCTAGTGCTTGAATTATTTCCGGAAATAATTCCGAGTCGCAGACGAGGGAAAATTTTCTACGAAAATGCGTGATTGGGGAAAAATTTCCGGACATTAATTCAAGGACGTAAGATTCAGTAAGAAAATTTTACAACCAAAATTTATTTAAAAAATTTGACATGTTTCATTTTGAAACTTATTTAAATTTAAATATTTATCTTTACAACACAATTCACTTAGTACATATTACTAAAATAGAAGGAAGTAAGTTTTTGTGGAAAACCGATGTCTGTGGCAATATATCAATGATTCTTAAAAAATCATAGCTGCAATCAAATAGGCTTAGGCTTGTGATGTCAAAATCGTCTTCACTATACGTCACGTCGACTGTCATTTTCTCTAGCTTCTAATTGTTTACAATTATGTTATGGCAGTGAACTACCAAAAAACTAATTTAAAACCTTATACCTAATATATGTAATTCTTGCACCAAAATAGGGGACATTCTTATGTCTCATAAATATTTAAAGTATTTGCCAAATTTACTGAAAAAAACTGGAATCAGTCCGCATCAAGAAAACCTTTTCGCAGCTATTCAAAATATTTTGGAGGAAGATATCCCATCTTTTTTACGTAAAACCAAGGCTCAGCAGAACAAAATTTCATCAAATGAATACATACACTGAGCTCGTAAAGTTTGGAATAAATTCGATAAATCGTTATTGAAGGGTTTTGACAGGAAATCCTCGGACACGTCAACTTTAGTTTGTAAAATGTGACTTTTTTCAGCCATCGACTTTTTTTTTGTTTTGTTTGTTTTTGAGCTATGACGTCATCGGCAATTTTTTTAAATGGCAACCCATATTTTTTTCCACGGATTTCGATAGAGCACATTTTTCTGAGTACGAATATGTCAAAAACGTATGACCTTCAAAATGGAAGTTTTCGAGATATTCGGTTCCAAAGTTTCAAGAATGCATTATACAAGCGATGACAAAGTACTAATCATTTATCAAGGAAGCTCTGAAAAAATTACAGTTTTGATAGTTGTCAGAATTTTGAAGTTTGTCCTCGCAAGTTTGTGTTTTATTTTAAGTTAATTAATCATTATTCTATCAGAATTCATTTTATTTGAAAATGGTTCGTCGTTTGAGTGAAAGGGAAAGAATCGAAATTTTGATGATGATCGGTTACGGGGACAGAGCTCGCACACAAGTAGAAGTTTGCCGTTTATTTAATAACAAATATCCAAACAGAGAACCAATTACACAGTCCACGGTTAGTAAAATAGAGCAAAAGTTTTTAGAAATGGGTCATGCGAGAGATCGCCCTAGAACGGGTCGTCCACCAGTACAAGAAGATGTTAAATTGAATGTTCTACTAGAGCTTCAAGAAAATCCCCATTTACCCACCCGCCAAGTGGCGGCAAACAACGGAATAGTTCAAAGCTCCGTCTTAAAATATTTGAAATTGTACAAATGGCATCCGTATAAAGTGGTTTTGGTCCAACAATTAAACGAAGATGATCCTGACCGTAGGTTACAGTTTTGTGAAACCATGTTGCAACGCCTGATTGATGACGACGGATTCTTACGCAATATTATTTTTTCTGATGAGGCTACCTTTTATCTCGACGGCACAGTAAACCGGCAAAACTGTAGATATTGGTCTCCTGAAAATCCACACTGGAAAATGGAAACTCGTAGTCAGTTTCCACAAAAAGTTAACGTTTGGGCTGGCCTTGTTGCTAACCGCATTTTGGGTCCATTTTTCATTGAAGGCGCATTAACAGGTGAAAAATATTTTGAATTTTTAAGAGACGTTTTAGTCCCTGCACTTGCGGTGCTTTACCCAAATGACGTAGATCCCGATCTGCCCAATAACACGATATGGTACCAACAAGACGGTGCACCTCCTCATTTTGCAGTGATCGTTCGCAACTATTTAAACCAAATATTTGCTAACCGTTGGATTGGTCGAAGAGGAACTATCGAATGGCCCCCTAGATCTCCGGATCTCACTCCCCTAGACTACTTTTTATGGGGCTATTTAAAGAGCAAAGTCTACTTCAATAGACCAAATACCATTGAAGAATTAAAGGACAGAATTCGCAATGAAATTCGAGCCATTCAACCAGATATTCTTCATAAGGTTCTGCAGGAGTTTCAGTGGCGAATGGGATATTGCCAAGAAGTGAATGGAGGTCACTTTGAAAATTTCCTCTGATTTTCTTGTTTACTTTAATTATTTATCATTTGCACAGAAACCTTTTTTTATTTGTTAAAATTGTTGTTGATTATTACTTAAAAAATTAAACAAATTGCTCCTAAAATCTCTCAAAATGTTCGATAAGCTATTAAAAAACTTGACCCACTCGATACCTTGTATATGGTACATCCTTGAAACTTTGGAACCTAATAGACAGTTTAAGTTATGTATCGGACATAACGTATACGTAGAATTTGACCGTTGCGCATGCTCAAATTAATATCATGATCATCTACAATCAACTTAAACTGTCTATTATCTCGAAAACTTCCATCTTGAAGGTCATACGTTTTTGACATATTCATACTCAGAAAAATGTGCTCTATCGAAATCCGTGGAAAAAAATATGGGTTGCCATTTAAAAAAATTGCCGATGACGTCATAGCTCAAAAACAAACAAAACAAAAAAAAAGTCGATGGCTGAAAAAAGTGACATTTTACAAACTAAAGTTGACGTGTCCGAGGATTTCCTGTCAAAACCCTTCAATAACGATTTATCGAATTTATTCCAAACTTTACGAGCTCAGTGTATATTTTTATGAAACAGACATGATGGAAATGAAAAATAAAGGTAATAAAAATGCTCCTCGTTACTCTCCGTTGCGAAGAGAAGAGTTCCAGCCAGAATTAAAACATTACAAAGCAAAATTGTCGATAGGTACTGATTTTTTAACCATATGATAGCTGTCAAAAAAAAATTCCACTTATTAATTTTGTTTGCCTTGGCAGGAGGAAAAAAAAAATCCGAAAAATTTGAAGGTCAAAATTACAGCATGTTATTGGCTTAAAATGACAGGTGTAAAATTTTCATCTAAATTTGCTTCATGGTTAAAAAACTAATATCGCAATCGTTTCCATAAACGTAATAGATGAATTTGTTCTGAAAATTGAGCTCGAGAACGCGAGTTTATTCAATAGTTTCTGTGATGAGCCGAAATCCCATCGCATTTAACTAATTTTTTTCAGATTATTATTGCATTACTTCATCCTTCATTATTATCATTTTTATTATTGATGTTTGTATTATAGAGACACAAAAAACGATAAAATACAACGTTGTGAGGTACCAGGAAATATTAAGAAGCTACTGATAAAAACAAAAATGATTATCTTACCCTTAAACAGCGGGCACAGCCGCCCCCAACAAGTTATCGCGCCCTTCCTGTTGAACTGTCCTAAAGCCAACTCCATGTAAAATAAAGGGATGCCTCCGACGATAAGCATAATGCAGTAAGGAACCAAGAAAGCTCCTGAAAAAAAAAAATGTAAAAAAATTGACACCGTCGATTCGAGTTCGTAAGTTTCAGATGAGCTCATATATTTAAATATACATATAATACAAGCTTTAGTAAAATTCCATAAAATTAATTTAGTTTTACAAGAATGTAGAAGCATTTAAGAACAATAAAACCTTGTTTTCAAAACAGCCATCGTAGTGCTAAAGGGCATAATCGAAAATAATCTCATACGCAAGTGAGGTGACGTGTCCATTTCTCTTGTCAATTGTGACAATTTCTATTTGACTTTGTACTTTTGTAGGTACTTTTATTATTGTTTTATTGTACCTTATTTTATTATTTGTTGTTGTGCTGTAGTTTATAGTTTTATCTCCAAGTACCAAGGTACCCACAGGAGACCTCGAAGCCAGTGCTAGTCGAGTGAAAGCGTAAAAGATATCAGAGTAATCATATTCGAAATGTCGCCAAAAACATTAGGGCAACAGAGCTCAGTTGGAAGCCTCCAGGAAACAGTACTATCCCGAGTAGGTGTACCAGAGTAGACGACATAGCTCTCTAAATGTGCCAAATATACCTAATAAGGGTCAAAATAAGATAGATTCGCGGCATGGCGTCCAAATACCCAGACAAAGAAACACCAACCTTATTGAACCACGACACAACCTTGGTTATAACATAAACGTTAAATCAGACCGAAAATCGATCCGGTAATAAATTCAGAAATATCCGCCTGAAAACTGATTCATTTCCGGGACGTCCTGTATAATACAAGCGCGATCTTCGACAAAGAAACGCCACATTAACCGACATATGCATGTGCGAGTGTGTGTGTGCCGGGAATAAATTGAAAAGTACATTAATGAGATGTGTAGGAAGCAGAAGAGGTTAATAGTGCAAGGGAGCGGGGGGGGGGGGGGGGGGGGGGGGGGGGGGCGGCGGTGGCGGGCACGCCAGCTCGTTGGTAATTAGTCGGAGGCATGAGGCATCGAGTCATCTTGTAATGAAGAGGGTAAAGTGCCAATCGCGAGGCGGCTTCTTTCTATCTCAATAATCGCGTAATTCAATTTCTGGGCCATTAGAGATGCCGGCGGGGAGCTCGTTGTTGGAAGCTGCGACTACGGGCCGGAGGTTAATGCGGGTCCTCGTCTTCGCCGAACAGTCTGCGTGATGCATACCCCCACGCTGGTTGCGAACTAATAAGGTTATTGGATATTGTTGCTTAGTTATTATCATCTATCGGTAGGTACCAAAAATTCTGCTACGCTGAAGCCATATGATCCTACGCAGATTAAAAGTGAACAGCTACTAATAAAAAATTATTATCCAAAGTAAAAACAAAAAAATTATATGTATAAATATAATTAATGCAAAAACATGTAGGTGGCTGATATGTTGAATTTGTTAATTCATTACTCTTTGACAAAGATGGCACCAGCTGGGCAATAAACAACGACTAATATTGTCGCTGTTTGATTACCGCCCTTACATTACAATGTATTTAGGCAGGCATTTAGGTTTATATCTTGATACCTACCCCATTAAAAAATAAAACAAAATAATTCATGTCAATAAGGAAATCTGTCTGCTTCATTCCTGGGATAGAGAAAAATAGAATTATATTTTCAACTTTGCGCTCAAAGCGGTATTTGTTTACGTTCTTTCATCTACGCACAATTGAAATTTTGAAACAGTGTTATTCGCATAAATAGGTATATCTATACTTTCTCTGCTTCTTTTGCAGGAGCAAATTATAACCTTTTTTACCGATTGACTACCATTTACTGAATGTTTTAGATATTTTCATCGTGTTCTCATGTTTATTTTATACTAATGTTTTACATTTACTACTGTGTCCAAAAAATAAGGTGAAATTATTTAAAATACTCAATTATTGTTGCAGAGCTAATCGTCCCACTAAACACGAAACGTAAATGAAACGTTGCAAATGAGATGTTTTACTAAACATTTGAAACATTAACTAGAAACGTTTCTGTTTCATTACTGAAATGTAGCACTTGGAAACTTATTTAGTGAAACATAGCCGAAACGTTCCAATTTAAGAGAGTTTGAAACATTACTCGAAACATTCCCTTTCGATCTCGAAAACATAACAGACGAACAACCCTTTGCTTTTTTTGCTTATCTTATGGAACATTCGACATTAGTTAAATTTTGCTCCCAATCCCCAATCCCTCTCAAGCGTTAGTTCATTTGCCTTTGTTATACAAACAGACATAAACAGAAAAAAAATTGTGCTGGCATATTTATAACAAGAACAAGTCTAGAAAAAATGTATGTTCGTGACTTCCGTAGACTGCGCGTAATAGCCCGAGTTTATTTGTTTCCCGTGATCCCGTGTGTCGTTTTCAATTCGTAATTCGTATTATGTTAGGTTAGGTTTGCGGTTTGCCAGTTTGCCTTGATTCGTTGTTCTCCATCTTTACTTTGATAATTTGTAGTGTGTGCAGTTGTGGTTATTGTAAGGTGCATATAAAATAATGAATATTAATGCAATATGTTTAAAACGATATGTGTAAAGAGATTTCCAATTTTGCGACACATCTACCTAAACATAGTTATACCCACTACCTATTATAGACGAGGACAAGGGACAAGAACTAAGAAAATGGAATATGGACTATACGTTTCGATATAATTTGATGAGCAACTACTTAGTCAGTGAGAACTATTTGAAATATGGATGAATCAAGTGAAATTGACTTCATTTATTTTATATTTTGTACAAATGTTTATATTTGTTTATGTGTATAGGCATGCTTAAATAAAAGAGTTTAGGTATACCTACAGATATTTATTTTGTCAAGATATCATTTTGTATCCTTATTTCTGCTGTATAATTTATTATTATTATTAAAAGGATAGATGTAATATTGACTATGCGTAGAAGAAATTGTAACTTTATATTATTTTTCAGTATGTAATGTTATTTGTTTTTCATGTACCTACCATTTCAAGATTCATAATCATAATTAACTTTTTCTAATTATCAGTTCGTCATTGTTACCATATTCACGATAGTCTCAACATTAGAAAATTTCCATTTTAGAAGCGTATTTGAACAATATAAAATGATGTGTAGCTTTTTTAAAATGCTTCTGATATTGTTTTGTGACATTTTTATTTGTATGATGAATGGCAAAATTCGTAATCCATATTAGAAACTTTTTTCAGTGCCTTCTCAAAAAGAAAGAAATTCTTGGTAAAAGTTGCCGCATCCCCAAACTAGAAGAGCATATTTATTTATTTATTATTATTTTTTTAATATACAATGTAACAACTTTTTTTAGTTAAATTTTTTGAGAAGTTGTCTGGAGTTCGAATTAAGTCATTCATAATACAAATAAAAATATCACAAAAGAGTATTAGAAATATTTTAAAAATTACTCACACTATTTATACTTTTTCAAAAACGCTTTTGAAGTGAAAATTATCTAAAGTTGAGAGCATTATGAGAACAATATGGTAATAAAATTATTATGTTACTCAAACATTTCTGAAAATATACTGAAACGTAAAACAAAAATATCGAGTGCATAAATGGAACATAAAAAGAATGTTACTGAAACCAATTTTGAAACATTTCAGTGGAAACGTATTTTGGGGAGGACATCTTGGGTTTCTAGAACGTTACCAGAACGTTGCATGGATTTTTTAGGAAACGTTTCAAGAAAAATGGAAACGTTTATGAAACATGTCGGAAACAGAAAAATGTTTAGTGGGGTGTTTTTGTAAACATACGAAACTAACTCAGTCACTCAAAAATCAGGGTCATGTTGACAGTTTTCTTTGATTATCGTGGCTATGAATTTCTTCCAATCGGCCAAACTGTTAACAAGGAATATTATTCGAGTGCTACGAGTCGTTTGCGTGATGCTATTCGCCGCAAAAGGCCGGAATTATGGACTGATAACTCTTAGTTTTTGCATCAGCATCCTGATAATGCACCGACTCACACAGCATTGATAATTCGAGACCATTTCACCAAAAATTCAACTCATATCGTTCCGCAACCACCGTATTCGCCTGATTTAGCACCGAGCGACTTCTGGCTATTCCCTAAACTCAAAAGACCATACTCCGTGGACACCGTTTCTACTCGATTGAGGAAATAAAAGACGAATCGACCAAAACAGTGACTTTTCAGACTGTTTCGAGGGTTGAAGAAAACGTAGGCATAAGTGGGTGTATCACGGGTGGGGATTACTTTGAAGGCGACGAAATTGATTTGGAAGTATAAATACATAAATATACAAAAAGGTATAAAAGTTCAGAATTATATGTAAAAAGAAAAACTACTGTTTTTAATGTTTTATATCCTGAAACATTTATTGCACTGAAAATTATTCGGAATTTTTATTTGAAATTTCTTGTTGGATTTATAGAAGGTATTTTTGTAGAAATTTCATTAATATTTGAGGTGTTTGCTTTTAAAAAGCGGATTATTTTACTGATATTGCATATTTTGTAAACATTTATTATTATTTATTATTTATATCTATTGTTTTTTTGTTCTGGTAACGTCATAGTTTGATCAAGTCTACACAATATACCGTCAACTGTTATACAAAGATGGCTTTTAAATAATAGTAAAAAAAGGTATGTATTGATTTGAAATAAACACTACATATTAGTATTAGTAATTGAACAAAACATAAATCCGTCTTGCTTAAAATGACGTACCTGCAAATCATTATTGAGAATAATTGTCACAAAATTCTTAGTGACGTGAAAAGATAAAAAAATGGTACTTTAGTCAGAACTAAGGGAGGAGGGAGGACCTTGAAGCAGATTGTCAATACCATAAACTCGAACGATTCCTGTTAAAGTATTTAGATATCCTGTGACAACAAAATGTTCTATTTCTGCCGATACAGGACGAAATAATTCCATTCTTATTAAGATAAAGCGATTGCCTGGGGATCAAAGGGCGCCGGGACTGAAATGTGCCCTCCCTTAAGAGGATGAGCCAGATTTTTAAATTAATCAGCTCAAGCAATGGCAGGTAGCAATCAAATTAGTCGCGATCTCGAAGAGAGATCGATGCGTTTCAGATGGGCGCAATTTTATTTTCGACGACTGGTTCTTTTCATGGAAATGTATGCAAATGATTAACTAAAAGTTCAAAACATATCGACACAATTGCGTCGTCTGCATTCAAGAATATGGGTTTCCAACACGTTTCTCTATCAGAAAGGAATGATTATGCCGTCTTGAATTTTTGCGTAGAAACCTTTGAACAACTGCGAAAGTAACCTATGCAACAGACAGTTTCCCAAAACGGTTTAAAGACCCATCTAAGCTTCATATTTTCAATAAAATCATTTCCGGCGCGGTGATTGAGTTTGCAAAGCCGGAGACTTTTGCAAATGGAGCCTCTTCTTGTCGGAGGCCGCCACGTCCGGCTGGCCCGCAGCTGATTTATGTAATTTCCTGATATACGAGCATCCCTGGAGGTGGGCTTTAAGACGAAGAAAAAGGCCTTAAATTCGTTTACCCCTATAAGAATGAAGGATTCACTTAAGACTCTGACGAGCCCGAAAATACCTCGGCTGTCGACTCCCGACAAGTAGTCAACCCTTTTATTGTTTTCCAGTGAAAGTAGAAATTCGTCATCGTTACTGCATAGTATTTTCACATTATAATAAAAATATTTCCTCTGTCTACTATTACAATAATTATTATTTTTTAAGTTCCAAATTGAGTTTAAACCGTTTCTATTAATGTCTCCTAGTGTTTAAAATATGTGTACTAATTAAAGTTTCGACCTTTGTAAATGTTTTTGATTTACAAAGTTAAAATAATAATAAAAATTTACCATTAAAGAACTAATAGAAGAAAAGAAATAAGAACATTAAGAACAAATATGTTTACCTAGAAAATTTTCTTAATAGGCAACTTGCTTGAGAATTAATTTCTTTTAAAACCTCATATATTTGTAGTGTATAACAACAACAATGGCAACAAATTTCTTTAATGTGACAAATTATTTATACAGGGTGTTGCAATAAACCAGAGACATACTAACCTCCACCATTTTTGTAGCAGAGATAGGGGAACCTCCAGACGTTGGCCAAGTCGACGGCGAAGCCGATGACCGACAACAGGAAGTCCACTTTCTTGCCCCAAGTCTCGCGCTCATCGGTGGTGGTGAGAGGCACCTCGCAGGCGCCCTGGGGGGCCTCCTTACAGGACATCCCGCACTGTAGGTGACGACGGAAGACGGCGATGGTAGAAAATGCCGTAGAGACTACAACAAAAAGAAAATTTATAAACCGCCGGATATTGGAATGAGATGTAATATCTCACTTAAATTTAACATTTTTGCTTCTATTTACGAACTTCGTAAACATATGGTTTCAGAAATATTTTATTGGTATAAACCTCAATAAACGACAAAAGAAACCAAATCTTAATTATTGATCAACGAGAAAAACAAAATGTTAGTTCCCTACAAAAAAAAGGCCAACATTTGAAGTGTTTTTTAACCAAATTTCAACAAAAAAGCTAATTAAAAACTGTGCTGAGAAAAAAACATTAATTTGCGAATTCGCTTAAGGAAGATCTTCAGATTCCATGTCTGATGCTTCTGACTCTAATATGCAACAATTTTTGGATCATTTTGAATATATTTCGAATTTTATCAACTTTTTATCAATTTTCTTATTGAAATCATTTCCAAAGGTTATTTTTCCAAATATGCGTGACAATATTTTTATCTTCATCCTCAGAAACATCGTATGTACTTGAGGAAGAAGATAAGGAAGAAATATTGTAGTATCGAATTGATTAAATGTTATATACTCGCAACCCAGTGGCTAGAACTCTTTATGTGCTAGATTTTAGCATGTTTAATTTTCCCACCACTTCTGGGGGCAAATTTGTTTAAATTATTTATCAGTATTCTGACTGTATTAATTTTTTTCCAATGATCAGGAATTATACATTTTTTAAACGATTTCTGTGTATACTTTAATCAAAATTACATATATTTTTTAAATAGTGTTTTCCGCAAAGACAAATAATTTGAAACATTAAATAACTGAATAATCTAAAGCTTATCAAATAATAGGAATGTTATGTCATGCCACCTGAGTATTTTCAAAGACGCCGCAGTAAAACAAATGAACAGGTGCAAAAAACGTTCAAACCATCAAGGTTTTAGGTACTGAAATCTACGAAAATACTAACTTTTTTATATATAACTCCACATGTAAATATTCTTATAACATTTAGTTGCTTAGTCCTACATATAAAATTGTTTACTTTTATTTATAAGTACGTGAAAGTAATTCTTAAAATGTGGGGTTAGGATAACAGCAAACGCATGTTTTACAAACGTTTTTTTTTTAGTTATTATTTTATTTGAGTAAATTTAAATGGTAACAATGAATAAACAGAACATCAAGGATTTTATTTTTGTGCTTACTTTTGTTCTACACGTTTTACTTTTCTAGATTTCAGTACCTAAAAACGCCAGAAATTTCACTATTTCTCGGCCAGGGATATGGTCACCTTACACAATAAAATAATTGCTTTTAAGATAAAACTCTAGATTTTTGTTTTTATTTTGATATTGTCTTAGCTGTAATTGTACGTAATTTTCAATCTGAACCAGTTAAGTTAACTCTCTTTAAAAGAGCTTGCACAGCCCACTACCATAATAATAATTAGGCAGTTAAAATGTTTATAAACTCATGGAGAAAAGTCACCACTCCAAACAAAAAAAATTAACAATAGTATCCTACAGAGTAAGCGTAAATTTCAGATTTGCTCGTTCTTATCAGCAAATATAATATTACTAATTTAGTACACAATCGTTAATAGGATAGTTTCGACAACTTTGTGCAAAATATTTGATGATATAGTTTGTGGAAGTTGACGTATAGAGGCAAATACAGTATTTATTTCATGGTTTCTATGGACATAAACAGTTGTAACCATGACAATTTGCATGGCGTTTCGTTGCGATTAAATTCAACGCATTGTAGATTTACAGTTAGAAACTTGTAGCTACTGTTGGTTGTTCTTGGCACTGCCAATTTAGTAGTATAATGAGACATGACGAAATTGTTAATCTAAATCTAACTTTAATATTATTTCAAAGTATTCCAATGAAATATAATAAATCGGAAAAGTAATTTATGCTTATATAGCATTTTATACACACTTCACTTACGCAACGGCCCTATTGGTTCATCCCTCGAGAGCAACATTGAGAATTATATTCTATTTTTACTATTTTTTACGGATTAATTTCTCTCAATCACGCCCAGGTGGTGGTGATTACTCTGCCGCCCTTATCCGCATTTTTCCACTCAAAAATTAATACAAGCGTGATTGTACGGGCTAATGGCTCATATAGATTGGAAAGTGTCCTTCAGCGAAAAATCGCGCACCTCGAAAATTTAATCGGGATTCGAATGCCGACAGTGTGTGACACATGTCCGATGCACGGACGCGCCCATTGTGCCCTCAAGAACTCTCGAAAATATCCAAAGTCCCACCTGGACGGGGCGCATTGATCGGGCCGGCTGCAACTTCATTTAGTGGGTGTCTATTGCATTGATTATATTTATGGATGAATATTTTTTTTGAGGTAGACATTTACTACATTCAGTTTACTACTTTGATTACACAGGCACATACAAAAAAGCGGCCTGTTATATGTGGACCCGTTGAACATGAAACTCAAGTCAGTTCGGCGTCAGCACTAGGGTTGCCAGATTTATTTCATGACTGACCCGGAGAAATTCATGGCTAAAAAAAAGGTCTTTAGAAAATCTGGGAATGAAATTGTTTACGAAGAAAATGAGCTCTAAAAAAAAAAAGAAATATATAACTAAGTTCTGCAATTAGATAAATCGATGTCTAAAAAAAAAGGAATATGACTGGAGGAAATGGATTTCGAGGGTGGGTAGGGCGTTAACCCGGAGAAATGACATGTTAACCCGGAGCCCGAAGATGTACCATCAAAACCCGAAGACTCCGGGTCAAACCCGGAGATCTGGCAAGCCTAGTCAGCACCCAGCGAGAAAATGACCCCCCAAATCATCAGAAAATGGGTTAGGTATCTGTTTAGAGAAATTTAAAGTGCTTACTAGAGACAGATAGTTTTACCTTGTAAGGAAGCAACAAGAAAAATAAGAAAATAGGTACCTACTGAAGTTTTGAAGAGAAACTTCATAGAAAATTCAAAAACTGTCTGCGAATTTTTTATCGAAAAATTGTAGGAGAATGTCGTCAAATAATGTCCGAAATGTTTCGAAATGTTGTCTTCGTTATTTCGAAATAAGAACTACACTACAGTTAGATATCTGTTTTAATTTTCGAAATATAATTCTCTGGCGGTTTAAACCGAACACGATGTTATATAAAATGTACCAAAGATTTAATGGAATATTAATTATTTAAAATCGACATAATGAATTTTAAACAATAATATTTGTTAATTCAGAAAAATTTGGCAAGAAGATAAGAAAAATTATTTTAGTATCTATTAACAAATTTGTACTTTATACGAATGTAACGGCAATGCAAATTCGTTGACAATTAATTTTATATAAGAACTAAGAGACAGATATGTCAGCCTCCCAATCCCAATCCAATCAAGATTATTCCCAATCCTTTCAAAGAAGCCTTAAATATATAAAATAAACAATGCCATCATGATTCCAACCCCAGTAACATTGATTTAATTTATCTCTAAATTAAATTCTTTAGGTAAAAATAGGTGAACTTCCATTTTTAAGGCATTTTTTCTCGACAAACTTTTGATTGCTTTTACAAAATTTTGCAAAACATGGATCATTTTAATGGGCTTTTAATTTTGAATTCTTAATACAAACAATTCGAAAATTATTTTTTAAGCACGTTTTGTGAGAGCACGTGTTTTTCAAATGAAAATAAATGCTATAACTTTTTCTTCTTTGTTTGAGAGGCCACAAATAAGAAGAATAGGATGTCCATACTTCTTTCCATTTTAAAATTATTAGAAAAATAGTACATAAATGTGAGTCGGTCCGCCGGAAATACGATATTTAGGACTGAGTATACAGTGTGTCTCCGGATAGGGTACCGCACTCTTGTACACTTTTTTATTGTTTTGTTGTTTTTTATTGTTAATTTTCCCAGAAAAAGTTATTCTTGATAAAACGTTTTGCTTATCTTGGAAAGACATGTGTAATAATCAAATATGTAATCATACAGGGCGTCCAAAAAATTTGAAATTTTCCCTAAACAAAGTGCCTTCAGTTTTTATTTTCATTAAAAATTGTATTTAACAAAGTTGTTCGAGAACTCAAGAAATGCTTAAATACAGTGGTTAAAAAAAGAAAATAATTACATTTTCCAAATAAGAAGACGCGATTTTTAATCTTATTTAAGGCAGACAGAAATTGTAAAAAATAAGTAAACTTTATTTTTAATATAATGTAAAAATAGCTTGGATAAAACAATTTCCGGGTTGGTTGCCAGGTTGTCGGTTTAGGTTTCTTGACGTTTCGAGATTAATTGTACCTTTTAAAAACATTTAAAATTATTTAAAAAACCAGTGGCGTGCGATTTTTTTTTTCAAAAAAGGTTCCCTACTTCCGCAATAACTACGCCAGTGGAGTATATTTTGGAATAAGTTATCCATGAAAAAATAGTCCCTACCAAAAAAATGTCATTCCCCAAATTTTATCACTAAATCTTTTATACTAGTGGAAGTTACAGAAAAAATAATATAAATATTTGAAACTTTTAACACCCTGTATCTCGGTATAGGGAAGCGTCCTATCAAAAATTTGTATAGGGCAAAACTTGAATATTTTCATCGGTAGAATACGCCATTAAAGTTTGGCAAAACTTAACATGTACAATATGAAATTTATTCTACAATTACTTATTTCTACTAAAAGAAACGTTCATAGTTTTCAAAACGAAAATAAATTGATTTTCAAAATGTTCACCAAGTGAAGAGCATGATAGTGTGTTGTATTTATAATTTTCTCAGTGCCATTTTTTCATTAGACAAAAATAGTATCACAGAAACAACACAGGTGACAAAATATTAAAATAAACAGAGAAAAAATAATTGTTTTAAATGTATAATAAATGCTAAAATTTTACGAAAGTCTACTACTACTATTATTATTTTTAATTTTAAATATTTTCCCAACAAAAAGTTTTGTTAATTTATTCTTAATTTATTATTATTATTCATCATCATCATTCATCATTATTTATAATCATTATTTATCATAGTCATTTATTATTTTTATTCATAAAAACCGTATTTATGACGCATCTCCTAACTGCTACACCATTTTTGCAACAATTTGAAAATGGATGTAAGTACCTACTTCTTATTTATTTTTCTGAATTAATGACCTATCAAACAAAGCTAGAAAAGTTATATGCTGCAATTAATTTTTTTGAGCAGGTAATGGGACTGAGTATGACAAAATTTGGAGATGGAAAGTGATCCGTTAATAGAAAATTAAAAGAGACGGCAATTATTTTGTTGAACCGTGAAAGATGTGTTTCAAATTATTGTGTGACCTTGGATCTTTGTTGGCTACAAATTCTAAAAGATTAAGTGATGATAATATAATAAACATCATGATTACTTTACCTATGGAAACAGGCAAAGACAAGCAGATTTAAACTGTTAAAAATAATTAGAAACGGAAAGTCATTATCGAAGGAAAAAAATATAGATTTATTTGAAATGCTACTTTTGACCGTACCGATTGATAGATTTATAGTAACATTAAAATTTCATACCGACATATCTATATTTTGACATTTGTCCGCTTAACTTTTGGCTATTTAGGATAATTAACAAATCACAGAAAAAAAATGTAAACCAATCTTAATAAGTATTACGCGCATATCGAAACGTTGCCTGTGAGAGACTTACCAGTGTCCAAGGGGTGGTATACTGGGCATCTCTATCTAACGCCACAGGGTGTAGATGAGGGTGAAGCTGGAGTCGCTCTGGCCCATGCGAGCTTCTTGGTGCTTTTCACTGCGTCGATCGCGACCAACAAGCAGCAGGAGCCCGAACCGGCCGCAAGAAGTGACGTCGTCGTCGCATGCGTCCGCAGGAGCCATCCTCCGACGGCCACCACTCCCAGCAGGATCGAGCTGATTTGGCGGCTGGCGAGGAGAGAGCTCTTATAGAGAGACAGTGGCTGTAATTTTTCAGATGCGGGTAGGTAGGGATAATTGTCGACTATGTGTATTAGGGTTAATATTAAAAGCTGAAACTCAGGGACGAACTACATACAAAGATTACAAAGACCTATTTTATAACGATTGAGTTGTAAGTAAAGTTCTACGGCAACTATTAGAAATTGGCAATATATTTACTATTTTACTATACTTATGCACTAATTATGCCTCAGCCTGTAGACCATGCTACCCTGTATTCTGATCCCGTGCGATGCAATGAAACTCTAGGTGTGGTTTTCTTCATGTCGCGTATTCCCACTAAACACGAAACGTAAATGAAACGTTGCAAATGAGATGTTTTACTAAACATTTGAAACATTAACTAGAAACGTTTCTGTTTCATTACAGAAATGTAGCACTTGAAAACTTATTTAGTGAAACATAGCCGAAACGTTACAATTGAAGAGAGTTGGAAACATTACTCGAAACATTACCTTTCGATCTCGGAAACATAACAGACGAACAACCTTTTGCTATTTTTGCTTATCTTATGGAACAATCGGCATTAGTTAAATTTTGCTCTCAATCCCTAATCCTTCTCAAGCGTTAGTTCATTTGCCTTTATTTATATAGACATAATTAGAAAAAAAAATGTGGTAGCATAGGTATTTATAACACAAGTCTAGAAAAAATGTATGTTCGTGACTTGCGTAGACTGCGCGTAACAGCCCGAGTTTATTTGTTTCCCGTGTGTCGTTTCAATTCGTATTATATTAGGTTAGGTTTGCGGTTTGTCAGTTTGCTTGGTTTCGTTGTTATTCATCTTTACTCTGACGCTATTTTATGTGATAATTTGTAGTGTGTGCAGTTGTGGTTATTGTAAGGTGCATATAAAATAATGAATATTGATGCAAAATGTTTAAAACGATATGTGTAGAGATTTCCAATTTTGCGTCACATCTACCTAAATATAGTTATACCCACTACCTATTACAGACAAGAGGACAAAAGACAAGAACTAAGAAAATGGAACAACAACTATACGTTTCGATATAATTTGAAGAGCAACTACTTATTCAGTGAGAACTATTTGAAATATGGATGAATCAAGTGAAAAAGACGTCATTTATTTTATATTTTGTACAAATGTTTATATTTGTTTATGTGTATAGGCATGCTTAAATAAAAGAGTTTAGGTATACCTACAGATATTTACTTTGTCAAGATATCATTTTGTATCCTTATTTCTGCTGTATAATTTATTATATTATTAAAAGGATATATGTAATATTGACCATGCGTAGAAGAAATTCCAACTTTATATTATTTTTCAGTAATGTTATTTGTTTTTCATGTACGTACCATTTCAAGATTCATAATCATAACTAACTTTTTCTAATTATCGGTTCGTCATTGTTACCATATTCATGATGGTCTCACCATTAGAAAATTTCCATTTCAGAAGCGTATTATTTGAACAATATAAAATGTGTAGCTTTTTTTAATGCTTCTGATATTGTTTTGTGATATTTTTATTTGTACGATGAATGGCAAAATTCGTAATCCATATTAGAAACTTTTTTCAGTGGCTTCTCAAAAAGAAAGAAATTCTTAGTAAAAGTTGCCGCATCCCCAAACTAGAAGAGCATATTTATTTTTTTTAATATACAATGTAACTTTTTTTAGTTCGAATTAAGTCATTCACAATACAAATAAAAATATCACAAAGGAGTATTAGAGATATTTAAAAAAAATCACACTATTTATACTATTTCAAAAACGCTTTTGAAATGAAAATGATCTAAAGTTGAGAGCATTATGAGAACAATATGGTAATAAAATTATTATGTTACTCAAACATTTCTGAAAATATACTGAAACGTAAAACAAAAATATCGAGGGCATAAATGGAACATAAAAAGAATGTTACTGAAACCAATTTTTTGAAACGTTTCATTGGAAACGTATTTTGGGGAGGACATCTTGGGCTTCTAGAACGTTACCAGAAGGTTGCATGGATTTTTTACGAAACGTTTCAAGAAAAATGGAAACGTTTCTGAAACATGTCAGAAACTGAAAAATGTTTAGTGGGTTCATTGTGAAACTAATTAGGTAGAAATTAACGTACAGGTATACGGATGTATTCACATAACATTGTACTACTACCTACCTACCTTATCTTTTTTTGCCTAAAAATGTTAAAAACCCAACGTTTTAGGAAAATTTCTAGTAACATCAAAGAAATATACAGCGTGTTCCCTGTTTAAATGTACTAACTTTAACAGTTGATAGGTTTTCTTTTTAAAGAAAAAGTTCTTGTGAACATAAGGCGGAAATCGCTTCCTATAGGTCAGTTAAATTGTCGAAAATATCTCGATTTTTTGCTAAAATTTAGTTCAGTAAACAAAGACAAGTAAAAATTAGGAAAAATTCCGTAAAATTGAGATGGCTTCATTTTCAAAATGGCGTCCAAAGTTCGAAAAAAACAGTATTTTTTCATTTAAAATAAAAACTAAACATTTAAGAAAAATTTGGTTTTAGAAAACAATTGTAGAACTTTTTATAACAAAAATTTTGAGCTCAGCCCGATATGAATTGAAAACAAATATATTAGTAATTGCAAAAAACCGGCTAAAAATCGCATTTATTTTAAATTTCTACAGCTTTAAAACGAAAAAAGATTTGTTTACGAAACTTTCAGAATATGAAGTCCTTGGCAAGTAGAATAAGTGCATGTGTGTAAAATTGCAAAATATTTGATAGTTTTTGCAAAAATTGAGTTTTTCGAAAAAAATAATTTTTTTTCAAGTTTCAATAAATCGCACAGTAATGCACTTACGTGACCCATTTTGGGCTTAAAATTTTCTCTAAGAGTTGTACTTGCCTGTGTAGATTGTGCACGTATTGCAAAATAATTGGAAATATGCGAAAAATCTACCCAAACTGATTTTTTTTGTGGGTCGAAAAATGTAGACCTTTTTCTTATCGTTGAAATTTAGTCGGAATGACATTATTGTAATTTGAAAGCTAACATTTTTTCACAAAACTCAGCTGAGTTCATTACATAGGATTGACAAATACCTACAATAATCGCGTCAGTCTTTCTCTTCCCACCACGACCACAACCGTGTCGAGCGGAGCAGGCATTTTACGGGGGCCAACAAAATTAAGTTTACTCTAAAAAAAGGGGGTCGATCATTGCGGACTATTTTTTATATTGAAGAAAAATATTCAACTCCAACATGTGTAAATTTCAGACCTTAATATTATAAATGAGGTCATAGACTTTTTGAGAAAAATATTTTCTCGACTTCTGATCGTAGAACAGTTTGTTTTTAAATTCGTGAAAAAATGTCAGCTTTTTCCGAAAAACTCGATTTTTTTCGTTTTAAATATATGGAAATTTTAAAAAAATGCTGACATCGGGCTGAGCTAAAAATTTTTGGTATAAAAAAGTTGTATACTTACAACTTTTGTCTAAAAATTTTTTTTCTAAAATGTTATTTTTTAAATGAAAAAAAAACTGTTTTTTGCGAATTTTGGACGCCATTTTGAATACGAAGCCCTAACATTCAGCTGGGGTAAAGTAGTTCATTCAATTCTACGGAATTTTTACATGTCTTTGTTTACTGAAACATTTTGACACATTATCTAATTTGATTGGACTTCTATAACCGTGATAGAGGGTGTCGAATTTATTTTTTTAAACTTTTTTTGTTATGTCCAGAAAATAGTAAGTACTAACGAATCAAATTGGGTATCTTGGGCGATATAATGTCCTTTAAAAATGACCTGATACAATATATCTATCAGAGGCGTGGTAAAGGGGAGTCAATATGCTTTTTTAAACAGACGCATTTTTACGCCTAATGTTTCTTTGATATATCATGACATTTTTGACGTTGCTGATCAGTAAAGGTAAAAGAAAATATCGAGAATGATTAGGTACACAAAATTTCAATTGAACTGAAAAAAGTTTTATTATTACCTACTTACCTACATCTAAATAAGGTAAATTTGTTATGAAATAATTTATTTGAAAACTAAATGAAAATAATACTAAAATAGAATAATATAGGTTTATAGGTATTTAAAACAAATATTGAATACGTACTAGATTTATTTTAGCCAAGATGTAATTATGATTTTGCGGTAATAAATATTTCATAATCAGTTAGATCACATCGGGTTTGTAATCACGGGTATGTTACGATTTAAAAGACGATGGGGTGCTACAATTTAGCAGACTATAATTATTAAACCCACTATTAGCGACCTAAGTACGCAGGATTAAGATTAACAAAATATTTACAAAGTATTTTATTACATCCATCAGTTATATGTTATATGTTATATTTTTTTCCTGAACGAAAATTGCGAGCCTTGGTTGGAGAATGTATGATCTAGGTATTTATGTCAGTTTTTGATTAATGGCCGAGAAAAGTGGGAAACAATGTAGCGTCCGGTCGTGTGACTTTTACAAGGCTGTGAAATATGCATCGACGACATAATTCCACCTTCCGAACACTTAAAATGACGATAATTTCCCTCTTTGTGGTCGTAGAGCTAATTTAAATTCCTGCACACCAATAGGAACTGTCCAAGTATGCTCGCACGTAATCGTAATCGCAAACCAAAACGATAATTATTGGGAGCTCCTGAACCTCCCACCACTTTCGTGTATTCTCTAGTTTGAGCTGTCAAACCCTTGACGTTGACAGACTATCCACAAGCAAATAAACAAACAAATATGTGCAGAAGCAGAATGGACTAATTTTCATATTTCAAACGTTTTCATTGCTTCCGTTTGGAGCTTAGAATAATATTTGTAAATACTGTGATACGACAATTAGTGATTTATTTATAGCAGGTAAACCACGTAAAACGTTGACATATTGTAGAAAGTAATACAAATACTTTTTCTCCAAGGTTTTTTTAATATAATTTACTGAAAATGAGTGATGAGGGTGATGGTTTTGACCCCTGCGAATGTGTTTGGGGCCACGAATTGGCCATGAGGCGACTTCTCAATGTGGTACGTTTTTACTTTACGCCTCCTCAAAGGTGATACTACTTTTTATATGTTGCAGTTGAGAAACTCGCAAGCTCTGTGTACAGATAGTGAATGCTATGTAGATGGTAAGTAGTGAATAGTATACAGAATTAATATTTTGATGTCTAGGTAGTAAATTACGTGAATTTATTTGCAATAAGGATTTTTGTTTTGCACCAATTTATCTACTGAATAAATTGAGTTGTATGCATGATAACTTATCAGCATTGTACTATTTCCTGTGTTTACAATAATAATCTTCATAAATAACTTTTAAATCAGTTTCTTTGTTCTTGGGAAATATTTAATAAAACAAATAGAGATTTACGTTTCTTGTCACTGTATAATAAGAAAATAATAAAAATTGTAGGAATGATTATTATTAATTATGTGAATTTTTGTAGATGCCACCCCACGTCAGTCGTCACAGCCGGATCAAGTTTTACTTATGAGCATTATTTTCATTACTGCTTTATTGTTGTATTATTTTCGTCCAAGGTCGGAAACTTCATCAAAACCCAGTACTAGTGGAAATGTAAGTAAAATGAATCAAATCTTAAAATAATTGTTAATGCATGCCACTGAAGAAAAATATGTGTATCGAGTTCTCTTTATGAATAAGAATCTTTTTTTTTAGAACCCTCGCAATCCGCCCCCAGCTACCAATTAAAGTCGACTTTCAGTTTTGTTAAGTATAAATAAATCTTCTAGGCAATAATGTGTATGGTATTTACTTGGTATAAGGTTTACTTAATATGTTATAAGGGAATTTGCAATTAAAATTAATATATTGAGATCCACTTGAATGAGCTTTTGAATTATTGACATGACTCACTTTGCTAGTCTTTTCTGTGCAATAACTATGATATTATTTTAATGTAAATAAATGTTGTCTTTTGCTTTACAATTTGTAATTGTGGCCGGAAAACAAGCTTGTATAAGTTACTGGTTTTTATTCGGTTGCGATTGCGAAATTGTGGCTGGAAGAAATCTGCCGTAATAGTTTTAACACGTACACCTAATTTAGAAGTTTAGAACAATTCAAGTGGGGTATAACATGAGAAATATATTAAGTTTATCTGAGGTACAATTTTCAATGTCGATAAGATAACAAAAACTGATTGACGGTGATAATTTAATTGAAACTGTAATAACTCGAAAGTTTCGTGACACTATCGGAACTTTCGAGGCGAATTAACTTTAAGTATGTAATGGGGCGCTAGTAACCGATATAATTTTAAAGAGCACATCGTGAAGAGACGGTAATATGTTTTCCACATTTAATTGTATAGAAAATCCTGTTAATTGTTCTAGCGCCCTAAAAGTGTTGCTATGTATAATAACATATCTATTGTATTTCTAACAGTTGTGGGCTTCTGTTCTTTTCAGTTCTTAGAATGTTTGACTCTTTTAAATCGTAGATTGTTGTTCACGACAAATTCCCAAGTTTTTAAATACTAAGTGATTTCATTCTAATAACATTCCTTCTGCACATATTACAATGTTAATGAAGTCGCTCAAATTGCTTGTTTATTCACATATATAATTACTGTAAATATTGTTAGCCAAAGGGTATTATACAAACTAGGAATTGCAAAATAAATATATTTTAATAAGTTGTGTTCTTTTGATCTTGACCTTGCCTCGAGAAATTGACCTTACCTACTTTCAAAATGTTATCCATTAGGGATTTTTTTGTGTTATCTGGTTACTTATTAGAATATTTAAACATTTGATAACACCAGCACAAAAAAAATTGTCTGTACCTTTGATTTAACCCAATAGCCTTTTGACATGTTGAATCCGAATCTGAAGTCTGCTTAGCTCAAACACCCTCAAAATTTTGAGTACTGGCAAAAAATAGTGAAAAATCGACGAAAATCATGTTCGTGAGACCAAAAAAATTCATTCTGGTCGTGATCAAATGGGTTTCTTATACTGGTTGATTCAAAATTCAATACAAAGAATTAAGTGGCGTATTTTTGAGGTCAAAATAAGGCTTTTATTTCCTATAAACGTGGGTCCAAATACTCAGTTTTCGATATACAGGGTGTTCAAATTATTTTTTTTCAATTTTTTAGGTATAATTACCAAATAAATTTGAATGCCCGCTAAACTTGGGGTATGGGGGTTATTTAGGATTTAAATGTCATTGTTTTCGACATTGTTTGTAGAAAGCGCCACCTATAAGGATACACTTGAATTAAATTGGCCCAAACTTTTTTGCTACCCTGTACATTGACGTTTTGTATTAGTGTGTTTATTCTCCTATCAATTTTAAGCAAAAATGGTATACTTGGTTGAAATCTCTCATCAGACCAATCGTTTTTGAGATATTGGCTGATGAAGAGTTAAATGCATACCATATTTTCAATTTTTGACTATTTAAGGTGAGAAATTTTATTTTATAGTTTATAGGAAAAAAATATTATTTTGACCTCAAAAATACGGCCCTAAATTCTTTGTACTGAATTTTGAATCAACCTGTATATTTTGATGTGCTGAACCAAATCTTTAGTCTTTTAAGTCGCACCTCCGCAGATTTTGCAAAAATCGCAAAATAATAGTGAAAAATCACCAAAAATCACATGAACACAAAAAAATTTCAAAAATTTTTTTCTCACGATCAAGTGTTTCCCCCACAGATTTTGAATAACTGAAAATGGCAAAAAATCATATTAACAAGAGTGAGGAAACTGTTATGGGATAGCGGGGATAGGAAAAAGTCACTAGGTTCAGAAAGAATGGCCAACGAGAACGTAGTTTCATCCAGAGTCGAGCAACATCTTACATAGATCATTAACCTAGTCTCCAAAAATTCTTCAGCGATAACTGATGCAAAATTGAAAGAAGGTATTTTTGATGGTCCTCAAATTCGTACTCTTTTTCGAAACAAAAATTTCAATACAACAATGAATGTGGCTCAACAGACTTTTGATTCAAATTCGACTTGACAACGACAACATTTATGAGAATACTTGATCCAGTCTAGAAAAACCTCTTTCTAAATTTTCTCATTCTCATTAATATGGTTTTTTGCCATTTTCAGCGATTTTTTTGAGTTTTTTTTCCAAAGTCTGTGGGGGATACGGACTTTAGATTCGAATTCAGCGCCTCAAAATACATAAGAAACACACTTGATCATGGCCAGAAAAAAACGTGATTTTTGGTGATTTTTCGCTATTATTTTGTGATTTTTGCAAAATTTGTGGAGCGATACAGCTGATATTACTCCAGATTTGAATTCGGCACGTCAAAATATACAGGGTGTTCTTAAATATCATGTACATGAGGGAGGTAGTAATTCTTTGGCTTATTTCATAACTAAAAATTCATATAAATATAGCAAACGCTTCGTTACTGATCTACAGGGGATTGAAATTTTTTTAGTTTTTTCTCTATAGCTCCTACAATTTTTGAGACATTTAGCTCAAATTTGGAATATAGGTTACGCTATAGGGCTTACATCATTGGGCATACCAAATGGTCGTGAAATTTCAACACCCTGTAGATCGGTTATGAAGCGTTTGTGGACCTATGTTCATATGAATTTTTAATCATGAAATAAACCAAAGAATTACCTCCTCACTTATGTACATGATATTTAGGAACACCTTGTATAAGAAACCTCTTGATCAAGTTCGGAACAAATTTTTTAGAATTTTTTTGGGCTCACTAACATAATTTTTGGAGATTTTTCACTATTTTTGCAAAAAATCAATCAATCAAAATTTTGAGGGGTGTTTGAGCTAAACGGGCTAGTGGTTACTGAGAAATTAACTTGAAATTAGTAAAAACTCAAAATGGGTTTAATCAGTCTTGAGAATTTAGTTTGAAATTGGAATTCGGTTTTAGTTGTGTTAATTTTGATGTTTTATTTTTGTAAGAAATGAATGCATTTTACCATCCAATAAATCCTATTTTTTTTATCGCCCACAGCCACATAACTTGGAAGGTACGGATATCGCTTTTTGTATTTTTGTAACCACGCACGAATTATTAAATGATAAGCAGTTATCGTTTTAAATTAGCGTGTGCGCTTATCAGGAAGCAATTATTAACTTTTGCGGTGACCTCGCATAAATTAGTTTTATAATAGCTTAAAAAGTAGTTGTTAACGATATTCTCATTAGCCATTAAATGAATTTTCTTTAAATTCATATTTACATTTAGCATTAGCGATAGCTTTTTACTTCATTAAAATTAAAATTAGTTTTTACTGTTCCAGTTGCGTAAGTTTTGAAACACAGATCTGAAACGAACGGAAAGTTTTTTAAGTTATCGGTACAATTAAAATACATTGAATTTGTTTACTACTACTTCAACCTACTCAACAATAGATAAAAATCTAAGAAGGAGATAAGAATTATTTTCTCATTTAAACAAATAATGTTCAGATAAAAACAATCGGGCATAAAATTTGCAAATCAGAAGTGGGATTTATAATTTGTTTTCTCATTTAAACAAATAATGTTCAGATAAAATTATTGCTATAAAAATTAGTGTGTAAAAACAATTGGGCATAAAATTTGCAAATTCAGAAGTGGGATTTATAATTTGTTTTCTAATAATTAAAATACTATAAATTTTCAGTGACTCAAAATCAACTAAAAACATTTTATTTAAGAATTGTTTTCTCATTTAAACAAATAATGTTCAGATAACATTATTGCTATAAAAATTAGTGCGTAAAAACAATCGGGCATAAAATTTGCAAATCAGAAGTGGGATTTACAATTTGTTTTCTAATTAAACAGCTATAAATTTTTAAAGTGACTCAAAATCAATTAAAATACATTTTATTTAAGAATTGTTTTCTCATTTAAACAAATAATGTTCAGATAAAATTATTGCTATAAAAATTAGTGTGTAAAAACAATGGGGCATAAAATTTGCAAATCAGAAGTGGGATTTATAATTTGTTTTCTAATTAAACAGCTATAAATTTTTAGTGACTCAAAATCTACTAAAAACATTTTATTTAAGAATTGTTTTCTCATTTAAACAAATAATGTACAGATAAAATTATTGCTATAAAAATTAGTGCGTAAAAACAATCGGGCATAAAATTTGCAAATCAGAAGTGGGATTTATAACTTGTTTTCTAATTAAAATGCTATAAATTTTTAAAGTGACTCAAAATCAACTAAAATACATTTTATTTAAAAATTGTTTTCTCAGTTAAAAAATAACGTTCAGATAATAATTATTGGTATAAAAACGAGGGTGTGTAAAATACAATTGGGCTTAAAATTTGCCGAATCATTGGGATTTATAATTTATTTTTTTAATTCATTTTTACAAATTTTCAAAACAAGTGAAAACCAAATAAAAATAATTTTTATTTGATAATGTTCATTAATAAAAATGTTCAGATAATTACTGCTTTAAAAAGTAATCTGTAAAAAATTAATTGGGCTTAAAATTTGGGAATCAGAAGTGGGATTTGTAATTTATTTTCTAATCCTTTTTCTTTCTTACCTTCAACATGCTATAAATTCTCGGGATAACTGAAAATTGAATGAAATACTCCATTTTATTATCTCGAAATTACCTACATTAAAAATTTATACAAAATTTATTTGTACTTATTTACTTCGTACGAACCGAAAAAGTAAAATCATGATTTACAGTTCTGCAAACCCTTTAAAGTATTTCTTACTTTCTGCAAAACGCCCGTCATCTGCTCGTATTTGCCGGTGGAATTCGGTAGATTCTCAAAATTTATCACCGGACTCACGTTCTTCATGAAATTGTCCGGATTGGGCAACCTGGAATAGGGAGAACTGCTCTTTATGATGGGAGTACCGAAACTACTGGTTTTCACGCAGTTTACGCTGTTATTCAGGGGCGGAGAAGGTAGCGGCGTGCTTGGATCTTCGGTTTTATCTACACTTATAACCAACATTTTACCAACGGGGACTTTTTCCGAAACGCCTTGATCGTTCTTGGATTTGTCTTGCTCCGAGAAATTTTCCGGATCGTCACAAGCGGTTTCCACGGATTTAGGATTGGAGCTGGAGTTTTCTTCTAGGGCCGCCAGTAGATTTTCCTTCTGCTTCTCTAAATCGGTCAACGAAGGTGATGGCGTGTTGGAATCCATTTCTTTGAGGTCGTTTATCTGTGAAATCAAAAGTGGTTAGAACAATTTATTTAAATATTTCTTTGGACAATCTTACTAAAGGATTCACCAGGACAACTTCTTCCACCACCTCTAATGTGGGATTTTTGTCTTTCTCTTCAAACGTGGCGTCCAGATCCATATCGCAGGTTTCAAAATCGTCCTGCTCCTTGGCAAAGTGTTTTTCATAGAATTCTATCATGGCTTGTTTGCTGAACGTATCGGAATAAGGGGGGACTCGGTACTGCCTGTATTCCTAAAAAAAAATGTGTCTCAAACAAATTAATTTTTTTAAAACAATTTTTATTTAAGCATAATCAGCTTGATAATGTCGTCTTTGTAATACTCAAGTACATCTAAAAATTCTTAAGAATTAAATGACTGCCTACAAAATGCAATTATTTTACTTTTACACAGAAGTCTCATATTTAAAGCTGTTTTACACACAAGAATTTATTGAACAATAAATTGATAATTTATCTTTCAACAAATTAATTAATTTCACAATTCAACATTTATAATTTATTGGCCAATTTAATTTGATACCAACCTCGAACTTCATTGTTCGTCAACTCTCAAATTCAAATCATCGTAATTGGGTTGACATTTAAAAAAAATACAAAATGTAACTAGATATCCCTTAAATTGATCAATGTTCTAAATCCCCAATTTCGTGGTCACTTTATTGTCAATAAATTGTACTCCAATTTCTGTTTTACACTTCATAAAATAAAATGAAGGTCAACTTGTTCAATTTATTGTTCAATAAATTGTTGTGTAAAACAACATTTTATTGGTTGTTGTATAAAACAGCTGCCAACCCAATTATGATTATTTGAGTATGAGAACTGACGAAAAATGAAGTTGGAGGTTGGCATCAATGCAATTGGCCAATAAATTGTTGTAAATATTGAAATGTGTAAAGCAATCATCAATAAATTGTGAAATGTCAATTTATATTGTTCAATAAATTGTTGTGAAAACAGCTTTAACAAAATAAAGCAGATAAAAGATAACTTCACAATTCATTATGTTTTATATTATTTTATAGAGCGTTCAAATAAAAATGTGGTCAAGTCGGTTCTGAAAATTTGGACGTAGGGCGTAGCGTATAGCAAATGAACTTAAACGTCATCTGTCAAAGCGCTATATCGCCGCTATCAATTTGAATATTTTCGTTTTAAAAAGCGTTTAAAATGGTGTTTTCTCAAGAACAAAAAGTGTTTATCATAGAGTCCTACTTTAGAAATGGACGCAAGATTGATGGAATATGGAAGTATTCTATTGAGGAATGTTTCATAGAATTTCAAAATCAATTTCCCGGCGTTGTTGAGTACAAAATTTTTCAAAGTGCAGTTCAGCGTTGTGTTAATGTTTTTCGTGAAACGGGCAGTGTAACAAGAAAAGAAGGAAGCGGCCGACCTAAAAAGCGGACTGTAGAATTAAAAGAAAATGTCCAACAAATAATGGAAAATGCGCCAAGAACTTCTGTACGTGTTTTATCACAAATGGTGGGAGTATCAGTCGGTACCTGCCACAGTGTTAAAAAAAGATTTGCGTTTGTTCTCCTATCGTTTAACTTGTCAGCAAGAACTTCATGAAGTTGATTTTCCGCGACGGGCTGTATTTTGTGAATGGTTTTTAAACAACTACGGTGAACTTCATAATATAAATTTTTTTTTCTGATGAAGCCTGGTTTCATTTAAGTGGTTACGTAAACTCACAGAATATGAGAATGTGGTCTTCTGAAAAACCAGATAACTTTTTTGTCGAGGGCCCTCTACACGCTCAAAAAATTGGAGTTTGGTGAGCTCTCAATCGAAGGAGGATTTATGGACCTATTTTTTTTAATGGTACTCTTACTGCGCAAAGGTATAGAGAAGAAATTATCGCTCCTTTTGTTAACCAGCTGGAAGAAAACGAAATTACAAACTTTTACTTTCAACAAGATGGCGCAAGGGCACATACAGCAGGCGAGACGATGAATATGTTGAGGGAAGTTTTGCAAAATCGACTAATAAGTCTCAATGCTGAACATGAATTTCCACCGAGGTCATGTGATATTACGCCGTGTGATTTCTTTTTGTGGCCTTACCTTAAAAACACTATTTTTGAACTGCCTATTCCTGATTTAAACCATCTGCAGGCTCGACTTATAGACAAGATTCGTGAAATTAACAATACCCCGAGCATCTTAGAAAATGTCTTTAATTGTTTGAGGAACAGGTGTGAAAAGTGCTTGATAACAAGGAGGGGGACACTTTCCGCAGCTCCTTTAATTGTTTGTTATTGTTATCACGATTATTCTTTAAAATAAAGTTATATAGTCATTAACGTTATTAAAACTGACAGCTGCTATACAGCTCCTTGAGAAATGAGGTTAAGTTGATCTCTATAAGCTACTCCCTACGTCCAATGTGTCAGAGCCAACTTCGACCACGTTTTTATTTGAACGCTCGTTACTTCATTGTTCGTTGAACTTATTGGTGGTTTGGTAAAATAAATAATATAAAGTTGAAGTTGGTACTATTTGTAAATAATAGAAAGAATGGATCCCAAATAGTCCGGTCAAAATAGACATTTCAAATAATGAAAATTCCAACAGAGCTAAATTTTGGTGGAGACCTTGGGTACACCATTAGAAATAAAGTGTCAAAAGTCCCCATCGATCCCATGTGTGCTAAAAAAGTTATTCGGGGTCAAAGGTGAAAATTTGAGGTTTTTTGGATTTTTTTCGAAAACGGTAAGTTTTATCAAAAAAGTAACCCTGACAAAAATTATAGAACTTAAAATTATCTACAAAAATGGTCCTTGTACTTTTTATTCTAAGAATCACCATTCCTAAGGTATCGCGATTCTAATAGTTGAATGAGTCACGTTCTACATGATATGCACACATTTCCACACCACCTTTTCGAAAAAATCCAAGCTCAAATTTTGACCTTTGACCCCAAATAACTTTTTTAGCACACATGGGACCGATGGGGACTTTTGTGTGTAGCCAAGGTCTCTACCAAAATTTAGCTCTCTCGGAATTTTCGTTATTTGACCACTATTTTTATGACTAATTTGACCGGACTAAAAGCTATTTTTAAGATATTCTGCAGGTGTTCATTGTCGATAATGGCAATCATATATAAACATACATAAGAAATCAGTTTAGTTTTGAAATGAGGAAAAAATTAAAAAGATAAAAAAATCACTAATAAACTGGTAAGTAAATACAATTTTGCAGAAGAGTTGTGTTTCGTAAAAGTAACTTCAAATAATAATAATAATTGCAAACACATCTTGAGTATTTGGAAATTTAATTTGTTATTATTATATGCCCGACTTCAAACAAATACAACCAATAAGGACTAGGGTGGGTAAAAAAAAATCGACAATTTTTTTTTAACTTTATACTCTGAAAAATAGGTTGCTAGACACCTCTAGAAAATTCACTCCAAATATGAGCTCCTAATTTTAATAGGAAGGTCCTCCGCATTACAGTTTTCCATTTTTTCCTCAATATTAGAAAAAAATTATAATATCTCTCTATCAACTGTTAGTTAAAAATATCTCTCCTCATATACTTGTAGGAAATTGAACGCTCTACAAAAAAGGTCTTACAATTTTTTCGTAAATCTCACCGTTTAAAAGATATTAAAGATTGAAGTTTGATTATTTTAAGACAAATTTCTGTTTTGCTTATGAATTTTATAACTCATTAACATAAAATCATTATGAAATGCGCAATCCATAGTTTTGTAGGAAATTAACCGCTCTACAAAAATGGTCTCTTATGATTAGTCGATTAAATAAAGCGTTTAAAAGATATTCATCGTCAAACTTCAATGCACGCCAATTTGAACAGTTTTTTATTAATAATTCGGAAAATTTCAATTTAGGTTAAGTTTCAGGGAAATTTATACAAATTTGAGTTTCTAGTGAAGCTCCTAATGCAGTCAAAAAAATTCTTCGCTATCATACTCAATAGTTAAAATTACAAAAAAGTTAAAAAAAAAATCAGCACAAAACCAAAATGTTTGAAATTTTATAACTCGCTTGATATTTAAATAAAAAAACTTTTTAATAACAAATTGAACATTTTTTTTTTCTGTAAGATTAATACTTTTCATAATAAATTTCTAACAAAAACGTTATTTTTTCAAGATTTAATGAATCATTGACTCTCAGTCAGAAATAATGCACTAATTTTTTTTCGATTTAACCAAACATGCTTACGACTAAAAAAAAAACTAGAAAAATAGTTTAAACATTTTTCTGTTCATAGAAACTCAAATTTGTATAAATTTCCCTAAAACTCATAAACTAAATTGAAATTTTTCGAATTATTATTAATCCAAAACTGTTAAAATTGGCGTGCATTGAAGTTTGACGATGAATATCTTTTAAACACTTTATTTAATCGACTAATCATAAGAGACCATTTTTGTAGAGCAGTTAATTTCCTACAAAACTATGAATTGCGCATTTCATAATGATTTTTTGTTAATGAGTTATAAAATTCATAAGCAAAACAGAAATTTGTTTGAAAATAATCAAACTTCAACCTTTAATATCTTTTAAACGGTGAGGTTTACAAAAACATTGTAAGAGACCTTTTTTGTAGGGCGTTCAATTTCCTACAAGTATATGAGGAGAGAAATTTTTAACGAACAGTTGATAGAGAGATATGATTTTTTTTTTCTAATACTGTGGAAAAAATGGAAAACTGTAAAGCGGAGGACTTTCCTATTAAGATTAAGAGCTCATATTTGGAGAGAATTTTCTAGAGGTGTCTAGCAACCTATTTTTCAGAGTATAAAGTAAAAAGAAATAGTCAATTTTTTTTGACCCACCCTAATAAGGACGCTCATTTGCCAGAGCTACAAAAATGTTTTTTCATAACCGGAAACAGCGCCATCTCTTGGTTACAAATTTCTGCAAAGGGCAGAATTTGGCAGACGGCCGTTTAAGATACAAAAATATTATTTTACACTTACGTCTTTCATATTATTATCAATGGGGACATTAAATCCGGGGTAGTCCACGATTCTCTCTGGGTCCAATCCAGGAGTTTTCTTCGTGCTGACACGGACGTTGTTCCCTTCAGAATCGAACATGGCTAAATTGGAATGAATAAATTTCGCATCCTCCAGCCAACCAGGAGGATAACCCAACATCCTCATGTGGTAGATGAAAGGAGGCAGCTGGTTTTTTCGTAAGCCCAGTGCTTCTCTGAGCTTGTCGGATATTTTTCCCGGACTTAGGTGGCTGTATTTCTGGTCTTCCTCTATGTGATATCTCCTGAAAACACGGACAATGTTATGGTTTCACGATTAACACAAATTATCTATCCCACAGTCTATCTGTAATTATCAGTTGAAAAATAATGGATGTTTCAAAACTTACGCTGTCTGCTTTTGTGCCTTAAACCTCTGTCTGGCAGCATTTATCTTGGCGAAGTCTTTGGGTAACGGACAATCTTTAATGGCGTGGTTACTATCACAATTAAAACAGGTTTGAGCTGATATTTTTACTGTTTCATCTTCGGCCGTGCTTTTCTCGTTAATGTCAATCTGGAATCTTGTCAAGTACTTTGTAAATTGTACACCGTTTTCATTCTGGGAAGGATTGGTGTCTAGAATGAATAAATCTTTTTCTTTCTTATTCTTCTTTTTCCTTTTTTTCTTTGGTGATTTTTCAAAAGTAACCGGCGGTAATTCCACAGGTTTTTCTGGTATCTCTAGTTCTTTAGCCTCGTTCAGGCATAAGGTTTCATCTAAGACAACCCACTCCTTAGGCTCTAATGTAGTATCCCTTTGCACGCTCACTGTGAGACCTTCCGAATTCTGTACTTCCAACTCTACAAATTGTTGTAGGAATTTTAAAAATTTTGATTTATACAACTCGGCTATGTTTTCATCACTAAAATTAATATATATACATGGACCGGAATTAGTAGCATCTATTTGATCTGCAGCTTGTTGGAGTTGAATTCCTATTGCTTCAGAAGGCGATATCGTAACATCTATCGGTTCTTCTATTTGGACATCGATATGAATATCATCAAGTTCTCCTTCCTCTAAATTACCCTCTTCCCCTTTGTTTAAAGACTTAGGACTCTCGTTAGCAGTGGAAACAGCATTGGTTTCGGTCCGAGATAGGGATGTAGGATCTTGTTCCGTTAAATCTACTGGAATCTCATCAGTAATGTCAATAATTTCACTGCTATCCACGGATTTATCTTCGGAATTTTCAATAGACTCTGCCCGAGGTGCAATATAATATTCCTCGCTATCGTTTAACACATCTATGTTATCCTCACTGATAACTATGATATCACTGCCGCTCCCACAACTGTTTGCGGCGCTGCTATTTGACACCGAAATGTGTTCTGAAATTTCAATTAAGCTTTCTCTTTCCTGGTTTACTGAAATTTCCACATTTACTGTTTCCTTGCTATTTTGTAGGTTAGAAAGCTCGCTTAGTTTCAACGTGAAATTGTTACCATCTATCTTACTGATTTTGGCCTCTGGTTCTTGACAATCATCTTCCGAGTTCTCTGAAGATATATCATTGTCACTCACTTCGAAAATGATCTCCTGAGACGGACTTTTTCTTTTCCCTCGTCTTCTAGAATCCATTTTTTGTTTTCTTGTCACTATTTTTTTACTCTTGTGCAGAAAATGGCGGCTAGTGCGCAGACGCATGCCAAATTCGGAACGGAAAGTAAATTCAAATCGAATTAGCGTTCTCTTTAGAAAAAATCTGGTGATATGTCAGGCACATCTCAAAAATACTTAAAAAGTTACGAATCGTTGTTTATAATTTGAAAGTTAGATGAAGTAAAGACACTGGGATTATAAAATAAAAATTGGGGAAATTGTAAAACTTGGCTTCTGGTGTAATTACGCTATGGAATTTGAAAAAATTCGTTATTGATTTGAAATAAATTGATTGACTTTTCGAATTGGTAGTGTAATGTGTAACAAATCAAACCGGGATATTGATTAAATTTGGATTAAAAATGCCTTTTTATAAGAAAAGCAATACCAATCTGTCCAGATCGAAAAGACTCGAAAAATGCACAGAAAAAAATGGTTTGAGAAGTTTAATATTTAACACAGTTGGAGACAAGTATAAGGGGGAATGGAAGGAAGATAAAAAATCAGGTAAATTCATGGAGAAAACAAATTAATTCCTTACTAATGTATCAAGTTGATGTGTTCAAGGAAAAGGCGTTTTGGTGACAAGAAATCAAGAACTTTATGAGGGCGACTTTAGCAGAAACTACCGTCATGGCTTTGGTATTTTGGCCTATCGAATTCCTAGCACAAAAGTGTATAATTTGGCATACCGGGGCACTTGGAGGAACGGTTGGCCAGAAGGTCACGGCCTCGGGATCTATAAGGACGGTAGTTATTACATGGGTGAATGGAAACATGGCAAAAGACATGGGCACGGACAGATGTGGTATGTGAATAAATCCTGGTACCACGGTCAGTGGGTGAATGATCTTAAACAAGGATTAGGTAAGATAAAATTTTTCGTTTCATAAAAACTGATTATTGCACTATTTTGTGTACTTTTTAGGGGTTTTTGTGAGAGAAGATGGAAATAGGTACGAGGGTGCGTGGTACATGGATAAGAAACACGGAGAGGGTAGATTCTTCTTTTTGGTAACCGGTCAAATACAAGAGGGTGTGTGGAAGGACGACTACTGCGCTTTTAGTGTGATGTGTGATATTCCGTTCAGGCAGACCGCTATTAGGCCTTCAGTGTATCCAATACCCATTGTAAGTAGACAGTTTTTTTGTAGAACTTGATTTTTAGTAGTTAATTTTTAGATAGTAATGTTTTATTGACACCTCATTGTTTCTGTTAATTAAATATTATATAAGAACTAAAATACTAATCTAAAATTTTTTTTGGGACATTTATAATTCGAATTTTTTTTATAGTGTTCTATAAAATGTATTTGATGAAACAATTACAGTGAATCCAGTTAGTATTCCATGGCCTGATGATTTTTTGAAAAAATATTAAAGATTTAATCACAAGTCTTAATTGGTTTCACTTGAAATATCGTTTTCTCAAATTTTGGGCTCACCTTTCTCACTTACACCTTGGAAACAAGTTTTTTCCACACTTTCTTAAACATTAAATATCACATAGAAAATCGCCTAATTAGGACTATTGAAATAACTTATTTTTTAGTGTGGCCTAATAAATAGAGACGCTATTTGTATCAAACAAAAGTGGAAGATGTTGATGGGGGTGGCGGACTCCTGTCTGTCCTTAGCCAGTGACGAGTCCGCGGAAAAATTACATGTACAGAATCTGTAAGGAAATAAAAAAGAAAAAAATTAAAAAATATATAACTTTATTATATCAATACATAACACTAGTATGATTTTATAAAATATATATATATATGTATATATAATCTAGAGTAAATCACAGATTATTAAAATTTCCTTTCTTGAGAGAAAAAATTCCATGGAGAATAATCCAAATAAAATTAAAAAAAGAACAGTAATAAATATACAACAATAAAAGTGAGATTCTACAAGTATATGAAAGAGGTACTTAAAAAAGGAACTACAGAGCATTAAGTATTTGGTAAGTACTTAAAATAAGTTGAAAAAAAGCCATTTTAAGTACGGAAAACGATAGGCGAGTGGCAGACGCTCCCATTGTTGCACAGAAACAATTAAATAGAGAGAAAGTAGGTCATAGTTAAGGGTTTTACATGTGGGCTTTTTCTTATAACATTTCAATGGCATTTTGTTAGGTTCAGAAACGGTCACTTCTCTTTTATGCAGAAAAATGTTTGACAAAAAATTGACACCAACATCAAGATTTTAAAAAATTATGCACAGCCCCATCATTATAAGAGTATTTCTAAACCTATTCTTAAGGAATACGAATATATAAAACACAAGCGTTACTAAAACTAAATTTCCAAAGCCTTTCCTTGCTCAAAATTAGGCCGTCTTCCACTTACTAGGTAATACAAATAAATCAACTAATTATTTGTTTTACATTAACAATTCTTAACCACTAAATATAATACCAAAGTACGGAAACCAATAAGAAAAATATATTTTATCATTTCAGTCTGCAGGGTCCATTTTGCTAAACTGACTGCAAACCGCTAATTTTTGAGAAACATTAAAAATAAATGTTTTCTTCACCTTTTGTTGCATCAATTCTGTTTATTTCACAAATTCCGTGCAGCTTTCAGATATTAGCACTCTTTCTGAACCACCCTGCATATTAAACACTTTAAGTGTATTGTCTTTTTAATGCAAGTCCTTACATTCTACCAAAATAATACAGTTACACTTATCATTTTCTATTTTGGGAATGAGTTATTTATTATATGTATTTACTATTTTTAACCAAAAAATCCCAACCCATATGAAGTACATTCGTTAAAATATGAGAAACGGCTTTAAAAACCAGCAGAAATCACCGTTATTCGTTTTTTTTTCTCATACAGAGTGAATGACTTACAATGTTAGCCAAGTTGTCCCGCCATGGTGATAGAACACTTCAAAATAAGAAAAAATTGTTAATAAAAATGTGGGTCGTAGAACGTTTCATTTTCAAGATAGTGCTTAAATTAAATAAAAATCTCATTTATTTAAATACCCGTTAAAATATTTATCGTAGATTGATGAAACTTGCAATGCTATGAGCAAAAATTTGCTGGGTTTATACATCAATCTGTTAACCAGTGGCGGAGATGAAGGGAGATACCGTCAACCCCAGAATTTCGACACTACTGAATATTTGGTGAATTGGATTCCGGTTTGTGTTTAACAAAAGAAACGTGTACTCCATTTTATTCGAAAAACAAACCATTTTTGCAAAATTATTGTTTTAAATTTAAAATAAGCCTTCGAAGTTGCAAAATCGAAAACAACTCCAAAACTATTCTTTCAGAAAAAAAAATATACATTTTTTGTTATAAATTTTGCTTATTTTAATTAATAATAACAAATGGCTCAGTTCTCGAGTAAAACATTCGTATTTCCGAAACTTCTTGGCAATAAAATTCTAGGGTTCTTAGAGAAGGTATCTCTATCACTGATTGATAAATTTGGGTAGCAACTCAACAAATTTTTGCCCATAATTGATTACCTCAAGTTTGATCAATCTAAGTCAATTATTTTACGAGATACTTAAATAAAGATGATTGTTATTTAAATTTCAACACTCTGTATCTTGAAAACGAAGCATTCTATGAATAACATTTAGAAGAACTTTTTTTATGATTTTGAGGTGCTGGATCACCAGATAAGGTTTGGCGTGTGCACTCTAGAACACCCTATATATTCCCAACTAATGGAAACTTGCAAATAAACTTAGCACTGTTTTATAATGGCTAACATGATGTACAAAAAATTAATTCAAACAAGAAAATTAGTTCTACGATTTGCCTGGGATGCAAAATAAATAAATCCAATTAGAAAAAATATAAAATATGGTAGTTTTTTTAAACCTTATCACCTTATAGATCCAAAATGGAGCATATTTAGAAAAATGTTCATATGAAAAACCATATTTATTTTTAAAAGGACTATTACAGACTTCTAGTCCCGGCAATATATTCGACCTCACCCTGTATATCTACGAAAGTGGAAACGTTTCTGCAGAAACCTTGCCCGTTAAGTAAAGCAACTTTGTAACAGTCCAAGCCGACCCGACTCCGTTTTGCTTAAAACATCAAATCGTAAAAAGAAACAAAACCGATCGCTAAACCACGTGAATCAAATCGTTCATGCCATTCCCACCATGGCCTTCCATATCTCCCTGTTCGATTTTCTCCTTCAACAATTCCAATTCCCGTATCCCGGACAGAGTAGTCTCGTACTTGTGCGCGACCAAGGACCTATAAAAATGTATAGCAAACGCGAGGAACACAAACAATATGGGGATGAGTATGACACTTCCCGACCAGGCAGCCGTTCTGTCGATCGTGATGAACTTGACCCAACACAGTATCGCTATCTCGGCCAAGAACAACAGGAGGCCTATGAGGGTCGAGAACGCCCAGGCGGTTTCGATGTACCAGTGGAGGCGTTCGTGGGGCGACTCCTCCACCAGGTTGATGGTGTCCAAACTGCAGATCGCCTCGATATTGGGCAAGATGCAGGTGCTTATCATAAGGGCTAGCATGTGGACGGCAACCAAGAGAGTAGTTATGATGGCGAACGTCACTAGAATGGGGCTGGGGATCGGAGGGTTGGAATCCGCCGAAATTTGCAGCTCCACCATGGCCACCATGGCGAAACCCGATAGTAACGCGGAGGTTTTGCTGGAAGCCTTGAGTTTGGCCCTGGAGAGGTGTAGTTTTCGCCAGGAGAGGTAACGAGGCGTGTGTAATTCGTCTTCTAGCTGAGACATCTTGTGACACTGCAAGAAGATGTATAATTAATATTATATATATACAGGGTGTGCCATTTAACACTCCCGCTGACAATATCTCCGAAATGAAGAAATTTATTTTAGTCCAGAAATTGGGGTTGTTAGGTCCCTTGAATAGCTTCAAATTGTAGTTAGAATTGTTAGTTCAGATCTTTCTGTATAGATGGCGTGGCGATACTAAAAAATTTTTTGTTCCCTGGAATGTGGAAATGCAGTTCATCTGAAAGACTGTTAAATTTTGAGTAATTTTTGTAATATAGAGTTTTTCCCTATATTTACTTGTTTTCGAAATATGTCCACTTCAATATGCAATGTATGATATAACAGGAAAATATATTATTTTATCTAAATCACACTGAGACAAAATATTCTTTTAAAATATTGTTATAATGACTTTATTCACATCACATACTAACTAACAAACAATAAATTATAAAAAAAAACAAATAATCAACTACAGAAAACAGATTTGTACAATGATAAATCGTATAACTAGTATAATTAAATGGAAAGACACAAACTGATAAAACTGTAATTATTGGAAAACTAATACATATATGTCATCTGTCATTGTTTTGTTTTAAACAAATGACATGAGCCACCTATGACTGCATTTTTTAATAACATTTGATAAAATACGGTTCGTCTCTGCCCCTTAAAAGATTTACTAGTTATAAGATTTACCACAATTAATTTTTTTTCTGTAGTTGATCATTTGTTTTTTTTTTATAATTTATTGTTTGTTAGTTAGTATGTGGTGTAAATAAAGTCATAACACTATTTTTTAAAGAGTATTTTGTCTCAGTGTGATTTAGATAGAATAATATATTTTCCTGTTATATCATACATTGCATATTGAAGTGGGCATATTTCGAAAACAAGTAAATATAGGGAAAAACTCTATATTACAAAAATTACTTAAAATTTAACGATCTTTCAGATGAGCTGTATTTTCACATTCCAGAGAACAAACAATTTTTTAGTATCGCCACGCCATCTATACAGAAAGATTTGTACTAACAATTCTAACTACAATTTGAAGCTATTCGAAGGATCTAACAAGCCCAATTTCCGAAATTAAAATAAATTTCTTCATTTCGGAAATATTGGCAGCGGGAGTGTTAAATGGCACACCCTGTGTATATAAAAAAATATCTACAGTAGAATATATAGTATGTAAATACTTAAAAGTATTATTTTTCTGTTGTTGACACCAATAACTTTTGTCATTAATCAATATGGTAGAAAGAAATGGGCCCAGATGACAACCTAGTAGATACTAAATTTCATTACACTAGTTCTAATAATAAAAAAGGTATAGAAGAAATAATAAAAGTCGAGGAGCGATGTAAATTCACTTTAGTTCTTTTTTTCCACAATTATAAACCACCACATCGGTATCTCTTTCAGTTCAGGTGAACTGTAGGGTGTATAATTTGAAAGTGACGATTGTAATGTAATTAATTTGATTTTTGTTTCTCAGAAGTATAATTTAAAACAATTTTATAATAAGCGGATATTTAGTTTCACACAATTCCTAATCAGTTGAGCAAAAGGAAACAAATTATGAATTTTGATAACAACGCAAGGCAGGACATTTGAGTCACTAAACCCACAACTCAAAATAGGTATGTTTTAATATTTGATATACTTTTGATATCTAAAAGCTATTTACATTTACCAATTTTCGACACAAGAAATTCATAAAAAAATTTGTTAGTTCTATTAATATGTTTTAATACAAAAATTGTGGTTTTTCTAGTTTCTGTAAATTGGCCAAGAAATTGGAAACAATAGAACTGGTTCTATTAATTTATGGATTACTTCTGATTATTTCTAACTACACGTTTATTATGACATGGGGTTCCTTGTCGTCATAATTATATTCTAAAATTAGCTTTAAATTTGACCAACAAATTTAGTAAATATACCTAGCTACTTAGCAACAATTTCTTGAATTTATTACGTTAAAAAATGTTAAGTACCTACTTAAATGTAAAACAGGTTTGTTTAATACAAAATTGGGTAAATTTCAGTAACTTGGAAACAAAATTGTGGATAACAAAACAGTACGCTACACTACTTCTACAATTTTGACACTGCTTTTAAACATTCAAATAGAATATGTATAAGTGATTTGCAGTTATGTTAATCTGGCATAGGTATGTCTTTTTTGATTTGTAATTTACGATACCTAAGCATGACTGATTTTTATTCTAAACTTACAAGTTGATCAATTTAATCCAGTGTGCAAAGAAGCACCACAAATATTAAACTTTGACAAATTTTTAAACAATCTATTGGGTTCGTTATAACACTAACGTTAATTGATTATGTAAAAAAACACATATGGCACGATTTTTTATTTTATATTGGTAATAATTTTAACTCTGCCACCAATATTTACATAGAACAGATAAAAGAGATTATATATAACTTGATTTTACCTTAATAATGTGGCTATTTCTATTAAAAAGGATGCTGTTGCCGCTTTCAATGCCGTTACTTTTGGATGTTTTGCCCAAATCTAGGCCGACAGTGTTGGTGCTCCAAACAGACATGAGTTTCCTGTATCCTAGAATAGAATATATGAAACATATTAAAATAGTAAAGAAGTTTCATTTCAATATAGGTATTAAAATTACTAAAATAATGTTATTGATATAAAGGATATACATATATTATATACTTAATAATAGTGTAAGAATTTGATTATTAAATAATTAGTCAGCTAAAGAGTTATATTTGTTCTGAATAAAGCCGGATCTGTTGATGTTGTAGGTTTGTCACCAGGAAATATTTTCAATAATTGACTTTATTAGGCTTTATCAATTACATTAACATATATAGTTACCATTTTTTATATTTTGTATAATATCCAAGATTAATAGTGTAATTAAGTGTGAGAAAAATAAACCGTGATATATTCTGCAAACAACCACTTGTGCTTAATTAATTTGTTTACGTTTTATCGTATGCAGGTCGACAAGAACCACTAGCAGAATAATTTTCCGTTCGCAGTTCGCATTCGCGCCAGCGTTGCCAGATTGGTAGAGCTAGGTTGTCGGATGCAATTTGATAAATTTTATATTAGGTTTGTTTCTGCAGCTCTATCAAACTGTCTTCAAACTATCAGATATACTCGGCCACTTAAGATGACACATACTTTCAGCGGGTTTAAGGTCACGAACCAATTGGTCATACATCTCTGATAGTTTCAACTGCTGCAGAAACGAAGCTATTATTGTACATGTACCGTATCTTATTAATTTTGTATTGCCAACCAACTTAATGAAAATGAAGACTAGAATAAATAAAAAGAAAATATGAACGACAAACGTATTTAAAAATAAGTTTAATAAAATTTGGTGGGTATAGGAAGGGCAAATATTTAAAAAGTTGTTCGCTAAAAATTTTAGCACAAAGTGTAATACTTATTAGTCCAGTTAATCAGGGTTTTTACATCCTAATTCTTTATAACTGAACCGATTGACGTGAAATTTTGACTGAATGTGGGGAATGCCTCAAGGAACAAAACTTATATAGTGCCGAAGTTTTGTTTTTGTCCTGGGGGTGGTTCCCACCCCTTCTTGGAGGTGGAAATTTTTACGCCCAAAATAACCACAGGAATCGATAGAGGAGTCAATTTTAAATAACAAATGTTATATAAAGTTTTTTTGGATAATCCAATACTTTGCGAGTAATTCGTCATTGAAAATGTTGAGTTTTTACTGAAAAAGTGCTTGCTTTCGCACAGTTTTTTGCAAGTTGTAATGAACAAAAAGAAAGGAACAAATCTAATGGCATTACTTTGTTTTTCTCTAATTGCAATATAAACCGAGTTATGGATTTTTAAACATTATTATGTTAGCTAAAAACTAAATTGGAACCAGTTAACGTTAAATAACGCCAAAACCATAATACCACGCCAAAACAATAAATATTAGGAAAAAAATTATTTGAACCTTTTTTAAAGTACTTTGAAAAAACTTTAAAATGAGCTGTTTTAAAAGTCTTTAGAATCAAAATTAACGAAAATATGATCGAAATAACATTATATAGTCTCATTTTTTTTTAAGAAAAAATTAATAAACAAATCAGTGCATTTGGCAACGGAATTAAAATTAAATACAATCCATTTACAGATTTCTTTATTTATGTTCTAAGAATATGTTCTGGGTCTTTGGCTCACTTACGAAGCATGACTTCGAAAAAAAACTTAATTTTTGAAAATGTTAATTTTTCAAATTTTTGGAAATTTTACGCTGTAACGGCTGTAAGGGCGTACGAAAAAAATACAAGAGTAAAACATTTGCCTTATTTTTGCTGAAGATTTTGTTTTATTTTCGAGCTCTTTAAACCCTTCAAACTTAAAAATGAAGGGCTTAAAAAAGATCAACTCAACATTTCTCGTAGCCCTTACAATTCCCTGCAAAATGAGCCTTTGTGCGATTAAAAATCTTAAAAAGAAAGTTATCGTCAAAAAAATAAACACGTGTATAGGTGATAATTTTAGGAAAATTTAGTCAAACAAGAATTTTGAAGCATTTAGATCTTTTTTGTATATAAACCAGTACTATATTATATTATAATAAGGGAATAAATGTTTATTTAATAAGAATGCACATTCAAAATGTTTCTACTCTTTCAATAATATTTTTTCATTTTATTTTCGAAGGGGTACTTATTTTTCAAGGGTTGAAAAGTTGCAATCGATAAAAAAGATTTTTTAATCAAGAAATCAATTTTAATTTGATAAAAATGTATGATTAAAACGTTTCAAGTTAAAAAAATTTTTTTTTGTATTATTTTCATCCAAAGGGGTGGTTTTTAAAGGTTTTTCCGGGTTGAAAATTTGGGATACACTAAGTTTCATGTTAGATAGCACATGAAATTACTCATACTGCACAAATAAAAAAGATTTGATTATATGTATAAAATGCTTAAATTTGTATATTTTCTTTTTTCCAATAAGGGGTGGTTTTCACCCCTTAAGAACAAAAAGCACATCTAGCGCATATATAAGTTTTGATGTGGGGGGTAAGATGAGTCTAATTCTAAATTTTGAGAAAAATCGATGTAGTTATAAAAAATTCGGAGGTATTACTATATTTTCAGCTTCATAGTAAGTCACACTATTTTTGACATAGTAGCACAACATTTTAAAAGTTTGATTCTCCAATTGTTTTATTCGATATTTCGTCTTAAAATAGTAATAATAATGATAGGTGCATTAATAAAACTATTGGAAAATTTTATTTCATATAAGAATATCTTCGTCATTTTCATACACAAACTGTTACACACAAATAAACATATTATTGTAATAAATGTACACTACATTTTTATTATTATTGATATTTGATTTAAACCAATTAAATTTAAATTTTCTTTCAAAAATTGTAAACACATTAATTTTTTTTTTAAGAAACAATGGAATTTCCGGACTACTTCCCAAATTCCTACTTTTTAAAAAGTAAAATATAACTTAAATTTCAAATGAAGATGCATAATACGTTAAAAAATAATTACAATTGTAAACTATATTAACAAAAAAAAAATAAAAATTATCGTACTGTTTTGGTATTATCGTTATGTATGTACTATAAGCACCGTACATCGTACACAAGATATCGTATAAACACGATAATTATCGTACATCTGACAACACTGAAATCGCACTTCCCAGCCACAGTCACAGTTCGCAGTTTTATGATAAGAAAATTACGCTTCGCCGCGGCGGCTACGGACAAGAGAACGGCTAGTCGGGTAAGAAACGAATGCATCCGAGTCTGAGATCGGACTAGCTCGGCACGTCCGACTAAGGTTATTTTATTCGTTAACAGTAATTAATAACAATTTAATAAGAATATTTATTAATAATAACAGTAGATCAACAGATCATGCATACATCCATTTAAGATATTGACGTATTTAAGACTATAAATAGTTGTCAATAAAAACGTCTAACACATACCTACCAATCGTTGAGTGAGAAATATTCCTCACTCAACGCACATACAAATGTACGCATAAGCGTAGGTAGGATTTTTGCTTGGGGTGAGCCTTTAAGGGCCACCTGGTCAGCCTGTCAGGCTCCCCAAGGGGGGCCGTGACCCCCCTGCCGACCCCATCTACGCGCCTGTATGTAAGTACAAATAAATAGTTTCTACTGTTTTGAAGAAATTGCAAGAAAATGTTTCAAAATATGTATTCTTTTTTCCAATACAAAAAGCAAAAGAAATAATAAAAGCAAAATATTACCTGAATAATCTTTATGTATTTGGCTTTAGACATTTTTAAAAATTACGCCTTATCTACTTTATTTAAGTTACTTTATGAGATTTGGCTTAAGCACAAATGATATTAAAAATGTTTACGAAATGTATAAGCCAATTTTACAATTGATATGAATTCCTGGCAATTGTAGGCAATCTGGTGATTTGCGTGTTGAAATGATGCGTAAGCGAACTACATTTAATTGTAAAGTAATTACTAACGTATGATTCAGCATTCAACTGAAAATGCAGAATAATCCCGAAAATAATAGATTAATATATCTACTTAGAACTGCAGTGTTTAATATAGAAATTAAAATAGTTTTTCCTTACTAAAACGTCTAAAAGCAAATACGAAATTTCAAATAATAATTATAAAAATGTACCAACAGAAGAGACAATGTATATATAGAGTGTTACTTTACTTATTTGATATTACGCAATGTATTCACGAAATAATTTTTTGTCTAATATTAGCAGAGAAAAAGTTTGAAAGTAAATCTTTAGAGGAGACTGAAATATATTCTTTGTTTTTACAGCAAACCCTTCACGTTACCTTTTCCTGTTCCAAAGAAAAACAGTTCTAGCCTAAAAGAACACAGACAGGGCGTGTTGAAGAAAAGTTATTTATTTAACATCACCATTTTCCTCGTTGATCATGCCATATAAACTTGGGAAATCTGAAATTGGAAACATTGTTTCATTAGCACAAACATCCTCTACTTCTACCTATATTTATTCAAAGATGAGAATCATCTACACAATGTAATAGATACCTACGGGCCAAAAGTCAGCCCCTGAACCTTTCTAGAAGAGAACCGAATGTTATAACAACAGTGTAAAGGTATGTTTTACTTGTATCTATCTCAGGAACGTTTACAATGCGTATACTTTTTCATTATAGACTGTTTATTCGATATATTTTCCCATTGCATGTTAAAAGAACACATGTCGTAGCGGCGCATGTGACTAGTTATTTTCAAAATAATTAGGCTCCTCATAAACATGCAATTATATAAAAAAACGTGAATAAAAATGGAGGTCGGCCAATTCAACCTATATTTAAAGCGACAAAATCGATTTGGTGTGGTTGGGGAAGCAACACGGAAATCTATAAGCAACAATTATTTTTCATTTGGCATTATGAAATGCTGTTTATCTTTTAATAACAAATGCATATTATTAAAATACGTATATGTACTTTTTTAATATGTTAGCAATGGTACGTTTTATCTAAACGTGAAAAAATTTCAGTTGCACATGCAGAAAATTGGGTAATTAAAGCTAGCAGCACTGCCATAAAATTAATTACTTATGCGAGGAAAGTCTAGCTAATTACCGCTTTAAAAATAAACATATGAATATTTCTCTCAACCACGTTAATTATTAAAAGTCGGATTTTTATTATTCTGAAACAATGTGTAAAAATAAATAATTATAAACAGTTACCCATAACGAAACATTTACTATATTACTCATGTGAAATAAAATTTAAGCAAGGTATTTTTAATTATTAATAAGGAAACGAGATTATAATTTACATATGCAAAATATTTAAGATTTTTTTTGTTGCATCAGAAAACGTCTAAAAAAATATGCGAAAATCGGGAATAACTAAAAAAATTCTCTCTTTTGCTATTCGAAAATGAAACCATCCGTTTGAAATATGTTTATTTCGTATTGAAAAAGGTAGTAGTTTAAATTAACTTCAAAATATTTTATAACAACAATAATTGTTGAGTTTCCTTTATTGCTATTTATTTTGCAGCTTGCCGTGTGGAATTTGTAGTCACGACATCAAAATCATATGGCATACATATACATGTACATTGTACATACATATAATTTTTCTATTTCTCTAATTATATAATGCATAATTATTATTTGCAGGATCTAAATTACATTATACATTCAGTATGTGTAATATTTAGTTTTCAGAATGAAAAAATGTACGTATAAAGTAACTTTTTCTGAAATACATGCCGATACCTAATAATAAATATATAGTGTTAGAAAAAAGTATATTACATTTCTTTAAATAAGCAAATCACCTAAAATACAGTGTTATGTTATATCACATAATTATTTAATTTATTAATAAAAAAACTCGTAGAATACTTGTCGAAAAGGCGGAGATATCACTTAACAATTTTCTCGTTCCTTATCTTCAATCCTCGCGACTACGCCCTTGTACAGGAAATTGCGATTTATATACAACTTTATTTTCAAGTGTGCCTAAAACTTGAATTGTTCTACAACGTAATCAGTGGAAATTTGTAATCTATTTCCAATTTGCTGAGGAAGTGAAACAATAGAAATTTATTAATTTTTACCGGGTTTTATATTTGGCACTCGGGTTATTCCAAGAATGTCTCATCAGTTTCTCTTTAAGTTGGGAATTTGAGAAGATTTAAATAGCTTGTTATGTAAAAAAAAATCAGAATTTAAATGCCGAAATTTTCAGCCTTCAGTTAAAAAATACATTAAATTGAAAGGAGTTGGCCTTTTCGTTGTTCAAGATAAGGAACACAAGGTCAAGATTAATAGTTTAAGTATACTCATTAGTCATTAAACAACACAATTTTATTAGTTATATCAACGAAAAATGACTTAATCTTTTAAACAGAATACAGAAGCTTTAACTATAATAGCAGCCATAAAAAATTTTTTCGAAAACTGCCAACAAAAGTCGACATTTTCGTTATATTTTCCATTGTCACCTAACTGCAAAATACTTTTTTGTTCTAGAACGCCAAAGTCATGTAGAACATAAAACAAATAAATGTCAAAATAATTTGTCATTTTTTCGACACTTATTTATGGTTTTATTAATTAAACAATATACATTCTAAGTGATATACAACATATCAATACAAAACAGTAATTATTATAAACAGGACAGTTACAATTTATTTTGCACTACATGTAAATTGAAAGTACCGATATAGCAGTGTTAAATTTTTGCTAGATCCAGTGCTGTCAGTTATCGTAGCTTTTAGTTCTGGGTGTTCAATGATCGATGAGAATTGAGGCTGCTGAGGTAATTGTTTAAGTTTACTGTGCTACTGCGCACGTTATATTATTGGCAAATTCCGTAGGGTCTCCTTAAAATGGTAACAATTTTTATGCGATTGAAATTTTATTTTGTATAAAATCTCCTATATGTATATGTTTCTGGAATTCTGGATGAGGCAAATTAAGATAAGTTGCTATTTCTTTTGGGATATTCCTTATTTTTTTTAACACATTGTTCCCTAACATATACCTACTTCACAAAATACAAAAAATTTCGGAGTATGAGTTTTGAAATCGGGAATCTTATAATATTAATTGAATGTTTGTCTTCTATATCATTCATCGATTGTTATATTCAGTAGCTCCATGTCTTTTCTCAAAGCTCCACAAACGCCAATTATTAAAATGACCGGAAAATTTGTCTAAACTTAGTTAAATCGATCGAGTTATATTAATTTGAATTATCTTTTCCAGCAGAAATCTATTATCAGGTGCTTCTTCTAACAATCTTTCAATTTCCTCTTTCGTTAGAATTATGGACTTTTTCGGACGGTATCCAACTGATTTGCTTTTCAAATATGGTGTTACTTTTTGGAGATTTTCTGATATTTACATTTTTTTGGCATTCGGTGTACTTTTTAACATGGAATATACTAAACATAACGTCGAAGGTTTAATTTTATTAATTTTATGTTCGAAATATGCCAGTAATACCGCTTTGGACACTTTTTGAATTTTTTTCGAACTACACCACCCTTTCAATTCGTTGTAGGCAATCTCGTACTGTCTCGACGATTTTTCGAGGTAATTTTGATAGTGGATTGATTTTATGTTCTTTTTCGGAAATTAAGAAATATATAGGGTGTTCCATTTAAAATAACGAAGTTGACAGCTACTTCCGGTATAACCGGAAGTGCTACAACATGGTACTATTTTATTTAAAGAGAGCACCCCCGAAAATATCCCAAAGCCTAAACTTTAAAAATTGAAATCGAAGTAGTCTCTGAAATATTCTAATGGGCCGTCACCCTATGCGTAAGACAGCCTGTATATGACCTGGCACATTATGATAATTGTTTAGTTCAATGAAATTACCTTGCCGTTTTTAATATCTAGAAAGGCGTTATTAATGAGTCATAAAAACATTTGCGACTTGATAAAAAAATGTACAAATTGTACAGTACAATACACACAAAAATAGACCAAAATAGACCACAGGTTATATATTTACATGCATTCACAATCTAACCTTTCCGAAGTACGACTACCCAGCCAAAATTAATTTGGCCGTAAACAAGAATATCTGGCATTTCTATCATTGGAATGGAAATATCAGCGGCGTCACGCGTATGTCACGGACCATGCACTTACCTTTTTCAGTCGGATTTCCAGGTAGTTTCACTAAAACCGCGAAATCTTTACCTACAAGAAGTGTTAAAACAGAACTATCGCGATCGTTCTTCGCGTGGGTCATATCGCGCGGACGCGATAGGCACAAGCGAACGGAGACTAGCGGTTTCCGAGTTCTCCCACCAAGCTCTGGTCCGGTGCTACTGGTAGACGGGCCTCGCCTCGAGCACGGCGCCCAAGATTTTTGAAACAATCACTCTAACATTAGACCGGATTTCCATTGAACTTTTTTTAGTTTGGGACGCGTAGCTTGGATCCCCGAAAGGGGTGGGGAGAGCCACGAAGATGCTATAAGGTGGACTCATTACTTACGTACCGACTCAATTTTTTTTTAACTATATCTAGGAATATTTATTCAGTTCCATCTGCCTTCGTGTTTGAATTAGATGTAGCCCATTATCCGTAATTACTTATTTCTGGCATTTTCCCCGTACGGCAAATGAATATTTTAACAATATTTTTAAAATGTTATTTGTCAAATACCTATTAAAACATTTTCAAACAATTTTAAAAATATTTTTAAAACATTGTTGAGACCAAAGGATCAACATTCTGGAAACTTTAGCAGATGGTTCGAACTTGAATAAATTATTAAAATAAATATTTATAGGTACATTCACATTTCTCAATATTTAATTAAATGTCTGCTTAATATTCATTCCATTTCATATACATACAATGTTTATTCAATTATTGTAGTAACCCCGCTAATTATAGAGGATACCCTACAGGGATTTTGGCCGATGTGTTTTAACGATATTTTGTGGTAGCTATGTGTACTTGTACTTGCAAAGGAAACATATGTGTGCCGTAAATATTATTATTTCACGTTTCATTTATCTTTGATCTTACAAGTTACAATCTTTACTAGGTATTTTAAACCCGATTGTAAAGAATTGGTACGCCAAAACATCAACGAAAGTTATGATTACGCGCTTAAAGCAAAAAAAGACGTGTTCTGTCAATCAATCAATCATTTGTAATGTTTGTTTTGCGTTTTCTTTAAATTCCATGTCATTAAGTTTAATGATTTACACGTTTTCGTAAAAAGACTACTATCTACACGTTGTTACTATGAAAATGGCATCGGATTTTCAATATTATTTTATTTTATTTGCATCTGCGTAACCTGTGACATTTATCTTAATACTATTTGAAGTTAGGCATTTAAAATTAATGGAATTGAATTTATAATACAATACAGAAACTTAATATTATATTTCTTTCTAATTCTATATTTGTTTCTGCAGTAACTCTAAATCTATTTCTACGAAATTACGAATGCATGTACACCGATAAAATTAAAATTTAGTTATACGATATAATAGGAATAGGTCTCGCTACGGCCAGATATCAGCGTAAAAAGTTGGTGCGCATGAGCAACACTGCACATTTTGATTCTCACTTGTTTAAATTGTTTGTTGTTGTTGTTTGTGTTTGTCTGTAGTGTAGCGCGTTATGGCGCGTAGGTTGTGTTTTGCTTCTTCACATTGTTAAAAAGTAAGGTTAGAAAGATGCGAAAGTTTGTAGTTGTGAATATCTGTTTATATTTCGCATTATGAATGAATTTTGGTTTTTTCTTACCATTATGTGTAATAGTTACCGTGGATTTTGAACTCAAGACTATTTGTGAGTGACTAAAAGCTTTTTCCTGTGATGAAAAATTTGTGACGAGTTGTTATGGAGTCGTTTTCCTTTTGTGAGAAAAAGACTACCTTCAGGTTAATTTCAAGATACAAGACGCTTTGTTGGTAAGTCATGTTTTGAGTATGTTGATAAATTGACTTATTTGTAAATTCTTTGCGTAACTTCTATAAACGGTAGTTATTCTTTGCGATACTGATAAGTGATAACTACTTATATTTGTTGTTTTTCACTTAACCGAAGGTACTAGTAAATTTGTTACAAGATATAGGTATTTCATATTTCTTACAACTTTCAGTAATTTTGAATCTATAAATTGTGAAAACTGCATAAAGATAGGCCTATTTTGATATTAATTTGTGTATATAAAATGGATGCCCCTGCAACCCTGCATTTCGAAATTATACCTAGGTACATACATATCTACATATTTATGTAAGTAGGTCTAGGTAGATCGTCAAATTACGAATCATCGTAGAATAAATACTCATACTGTCAAATCTACATTTATGTTACTAATGATATACATTGGTTGTAACAAGTAGGTATGGGTGATAGGTTATTAAATGCTTAATAAGAGAGAAAGATTTGATTGAAAAAATGTTTTGTAAAAATTTGAAGGATTATTTTTAATACGTATCTAAAAAGACCAAAATATTCACTCTTTTATGTGAAACCGTGTCTGTCATCATCCAAAATGTATGAATGTTTTATATTTTTTATTGGTTTAAATGTGTCCTTGAGTATTTGCCATATCTAGGTATTTTTAATATTAGTTTCAAATTCTTGTAAATACTTTTCCAAAAAATCTAATTTAAAATTTCTACGAGAAATTTAAATGAAACATTAGTTTCTTAATAATCGATTCTAAAATTATCCGGTTCCAGTCAGCTTATTTAAGTTTGATAAAAACTAATCGCTGTTAGAGAAAATACCAAGGAAAATATCTATGAATAGTAAGCGGAAAATCTGACTGGATTTAAAAGATGTTGCTCATAAAAGTCAAGTTATTTACACGATACTGTTTTGACAGAATAAAAAATCATTGAATACCAATGTTTAGAAAAAAATATGCGAATATAAGTAAAAACTTTTTACTATATTACACGATAACTAAAATTTATTAAGAAAAATAATCTATATTATTATGTCCACCTCCGTTCGGATATGATTATAGGTATCCCGGGAAGAAACCTCGGAATTAATTCAGTGAAAAAGCTTCAGTAATATTTGAATAAAACTGTCGGTAATAAGTTAATAATAGCTTCGTTCTTAGGGCAATCCAAAACAGTTAGACGCATGCGCATTGATTTTTATGTTAATTTACAGTAAGTAAATCGATACTAAATAAACAATAATGAACATAATACTCCAATATTATAAAATACATTTCTTGTATTTAATACGCACAGCAATTTTTCTGTAGAAATATTGACGTGTAAACTGTAAAACCAGGGTAGCAGGGTTTTTTATACAAACGTTATACAGGGTGGGCCACCAGTAACGCCTCGGTCGCTAGTGACCAAACGGCAAATGTTACAGAAACCTGTTTAGGTGGGTATGTGTAGGTTGATTACGGCTACATTTTAAAAATATTTTGAGATATACAGGGTGTCCAGGAAAAGCGTACCATATCAAAGTTATGTTTTTTTAAATGGAACACCCTGTATTTTACTGCATTTTTGAAAGCACCGTAAAAAAATAGGTGAACTTTATTAAAGGTTCTGCATACCTAGGACTTACAGTTTGTGAGATATTTCAATTTTAGTGAAAATGCAGGCATAGCGTAGAAATTTAATATTAGCAATAAAAAAATAATTTTAAGGAAGCAGCTTTGGAGGGTCTATTTTAGATCCTTGAAGTTATAAATTGTTATATTTGTCGTCACTTAGTATTATACAGGGTGTTCAAAAAACTGCTGAATACTTCTCTCAACTTTAAACAGCAATAACTTGGTTATTTTAAATGGAACACCCAGTATATTTTTACTTTGGGAGTTGGGAAATTTAAAACTCTTTCAAACTGTGTATAGGTTCCCTATACCTATCTCTAACGGTATTGGAGATATTTGTGCCGTTTCGTTTTTTATCGATTTTTTTTGTAAGATGTATCCACGTGTCTTTATCGAGGTCTTTACTGAATTGGTTTGGGTTCTTCTTGATGACGTCTCTTTAAATATATTGAGAAAAATGAGGATGCAATTAGATGGCGCACCTGCAAATTTTTCATATTCAGTGAGAAATTATTTAAATCGAAAATTTAGTAATAAATGGATAAGTAGGAATGGTGCATGTCAGTGGCCACGTAGGTGTCCAGACCTCACCGTAATGGACTTCTTTGTTGCGAGCTATATAAAAAATCTTGTATACAATGTTCCACCTATTACTTGCGATGATATTGGAGGGAAGGATTAGAGATGCATTTGCGTGAGAATATCATTTGAAGATAGAATAAGATGCTGTATTCAGGAGAATGGTTATCAATTCGAACATCAATTAAAATTTTTCTTTGTTTTTTCTAAAAGTAAAAGTTCCTTTTATCATTATCATGAAAATATTCAAAAAAGTTTTCTAATAAAAAATATTATTTTATAAGCAGAATAATTATAAAAAGTTATTAATTTTGTATAAATATGTTTGTAGTAAGTAACTGAATTATTTATGAACATGAAAAATATTTATTAAAGAAAATTTTACTTTTAGAAGAAACAAAGAAAAATTTTAATAGATGTTCGAATTGATAACCATTCTCTTGAATACAGCATCTTATTCTATCTTCAAATGATATTCTCACATTCCTTAGAATATTTGGGGTGATTGTGGCAAATGCATATCTAATCCTTTCCTTCATATCATCGCAAGTAGTAGGTGGAACACTGTGTACAAGATATATTTTTATACAGCCCGAAACAAAGAAGTCCATTACGAGAGGTTTGGACACCTGTGGTAGCCACTGACATGAACCATTCTTACCTACTCATTTATTACTTAATTATCGATTTATATAATTTCTCACTGAATATGAAAAATGTGCAGGTGTGCCATCTATTTGCATTCACATTTTTCTCCTTATATTTAAAGAGACGTCATCAAGAAGAACCCAAACCAATTCAGTAAAGACCTCGATAGAGACACGTGGATACATCTTACAAAAAAAATCGATAAAAAACGAAACGGCACAAATATCTCCAATACCGTTAGAGATAGGTATAGGGAACCTATACACAGTTTGAAAGAGTTTTAAATTTCCCAACTCCCAAAGTAAAAATATACTGGGTGTTCCATTTAAAATAACCAAGTTATTGCTGTTTAAAGTTGAGAGAAGTATTCAGCAGTTTTTTGAACACCCTGTATAATACTAAGTGACGACAAATATAACAATTTATAACTTCAAGGATCTAAAATAGACCCTCCAAAGCTGCTTCCTTAAAATTATTTTTTTATTGCTAATATTAAATTTCTACGCTATGCCTGCATTTTCACTAAAATTGAAATATCTCACAAACTGTAAGTCCTAGGTATGCAGAACCTTTAATAAAGTTCACCTATTTTTTTACGGTGCTTTCAAAAATGCAGTAAAATACAGGGTGTTCCATTTAAAAAAACATAACTTTGATATGGTACGCTTTTCCTGGACACCCTGTATATCTCAAAATATTTTTAAAATGTAGCCGTAATCAACCTACACATACCCACATAAACAGGTTTCTGTAACATTTGCTGTTTGGTCACTAGCGACCGAGGCGTTACTGGTGGCCCACCCTGTATAGGTACTACAAATTCTGTCGAATGAACAGGTATACACTTCGTGTCAAATCGGCGAAGAATTCTTACCAACGTATGGTATGTTGCATATACGAGCACGGGAAACTTACACCTGTCTTTACCCCTACCAAATACAATATTTATCTAAATTAATATGCTGCAAGGTAAGCAAGCGAGTTTACCAACATTATGCCTCGCTTCTTGCGACAGCGATTGGTAATATGCCAGTTTCCAATTGACCACTGTCGCGTTTCGGAAGGCTTGGTGTAATCTTCGAAACGAAATTTGGGTTAGCCACTCTGGAGAAGCTTTGGAATGGCACCTTCGAAGATATCGCTGGATGACGATCAGAAATTTGCTTTGATGAAAGTACGTATACCTGCAGTTTATCAGATTATTTTATTAGATTCTTATTAGCAATTTTACTATTCAAAATAATTGACAAAAAATAATCTTGCAATATTTTTAAATTTTAACATGTCTGGTGTCAAAACATTTGAGACATGGATTAGAAAAATGCATTGTCGGTTTTAATTTAAAAAGTCTTTTCTATATTTGCTATATTTTTTAAAGTGTGGTGTTACAAATATAAAACAATTGTTTTGTTAGCGAAATATCTCATAATTTTTGCTTCAATTAAACTATAGATTTATTTAACATATTATTTTTTTGGGAGATAAACATAAATTTGATTTTAAATAAATATACTTTGTTACGCTTGCCCAAAAGTTTCCGAAACATCTTAAAAATTCAAAAATATTCGAAGAATATTAAAGTGAAACAAGATCTAAAAAAAATGCCATGAAATTTTGAAAATAAATATTAATCCCTCACAAAACAATGATAATTTATTTGGTATAAACGCGGAAATACAATATTTAAACGTGTTGTTTATTTAACAGCGAAGTGAATAATAAACCTATACAATATAAAGAAAATCGTTTCACACATTTATTCATAAAAACGTTCCCGGTAAATTAAAAATTAACACGTACGGTGTGTATATTTTTCCCCATTATTAAATGGTCAATAAAGCTATCATAAATTTTCCAATATTATATCCAGCAAGATCTAAACAAAACAAAAACTGATTCCAATGAGTGTAATAATAACAGTGAATTATTCGTTACGCGAGCTCGGTTTCAATTCAAAATAAACAAACGTACACAGTGGCGTGTCTAATGACTGTTATTGCCGTTTATTAATAATAAAATAAATAAATATTGGCATTACTATTAGAAAAATTATATTTGTGTACAAAATATTTATATTTATTTTAGAGATCAATAAGTAGTTTTGCTGACTGCTGATATTTGTTTGGTAAAACCTGTTTTCAGGTGCGATCTTTCACGTATACAGAGTGTAATTAAAACGCTTGGCCAAATTTTGCGGGTTGTGTCGGGAATTATTGAAAAAAGTTCTTATAAACTTGTATCGAGATATGGGACGTTAAAGTTTTAAGAATATATTTTTTGCAAATCGGCTGCAGTTTTTCATTATTCAATAACGTGTGCGTAAATATATTTTTTTTAAAACGAAGGGAGTTATTAATTTTCGCCCCCACCTGTTTTTTTCCAAATTATTTCAAATTCGACACCCGTTGTAATAATACAATAGTAAATGTTCTATAGTGATATAACTTTTATTGCTAAAATGTTCTTGTTTTCAAGATAAATGATAAATATTAAATATTTCCTCTCCAGAAGGGATCGTGGTAACCCCTTTTAGTGTTGGTTCTTGGCCATTGGGTGACATAGCGTGACAATATGCTCGTGGGCTTTATCTTCTGTGCAAATGGGTGACATCGCAATCCGCATTGCGTTTTTACCCCATCTATACATGGGTCTGAAATGCTAAAAAAAGGAGTAAAATCTGGCTAAACAAACAAACCATCTGCCGGGGTTTTTATGATCGGAACTTCATACATAATAACCACGCTTTAAAGTAATTGGTGCCAAAAAGTTTTAAAAATATTGATAATTTCTTTAAATAATTGTTGGTGTCCCCTGGTTGTACCTACTTTTCTCTTTTGGTCTGGTTAGGTCAGAAAATATAACAAAACACTTTATCGACATTTTGTCCTTTTTATAATAACATCTGTATATATTTTAATATAAGAATATATAATTTATAAAAAAATAATGTAGGTACAGTAAGTTCAATCTTAATAGTCTTCCTCTTCGCTGGTTTCCGGTTTTTCTCGGATCAAATGAATGGTCTCTGCTTCCAATGCTAACTTTCTTATATTGGCCAAGCATCCTGCCGCCGCTTCCTGCAGTTTCCAATCCGTAGATGAGACCGCCTTCAGCAAGTAGGCAACCACTCCGCTCTCGTGCATCGTTATGCAATTGAAGGGGTTCTTTGAAAGGTGGAAAAGGGCTAGGGCCGTCGTCCGGTGGACGTTGGGGTCTTCGTCCGCCATGTACTGGACCAGCGGCGTGATGGCTCCCAACCTGAAATCGAGAAATACTCGATTCAGATGTGTTACGGTTATCGAAACAACAGTTTGGAATACATAATTAACAGTTTGGAATGCCTGTATAGCGTGATGTGTCGCGATAATAATTAATTGTGGATGTTTCAAATATGAATATCGTAATACATATAACTATATCGCAACTTATTTGGATAAATTTGGTTATTGTACGTATTTTGACTCGTGGCATTTATATGAGAACTTCCCCAGCCGTTATGTTCTGTATATTTGCAGATTTCACTTGTCCTTGTAACCCATTACATCATTCTATGTTAATTGCTATTTTTATTTCATAAAAATTGAGGTATATTTGTTAATAACAACTTTTAAATAAATTTCCAGTGTACTGGCGACCTGGTACAATTACTCATTTTAATTAGTTATAAAAGGTGCACAACTAAAATACATTTTTTTTAATAACTTCAAAATAGCTGAGAAAATAGAAATGACACTTGGCACAGATCTTTACATTGTCGATTACAGGGAGGCAATTTTTTTTTTTTTTTTTTCATTCACTGGCAGTGATGCAGAGGGGTAGTTCGAGATCTTTTTAAATTATTGGTGGTACTTTTGGTAAAATAATACGTTTTTCTGAAAGAACACCTTAAAATATATAAATTAGGCCAAGCAAATAAAATTTTTACCCGAAAAAATTCCTATCCGCGATATTATTGTAAAATTGTCTAAAGGAATATAATACAAGACGTCATGTCTCATCTCGTGAGTAAAAAACTTTTATTAGCTAACTTTTCTATTTAAACAAATAAGTGAGGAAAACAGTTTTTTCACTTTGCAGGGAAAACCATCAATTGTAGCGAAAAGTAACTCTCAGCCAACTTGTAGGAAGTAAAATTATCTTCAAAATGAGACTTGTTAAATTAAAATCGGTTAATAAACAAAAAAGTTATTGCAAAAAAACAAGAAAAGTGCCCATTTTTTAATTTGTTTATAACTATCGCATTTATTGTTAAAATTTTATAAAACCTATGACAAGTTGAGGGTTTTGTCATATTTCAAAAGTGTGCCAGAAGTGGGCGCTGAAGGTGCAATAGTTTTCACACAATTCTATTTGTTTTATAACGGAGGCTCCAAAAGTTATGAACCTTAAGCCTCTGTACATGCGTTAATTTTCAACCAAACATGATTCTAAAAGCGTTATTGTAATTTTAAGACGTAATTAAGCGACCTATTAAAAAATATCACCGTTTTTTTGACATTAACATTCTCTAATTGTGCATTAAAAAACCGTGCGTTTTTCGCTTATAAACAATTTGAATAAAATTGTTGCTATTTATGCTACCTCACCGAAAATAGATGCAATGGATAGCTGGCAAAAAGATGCGGTTTTTCTGAGGTTCAGGGCTATTCTACGAATTCGTAATATGCCCATTGTTATTTTTTCGTCGACCTACCCCAGTTTAAAAAAAAAGAAGTTTCTACGATGAATAGAGAGATATTGCAAAATTTACAGCGCTCATCAATTTGAACTTGGGGAGAAAAACATCCACTTCCCCTTCAAAATCTTCACCAATTATGACTGAAAAAAATTTTTTCTCGCACAAAACAGCTTATTTATGAGTAGTAAATGCTTACAAAAACTGTTTTCTGTACGATAAACGGTTCCGGAGATATTCGCAAAAAACGAATTTTTTTTTACAATTTCAACAGCCTGTATTTCGAAAATTGTGCATTTTAGAGGGTAAGTTAATACAAACTTTTTTTCAAATTTTTGGAGGAGCTATCACATCCTGAAGTCCTGCCCATATATTATGAAACACCCTGTATAATAAAAAAAAAATAGTTAATTTAAATCGGTCATTTTTTTCTTGTCTTAATTGGAAATTTTATTTTACGTGTATGAATTCCAATGATTTTGCGTCCTCTACTAGACCATTGCCAGATTAAGCGATTTCTCACAAATTACAAGATTTTTCGTTACTTGTAAAAATAATTTGTATAGGTACCTAAAATATCAATTAAAACCGTATCATTTAAATTTTGAACTAGAAACTTAACATTTTATGGGCTGGTACTGGACGACATTTACCAAAATAACCTTTTTAATGTATGAACCAGTAATTACTAACACCTGATTTTCAATTTGTAAATAGATATTGTCTAACAGTTGCAGTTAAATTAAATAAACAATTAACTATTTACTGGTATTCATGTTAAAACGAAAAGTTGCATTGTCAAATTGGATTCCACTATCAAAACTAACACAAGGGGACACGTTTTCTTTGCGAGACGTCATCCTATTAATAATAACTTGGAGAAAAATACTAGCCTCCCGAACTCCTTGCAGTTGGATCCCCACGCGCAGCAGTACGCTATCGCCGAGGCTAGGTGCTGCCTCAGCTCCACGTCCTCGGTGTCCACCAGGTCCACCAGCATGGTGACGGCGCCATGGTCCGTGATCACCGCCAGGTTCTCGATGTCTTTGGCCACCTCTGCGATGGCGGCGCACACGCACGCCAGCACGTGGTTGTCACGGGACTTCAGCAGGTTCACTATGAGCTCTAGCCCGCCCACGAAACTCCTCACCATCTCCCCCGAGTCTGTGGCGTTCTTTATGCAGGGGACGAGGGACCAAGCGGCGTTGGCTTGGACCTGGAAGGTGTACGAGATGTGTCTAACCTCAGGAAAATATTAAACAAAAGACGTCGCGGCTGTTATCTCGATGGAAACTTCTCTTAACTTTTTTATCTGGATAAGTCATCAAGTATCTCAGCTTTAATGGAAACCTAAGTGAAAAGACTTCTAATTCTGTCACGTCTTTAGCTCTGACTGTTAACGAAATTCTGAGGTGGGACAATAGCCCCCCCTTTCCCCCCTAAACGGCGCCCATACTATGAAATAATTGCACTGTGCCAAATTTTAAGTCTGTATTTTGAATAGTTCCTAATTGATCTAAAACTCTGTTCGCACTCAATCTCGATGACGGTAAAGGTAAATAACGAGCATGAAACATGACTGAAATGAGTGTGTTGTTTACTATAGTCAACGGATTAGAATAAATCAAGACGCCACTGAATCTTTAACTTGATTGGAAGCGTTGAGAAAGGTTTAGTCCGGGCGAATTAGGTTTCAAAAGTCGAATTTTATGGGCTTAAATTAAGTAAAAAATACACAGACCAAAAGCCTAAATTTGTGTATTTGCAGAGGTCGAGCGTCATATTGTTTACAACAAAAGAAAAAAATTGCTTTTTTTTTTTGTTTTTCGCTTTTATCTTCGAAAATAATTTTATTCTAAGGAAATTTGCTACAAGCATAAACTTGCGAAAGTGAAGTCTTCTATTTTACAACGAGGCCAAGTTTATTACAAAATATTAAATAGAACGGCCAGAATCCCGTAAAAAAATATTATTTCAGCTCCTATTGGTCAGATCGAGAAGCTTTTTTTTATATTCATGTTTTTTATGCACTACATATTTGATGCAATTGGTTTGAAATCTGTATATTAAAAACCGCCGAGATAAGTACCTTAGTTAACGTTTTTTTTTAAAATGTTTTGTTAATATTTTTATTTTGCAACTTAAAAATCTGAAATTGAGAATGTAATTACCTTTCGAACCTTTTTTACCGAATTTCGATATCTTGATTTGGGCAGATAAAAAAAATTTTGCGAGCTTTCGCAAAAGCCTATCCTTGTAGCAAATTCCCTCAGGAACAAAATCGATAAGCATACTTCATGTCGATTAGAGGCTTATTGTCGAAGATATAAGCGAAAAACTCAAAAAAAGAGCAATTTTTTTTCTTTTGTTATAAACAATATGACGCTCCACCTTTACAAATACACAAATTTAAACTTTTCTTCTCTGTATTTTTTACTTAATTTTAAGCCCATAAAATTCAACTTAGGCCCGATTTTTGCAACAGGTATGATGAGTTTAGTCTAATTCGACCGGAGTAGTTTATTAAAAACATTTTATGTTAAAACTATTTTCTCTTTTATATAACACGTAGATCGTAGATAGTGAAGGATATTTGTGTGCAGGTCATTAACCGCTGTGGCGAGAATTGCACGATTTTCATGAATTTTGATTGTTTATAAACAGAAAAGAAAGCCACCGGGGGGGGGGGGGGGGTGTTTTGCAATATACTCGTACATACAAGCACCTTTGTCATTTGAAATTGATATTCGAAGGTGTAAGAAAGTAAATTTTATTTTAAATCTAAACGTTTGACGCGATGGTGTCACTTCCCTTCTTACCCACCTTGGGAGAATCGTTCTTCAGCAACGACCAAATGAGCCTCACCCCATCCAACTCCTCTATTATCCTCATGGAATCCTCGTCCTCTGCGCATTCCCTCAGCACCATGGGTACGTTCTCCAACAGCGGGGGATAGGTGTAGTTCAGAAGGTTCACCAGGTGGGGAATGCCGTCCGCCCTCCTCAGGGTGGCACGGTTGTGTTCGAACTTCAGGCACTCGCAAAGAGCCCCCACTACGTTGCTGAGGACCCGTTCGTCTTCTTCCACGTTTTCCAGCAGCTTTACCAGGACCTAGACAAGAATAATATGTTGGGGGTTATCAAAAGTTATTTTTCTCTTACAATTATAGTATGTTTATTAACTGGGACTTAATGTAGCTTTTAAAAACGAAATAGTGAAATATGGGAAGTCTGGGTTTAAAATTTGGGTCCGGTTCTATCACTTCTACCGTTCATCATCGTAATTTCATTGCTGAAAATTAGTTTTTAAAAATTTCGACGTAATTGTAAATTACAAAACACGACCACTTTTCGGAAAAGTTCTCCTTTTCTTTAAATCCAGGATACGAAGGGTTCTAGTCACTATGTTTTCCAATATACAGGGTGGGCCATTAGTGTGAGAAAGTAAAATAACTCATAACTTGTTACTCATAATACAGAAAAAAGTTTATATAAAAGTTATACAGAATCAAGAAACCTAAACTACAAAATTAATTTGATACGTACAGGGTGATGAATAAAAACGGGACATGCCAAATATTACATTTTTTAAATGGAACACCCTGTATATTTTTAAATATATGGATTTCCGAGAAAATTCTATATATGGCAATATCAACAGTATATCATTTTAGTGCGGGGTTGCCAAGTTATGTAGAAAATTCTTCGAATTTTTGGAAAGAACATGCCTCGAAGAAGTTGTATTAACTTTCAACTACTAACACTTGGAGCAAAAATATTTGATAGAGTTATAGGCAAATATTAGGCTAATATCGATATTTTATGCAGGACATTTTTTATAATACGATCATTTTTAGAAAGTTTAAACTTGATTTTCTAAAATTTTTCAAATGGAACACCCTGCATTTTATTATTCTATTTTATTCACATATCGGTCCACTTCAACTTTTATTAAGCATTTTCTAAAATCTAAAATTCTATCTAAAATTGTTAGTTTTTAAGGTACAGCAATATTTCTGAAAAAACTTAATTTTTATTATTTTATAGAATACCACAAATAAATATTAACTAATAAAATTAACTCAAAATGGAATGATAAATTAAGAACTGACAAGTTGACACAATGTGACAGTTTTTTCCAAAGCCATTTCGTGCGACCGAAAATAATAAAAATTAGGTTTTTCCAGAAATGTTGCTATATCTTACAAACTGACAACTTTAGGTGTAGAACATATTTAATAAAAGTTGAAGTGGACTGATATATGTATAAAATAGAACAATAAAATACAGGGTGTTCCATTTGAAAAATATTAGAAAATCAAGTTTGAACTTTCTTAAAATGATCGTATTATAAAAAATGTCCTGTATAAAATATCGACATTAGCTAATATAGGAGTCTTTGCCTAACATTTGCTTATAATTCTGTCAAATATTTTTGCTCCAAGTGTTAGTAGTTGAAAGTTAATACAACTTCTTCGAGGTCATTTCTTTCCAAAATTCGAAGTAGAAGTTGGCAACCCCCCACTGAAATGTTAAACTGTTTATATTGCCATATATAGAATTTTCTCAGAAATCCATATGTTTAAAAATATACAGGGAGTTCCATTTAAAAATTGTAATATTTGGCGTGACCCGTTTTTACTCATCGCCCTGTGTGTTTCAAATTAATTTTGTTTGTAGCTTTTTTGATTCTGTACAACTTTTATATAAACTTTTTTTCTGCATTATGAATAACAAATTTTTTGTCATCCAAAGAAAATATTTGAATTAATAAAATTTGCGACCAAATGTGTAACATTTTTATTTATAAAATTAGAAAAAAATTCTTCTAGTAATTTTTACATGTCTGAATACCAAATAACGACAAATTAGATATATTGCTGGATTTGTGGTGTAGGAAAAATGACATATTTTAAAACAAATGCAATTTTTGAAAAATACGTTAAATTTTTGGTTGAATTTCAGTTGTATTAATTTATTTTGACTGAATTTAGATTTCAATAATCAAACAAAAGCAAACATTTTTTAAATACAAACGTGAAATGTTTTTCTAAACTTTTTTTTTTTGTAATTGTGTTAAATACCTTTGCACCAAAACTACAAAAATCAGGAAACATTATTTCGACCAAATGATTAAGAATTTTTTTATGGGAAAGGACATTAACTCCATATTTGATATTGATAAATGTTCTACAATCTAAAAAATATTTAAGGGGCCCAAAATAAAAACAAATGAACAAAAAAAATGACTAATTTTTTTTTTAACATCAACCGATACTAAAATATACATAAATTCAGTCAAAATAAATTCATACGATTTGGCCGATAGAGCCTATATTTTTTGAAAACCTATCTAAATAATATTTTTTTTATCTACAATTTAATCCTAATTTTGAGGATTGCTTTTTTCAACTGGCCTCCTTGCAATTGGAATTAATAAATAGGTATTATATAAAACAAAATTATATACAGGGTCGGAAAGTCCCCATGGTTCATCGGCCGTTACGTGAGAGCGATAAAGCAAGTCATAGAAATCCGTGCGATAGAGAAGGATGGCTATAATGAAGGCGTCTCATAGTCACCGCCCGTTTCGCCCTTCCACAAATAAGATCTACTTCCACTTGTAACTTCTCAGTAGGGGAAACAAGGTCACTAGATTTACAAACAGAGGTATCTACTAGCTACTGTAAAAAGTTTTCTTTGTTACGCGTTGTGCTGCCCTCTGTTAACGGATGGTGTTAACATATCGGAATACCGAAGTCGAAATTGTATAAGTAGTGACATCTATTAAAGAAAAGCCAAACGACGAAAACAAAGATGACCACCGGTCGCTGAATTACAAGTGGAAGTGGATCTTATTTGTGGAAGGGCGAAACGGCCGGTGATTATGAGACGCCTTCATTATAGCCATCCTTCTCTATCGCACGGATATCTATGACTTTCTTTATCGCTCTCACGTAACGGCCGATGGGGACTTTCCGACCCTGTATATAATTTTGTTTTATATAATACCTATCTATTAATTCCAATTGCAAGGAGGCCAGTTGAAAAAAGCAGTCCTCAAAATGCAGAAATAGTAAGATCTTTCTATCGTGGGTATTTACGTATTGTTCTTTGTCAAGGGTGAAATTAAAACCACAAAATTCCGAATATTTCTTTGAACGATTATATTATTTAACAATTTCAGTATCAGCTATGTGAATGCCAGTTTCAATGACCACCCTGTATGCGTAATTATTATTGTGGTTCAATGTGACAGTGTTAAAGTGTGTTTATTGAAACAAACTTTAATTTTCTTTAGTCACCTCATTCATTATCAGTTTTCATAAAAAAATATTAATGTCGGAATGTTTCTAGAAGCGAAAAATAGCAATTAGGGACGTAAGCGTACTTCCCACTAATGAAAGTGATCGTACTTTAAACAAAACATAACGATTTCAAACTGGTTTGTTCTTAACGGAAAAAAAATAAATTAATGTTGCAAGCATATTTGTGACCTTGAAAAAGCAATCATCAATATAATAAATACTGTTTTTTTTTTCTGAATAAGTATACTGTCATGTCTTTAACGTATGGAATTATTATTAGTTACAAATGCTAAAAATATGGAGGTAAAAAAGTGCCACATCAGAGAGGTGTAGCTATTAACAATATTTTTTTATGACATATGTAGAATACCTCTACTGTTTTGAGCTGATCGAATCTCTCCACATTTTCCGAACTGATGGCGGTCTTCCATATTGCGCCCGTGACGGCGGCCAACAGCGGCTTGTCCTCCTTGGTCTTGGGGTTCCTAGCCATGCTGACAAGCGGGTCCAAACCGCCCGACTGCCTCACCATTTCCCTGGTGATGGCGTTTTCGCTACACTTGAAGATAATCTCTGCACAGTACCTCCTCAACAACGGGAAATCCTAAAACATTCACGTTGAAAATTCTGCAGGTGGTAGGGTTATCGTTTACTTCGGCCGAAAGGTGTTTGACGATGTCCCTTATCATCCCTTCGGTCTGTATGGCCAGCTGGTAGCTGGGATCGCCAGCGCATTGGGATAAGGTCCCGCTGGTGGGTACCACAACGTCTACATGTACGGATCTTTAAAAAATATATTAACATTACAAGAAATGCCGTGCATTCTCTAAGTTCATTTCATAACTTTATGACTTGGATGCTTTGATACTTTTAGACCAAAAAAATTATAAATAAATATATTTTTAAAACTACCACTTTTCAGGAAGTGGCTTTTTTGGTTCACGAAGGCTTTTTGGTCTAAAAAATTTTAATACATTTATACCTCAACAGTCTAGCCAATAGCGGCACAGAACCGCTCTTCATCATCACCTGCACGTTCTTCTTACTCTTCGAAATCGACCACAGCGCCTTAGCCGCGGCCCTAGCTATGTTAACCGTCTCCACCTCGTCGGCGCTCAGCTGCTCTCTGGGAGTCAACAAATAAGTCTCGTTGACGTCCAAGAAGTCTACCAGTTTGGGTATCCCGTTGCATTTCCTAACATGCTTCCTGGCTTTCCTGATTTGCGCCACGTTGTAGATGGTCTCGGCCACCAGCATCTGCAGGTCTCTGGCTGGTTCCGTGAGGTTCTTTACCAGCAAGGGGATGCCACCCAGGTCGGCGATGCAGCGGCGGATCTCCGCGTTCTGGGACAGCTCGGTGAGGACCCCCAGGGCTCCTAGTTTGCATTTGAGGTCTTTCGTTTCTAGGAGGTTGATTAGGATCTCCAAACCGCCCATTTCCTAGAAGGAAGTTTTGCAAAAGTTGTAACGGGGTGATTCGTTGAGAACATGTGGAAGCTAATGAATTCACCAGTTTATTTATCCCACTTTACAAGTATCCACACTAATTTGTGCCACCAGAATTATACTCCGACATAGTTTTACATAAAAGTTTGTGAGTTCAGTAGTACTTATATAACAATCTAGCAATAAAAAGAAATCGGATAACAACTAACTATGATATACGACACAGGGAAACTCTAATATTACATATACAGATCAAAACTGAAATTTCGTTTTATTAGCAAACAATAACAATGATTGACGTTGATACTATTCAATTTATAATACCATAGATCTAATATAGTACAGTGGCGGCTCGTCGGGGTGGGCAGGATGGTCAGTGCCCACCCTGAAATTTTCAGAAGAATAAACAAAAATTTGTGTATATATTTATCAAAGTGATTTGACAACTCTTATAAAATTAAATCTAAAATGCGTTACCTCCTTTGAAACTCCCCCTACCAAATTTTAAAATTATATTTTAATCACGATCTCGGCAGCAACCAACAAAACATTCGGGCTAGCCCGTAGCCGCTGAATTAAACAACGCCGTATCCCAACCATACCTTGCATGCTTATACGCACCTAGGACTGGACAGTATAATCGGAAACGTAAGTCGTTCACTAATTTAGAATATGTGGCCCAAGTCGGGCGAGCCCGCACACAGCTCGCATATACCCATTGAGCACCCTTCGAGTGTTGTATCGACCACCTAAGACTTTTCACCAGTGGTTGGGAATATATATACGTATATTTATTAGCTGTAATTTTGTTCTTTAAATGGATTTTTAAATATTACAACAATTTTTCCCTGCAAAGGTATTCCAGAAAACAAATTTTAGTAAACGAAATAATAAACCGTTTTATAATAATTTGTAAATCGCGTAAAAAAATAAATATCTATGGTGCTATGTTGAATGTTCTTTGATAATTATAATTATTAAGGTTATTTTAACTCGTTACTGTTAAACTGAATTAAAAGTGATTGCTGAGAAATTTTCAATATTTGAATAGATTCTAGTTTGTAAACATGGGAGTGATGTAAATTATTTTTGGGGTAATCTCGGCAGCAACCAACATGACATTCGGGCCAGCCCGTGGCCGCTGAATTAAACAACGCCGTACGTTGCCTGCTTATACGCAGGGCTAGGACTAGAGAGTAATCGGAAACGTAAGTCGTTCACTAATTTAGAATATCTAGCCCAAGTCGGGCGAGCCCGCAC